TCCTCTACTGGGATGGATTCCTTACTTTAATCCTTCAACATCCAGCGTTCGCTTAGTGTGTTCTTCGAATTTTTAAAGTTAAAATGTTCCACTCACACTAAGGGTCCATTCTTAAGTTTATGGAGATTTGCCGCTTTCTCTAGCGAGAGCCAGAGGCATCGCAACACAGGGTCGGTACCTTCCTCTTGCACTTGCAATCCCGTCGTCTTCGAGCTCTTCAAGAAAACCCCCCCGAAAAAACGGCCGGACCGCTTCCGCGCTGCCGGTTAGCCATCCCTCAAGGGTATCCCCCTTGAGATTTTTGGGGGGTGCAGTGCCTTTGCAACTTCCCCAAGCCCCTGTGTTGTTCGGAAAACCCCGACGAGGCTTTCCGCGCTCCCTTTCTGTCTCGCGGCTTCAGGTTACAGACACTTCAGGTTACAGACTCCGCTAACCCAGAAGTAGTACCTCGGGTTAAGAACTTTGCTTCAGGATGAGAACAGAAATCGTGCTCCGGTGGCGCGGCAGCAGCAGGAGGCCCCATTAGCTAAAGTGGTGCTTCAGGTTAAGAACAGTTTCAGGTTAAGAACGGACCTCCGGAATGAATTAAGTACTTAACCTGAGGTACCGCTGTACATTATTATTAATACTAATACTATGTTGTTGTTGTTGCCACCCATTCTGCATCTGAGAAGTATGCCCTAGCAAATCTTACTCCCTTTACAAATAAATACATAAGTAATACATAAATAAATACAATAAATAAGTCTTTAAATTGCCACAGATCTCCTCTTTTTTTTATATACAACTTAGATAAAAAGAAGCAACGGCAAACTGCTTAAAAGTATGGGCATGGGAGAAGGTTTTCGTCAGCTAATATAAGCTTGTTCAGAGGGGCAGATTGAGACAAAATACTACACTTTAATCCTGTGTGGACGTGGTCTATAAATGTCTGTAAATTCTGGAGTGCTTGCATTGTTACATCATAAGCAGCAGGTCATCCTTAGATTAGATGTTTCAGGGGAATCGGTAGTGAAAGTACAGGTTTGCCACTGATCATACAAACAAATACAAATGCTGTGGGATGGGGGGGATTAAGGGCAATTGGGGCTAGGGAGGAATACAGAGGTTTGGGGGCATGTGAGGAAGGGGGGAGGATGCGTAGGGGAGGTGGGGAGACAGGGGGCTGTTTGATTTTGTTGTAAAATTCCAAAAATAAATAACAAAAAGTTGTTTGCATTGCTAATTAAAAGTAAAAGTTGTGTTTCTGCTGTCTGGATGTCATTTGCTAAAACCAAATGTGTTTTAAAAATTGAATGTATACAGCAGAAATACGCACCACTGTGTTCAATGGTTCTTACTCTCAGCCATGCACAGAACTGCAGTCATGTGCCATAAATTTAATCATGAGATTTTATTAGTAATTTGTTTTAAATGTCTGTTTTTTTAAGGTGGAGGGATTTTTTTAAACAAATGTGTTAGAAAAGCAAGATATTTAAATCCCGGTGGCCTGACTCTGGATTTCATTATGGAGCTGTCATTGATGCACTACACAGTTAGGAATAGCCCTCAAAGGTTGCTGGGAACTGCAAATGAGGAGGAGAGCACTGTAGAGCTCAGTTGCTCCTTGAGGGCTTCTCATAGGCATCTGGTTGGCCACAGTGAGAACAGGATATTGGATAAAATAATAAAATTGCTGTACTTGCATAATCATTACAAGTAACAGTATTCAGTTTGTCATAGTATTATTTTTTTAGCTCTGGGAGGGTGAAGTACATCTATAAAGCCATTCCATTTCACAAACAGGTAAAAAAATACATACATCTGGAAGTGCTCTTATTCTCCAGAAGAAGTGGAGCAGTAGTTTTCTATGCTAGTGAAACCAGCACACTTCTCCAAACTTTGCTTTGGAGAAGGCCTTCAGGAGTTTCAAAGCGGACAGAGGACATGCATTTCAAGACCCGAATTCTTCTCCAGTTTGAATTAAAATCAGAGACAAGTTCCTTCCTCTTGCCCCTTCCATTCAGTGCAATGGAGAAACATTACTTCATTACTTTGAATAGGAGCATAATTGAGAGGGTGGAGGAACCCAAAACAAAAAATCTGAATACAGAAGAGGAAGACCATTCTTCCTTGGTTAACTGCATAGGTGGACTTCCCCTCACCAATTTTGCCCATGCTGCCTCTGAATTTGTACTAGGGAAACATTTTTCTTTTACACTGAATGGGAGCAGGGTTGAAGGAAGGCTGAGAGGAAAGAAATCTTGGCAATTCTTTGAAAGTTTTCCCTCTCCAACTCCTCCTGGAGATTTTCAGTCCTCCCTTGGAGAATATTCAGTGAAATGACCTTCCTTATTTTACCACCCACAAAGCAAGTGGAGAATTTGAGGGATGGCCATTTTCACTCTGTTCTAGATTTTTAAAGACAGTGAGAGCCTCAGTTGGGCTCAGGAGAAAAAAGAAATAGTTTTCTCATCCAAGTTCATCCAAGGTGGGCTTGGGAGATCTTGCCCATCTATGCTCTGTGCATAGGCAAAAAGTGAAAGTTATTTTAGACAGTTTGTTCTAGGACCGGAAGACCCCAAACTGAGTTTATTGGAATATCTCTCCAAATACAATTGTCTGCCTATGCTTTATTTTTAGCATTGACACATCTGCCAATCTCAGTGTACAGATTTATAGAAGAGTTACCAAAAAAGCTTATGTTGTCACTCAGTTAAACAACTTTGCTGTATCTTGGGTAGGACATGCAAGGGAATCAAAAGGTCATCTCAGACAGGGGCCTTGGCCCACCCAGCTTCTACAGCCTGCAGCACTTCAACCCACCAAGTCAAGGTTGGAGAATTACTGCTGGACTGCAGCTCACATTATCTCCAGCCACCTAGCCAATGAAATGGGATTATGGGAGTTGTCCCAACTGAGCCCTCATGGCAAGAATGGGGAACCTGCAGCCCTTCAGATATTCCTGGACTCCAACCCCCATCTGCCCCAGCCAACCTCAGGGGTGATGGGCGCAAGAGTCCAACCACCATTGAGGGTCACCAGTTCCTCAGTGGTTGACTCAGTTTCTTCCACTCTGATTGGCTTCATTTAGCACAAAGAGTAACAAGACTTCTCACCCATCACTCTCATACAGTGGAGGAGGAAGGGGGGTGCAGGGGTGCAGTTTGCCTCAGGTGTCATCACTGAGGGGGTGTGTGTGACAAAATGAGTTTTTAAAAAATTGTGCTCACGAAACTTTTTAGGAGTGAGGTGGTGGCTTAGGCACCTGCAGGTTCCGCGCTGCCTGAAATAGCAGCGTGGGACTTGCGTCTGCCTACTGCCTCTCCCTCAGACGCCCTACAGCTGAGGGGGAGGCAGCGAAGGGGCTCCAAGTGTTGGAGAGGCTTGCCCTGCCCACATGGGTGACTCGACACGCCCCCTAGCTACTCCGCTGCACACATATCCACATGAAGAGGCAAGAAAGATAAGAATGGGTTTTTTGTGTGTGACTAATTTCTAAATCCTGCTATTTGCCCATTGCAATAATGTCTTCAATGTGGAAATCGTTATACAAAATATGGATTAAATATAAAGGAATATTGGAGCCCAAGATACCCCTGTGCTCGTCACCCACAGAAGCCATGGCAGTTAAAAAATAAATATGAAAGGGGAATGGCCAACATCAGTCTTAGAAGTAGATAAGGATAAGCCAACATTGAAGCAATATGCGGAAATTAAAAACTCGCTAACAGACTGGCTACAATATTTCCAGCTACACCAAAGACTAGCTATAGATTCAAAACAAGAAATTGCAAAGGAAACATCTAGATTTGAAAGAGAATCAACACTTAACAGAAAGAAAATTATTTCACAAGTGTATGATTATCTTCTGGAATGGGAAACAAAAGAAGAACAGTCATGGTTAAATGGGCACAGGACTTCGGGCATAATATACTTATGGAACAATAGGTGAGATTATGGACGGCAGACATTGAATTCACAGCATGCTATAATCTCAGGGAATATACCATAAAATGGTATATAGATGGCATTTTACCCGCAAAAACTTGCTAAAATGTATAAAGGAAAAACATCAACCTGTTGGAGATGTAAAAAAGAGGAAGGATCATACTCTCATATGTGGTGGACCTGTGTAGCCATTGGCAAATACTGGAATGATATTTATAATGAGTTTAAGAAACTATTTAAAATTACTTAAAAAAAAAAAAAAACCCAGAGATTTTCCTACTTTATATATTACCATCAGAAATTTAAAAAGATATAAGATCATTGTTTATGTATGGTATAGCAGCAGCTAGGACCCTTATAGCAAGGAATTGGAAAAATGAAATGCTCCCAGAGATTACAGATTGGCAGATGCTCATGTTAGAATATCTACAATTAGCAAAACTGACGGGATCAGTTAGAGGAATATCGAAACAAAAAACAACTAGAGAACGGATAATATTAAAGAATTATGTAAAACTTTATTGTACAAATAATTCCATATTAGCAGAAATTGAGCGATATTTGTAAAGAAAAAAATCAAAGGAATGTATACAAAACAGAAAGAAATGATATTATACAATGTAAACCTGTGTAAGAAAGAATGTTATATCAAAGAGTACAATGAGAAGGATGGGAAGGATCGTGCCGATGAGTACTTTTACTATGTAAATAACTCTATCTTCTTTTTTTGATTTCTTTATTTCTTATCTTTGTTACTTCTTTATTTTTTAGTTTTTATCTATTTATAAATTTTATAAATTTTATATATATATATTTTTACCTGTTAAGAGATAGTACATAATGTCTGTGTAGACATGCAATTTTTTTAATCAATAAAGAGATGAAATTTTTTACAAAATGTCTTCAAGTGCAATAGTCTCTAGCAAGATCCCCAAAGTAACAGTTCCACAACTAGTCAGGTAAAAAGATAAGACTCCACACATGAGGAGATATTGTGTTACGGATTTTTTGAACAAAGATTTGCCAGGCTGCAACTTTTCCACATGTGCAGCCCTCCTGAGGCAGGCTTTTCATTGAGGGACAATGCAGAGTTGATAGGGCCGAGGGCAGTTGGTTACGCCGCTCAACACCGGTTTGAGATCAATCTCTTTGGGGTCAATGATGGACTTCAGAGTGAAGTTCTGTAATATGGTGGTCAAGAACAAGAAGATCTCCATACGGGCCAGACCTTCCCCCACACATATCCGCTTCCCTGCAAAGGAAACCCAAAGTGTAAGCTGCATTACATCCACTTTGGCTGTTACGGAGAAAATAACAATCATGCCAAAGGAGCAAAGGTGCTGCTCCAGAACAGCTCCTGGGAGAGTCACTCTTTCCACCATTTCTTTTGTTTCAGCTGGCCACAGGAAAGGTACAAGGAGTTCTGATGGACCCAGAAGCCTCTGCCCCTCTCTCACAATCTGGGAGCCCTTCCAGTTTAGGCTGCAGGAGGAAGGAAGTTCCCCCTCATTGCCCCGACACCAGCCGATTAGGGAGACAGGAAAGACCTGAGCTGGCCAAGACTGCAGCCTACTGAGGAAGCAGAGATCTTACCTGCTGAGAAAGGCATGAAATAGTCGCTCTTCCTGAAGGTGCCATCTTTGTGCAAGAAATGTCCTGGGTCAAATTCTTTGGGGTTTGGAAATTCTTTGCTGTCATGTAGCACAGATGTCAGACTTGGATATATGGTAGTGCCCTGCAGAGAGTGCAAAGAAATGGTCTGGATGGCCATGACACCCAAAGGAATGGTGTGGGAAGGCACTAACAAAAAGGAAGGTACTTTGTTGATACAGAAGAATAATGGAGCAGCTTCAGAAGGCTATAGGGTGTTTCAAATGAAGTCCAGGCTTCAAGATGCCCAGCTACACTTTAGGAATTGGGCTAAACTACTTCCCTTGCTTGTACATAAGAAGAGAAGAAAAGCTCTGCTGGATCAGTCCAGTGGCCCCATCTGGTCCAGCATCCTGTTTTCATGGTGTCCAACCAAATGCCCATGGGAAGCCCATCAACATAATCTAAACAAGACAGCACTCTCAATTCCTGTGGTTTCCACCCACTGGTATTCAGAAGCATGCTGCCTCTCACCATGGAGGTAGAATATAGCCATCATGGCTAGCAGCCTACTATTACTACCGTACTTAGAGCCTTGAAAAGAGCTAACCTTTGGAATGACATATTGTCTGAACGGTGTATCTTTGAGTACTGCATGAGGGCCGCTCAGTGGGGCAATAGAGATGAACCTCTGGATCTCATGGATGACAGCATCTGTGTAAGGCATTTCCCCACGATCTGCTATACAAGGACTTCGTGATCAGCCAATAACTCGGTCAATTTCTTCATGCACTTTCTCTGCAATGGGAAGAATGAGGTTTAACGCCAGTGCAGGAAACATTACAGAAGAAACTGAAACTCAGTGGGAATGGTTGCAAGGCTCTGCACATTTTGGAGCTTTCAATTGTTTTCTGATGCCAACTTTCTACTAACTCGTCACCACAGGCAATTTATTGTAGCTTACCTTCAGCAATGCATCTGTAAACAGGGAAACATAGTATAACTGCAATTATTTATATATTAATTTAATTTCTACCCATAAGGAGCCCAGCGGGACAAAAGCTTTAGGGAAGTTTTAGGAGCAAGTGATGGTCCAGCCTAGAGAGATTCCTATTGGAGGCACTGTCCTGCAGTGATTCTGATCCTACCTGAGGGCCCTTTGGCCCCTGGCCCTTGTGGTTGTGCCTTTGTCTAAAGCAGTGGTGTCCAAACTTTTTTCAAAGAGGGCCAGAAAGGATGAAGTAAACCAAAGTTGTTGACCTTTTTTTTAGTATTTTACCCCCAGGAAATAACCAGCAGGCCCGATTAGGTCCCCAAAATGGACTTTAGACATGCTTGATCTAAAGGATCTGCACTGGCTGCCAGTACACTACTGAGCCAAATTCAAGTTGTTACTGTTTGCATATAAATCCTAGGGTTTGCAATATGGTCAGCTATAAGAGCTCATCCACACTTCTGTTTTTGCTGGGATTTCTAGGCACGGGTCTGTGGTTACTAGGCATCGATCTGAGCATTTTGTCCACCCCCCCACCCCCATTGTTGTCTCCAGGAAAGCCTTCTGTTTACTGCTGATGTCAGTCAGCGATGATTAACATTCAGCGATGAACAGTGGGTTTTCCTGGGGAAAGTGGCAGAACAACAACCTCTTGGACCTGTGACACATAAATCTAGGAGAGAACTAGAATAATAAGTACTAATAACGCATCTGTTTTACCTTGTATCTCTGGGTATTTGAGGAGGATCATGAACCCGTATCGCAGTGTGGTGCTGGTGTTCTCTGTTCCAGCCCCAAACAAGTCAACTGTGCTTATGGCCAGGTTTTCAGTGGTGAAATGGGATGCACTATTACCTTTTTCCTGCAGAAACACACAACACAGTCACTGGAGTCGACTCAATTGTTCTGAGTACAACATAACAAGAATTTTACTGCGCCACTGGGACCAGCTCTCTTCCCAAGACACATCTTATCTCAAGTCTTTTTATAGCTCGTTCCTTTGAACATTCCTTGCCCAGAGGGCTAATCATTAGAAAGAACTTCCCACTTACTGCAGGAACAAGTCACTAATGGGAAATGAATCTACTCCAATGGGGTGTGGGCAGGAATCTCTTTCCTTGGCATTCCCCACCAGAAGCTGGATGGAAGTCTGCTGGTTGGGAAGCTTCAGGAGTGGCAGGAGAACCCATGTGGAGAGTGCTGTGAGTTTTCATGATTACCTGATCCATTTTCATAAGGAAGCAGTCGATAAAATCCCGAGGTGAGCTGGGGTCCAGAGTGGGCTTGTGCTCTTCAACCTCCTCCAAAACAAGCTCTCTGATTGCCAAGTTGTTTTTCAGCACTTTGCGGTGGGGCCCAGGGATGCATTTCATCAAAGAAGGAAAGAGGTTGTAGAGCTAGAAGAAACACCACAAGAGACCCATTGGCACCAACCTCAGTCAGGGTTTGTCCACACTCGGGCTTCAGTATAATGTTGGCCACTGTTGCCTTGTGTGCATTTCAACTCTGTGGTCCACACACCAGCATTTTCACTACCAATGCCTCAAATATCTATGTAGATGTTCCCCATCTGCATTACTGGGTGGTGCTTCATTGATTGTACTGCATTGTATTATCTTCCCTTCCCCTCAATTAGTGCTTTCCCACCCTCTACCTAATGTTTGTAGAGGTCATATGCAGATTTTTATTTTTTAATTTCACCTATGTGTACCTTTAGAAAAATCTCAGAAATCATGCAACAATCCCCCCACCCCCACTTCCAAAACTGGTTAAGCTTTACTTCCTGCTCCACTGGGCTGCTGTTAAGTCAAACCTTGGTTACTAGACCCAGGAATTGGCATTGTATGCACCAACCTTGACTGGATGTCCAAATTAAAAACGTAAGAACGTAAGAAGAGACTATTGAATCAGGCCAGTGGCCCATCCTGCTGTCACAGTGGCTAACCAGTTACCCATGGCAAGGCTGCAACTAGGACATTAACAGAAATATGAAGAGGCAGAGGCAGTATGGGCCATGAGAAGCCTGGAAGAAAGACATTTAAATAGCAGGAAAATGGCCACATCCAGAGGCAGTATCTACATAAAATAAATATTCCACATGCTAGTAAACTTTAGACTTTGTGGAAAAGAATGCATTTAACCAGATGGCACCTACCTGTCCCCAAGGTCCCTAGAGGTCAATGTCCCTAGAGGCTCCATGGCACCAGCTAACAGTGACTGAAATGACTCTAGACGAATTAATTTGCTTTCCAATTTTAAATACTGAGGAGGTCACATAGACATGGACTTTCACCAATAGGAATTCTAGGTTTCTCTGAGTAAATGAGATTAGCCATTAAGTAGATCAGTTTGTATAATCAAGAAATGAACTTCTCTGAACTTCTTTTTCTTCATTGATTATTAAGGCAATGATAACGGCATTACTGTACACAAGATCTGTGATGTAAGACAACCAGGGGTTCAGTTTTTTCTGCCAAACATTGTAATGTGCCAAGAAAAAAGCAAACCAAGAATTCAGACCCATATAAGTTTCAATAGTGGGGGTGGTCCCTACGCACAATTCAATAGTCAATAGAAACCAAAACCAATCCATTCAAAAGTATGTATTCTAATAAAGATTACAAACTCAAACTCTAACAGAAATTACAAACTCAAAGTCAAAGAGATATGTATAAAACAATAATTCATTACAAAAATTTTCTCCTTTTCACTCGACAATAATATTGATCCTTATAATTTATCAGCTTGCAGATGGAGACTCAGTTTCAATCGTTAAGCAGAAGTCAGTTATGGATTGGAGACCAGGACAGGGCCCTGTTTCGATGTATTCACCTTCATCAGCTGGAAGTATCAAATATTACATGAAAATACATTTAAATTCTTACAGGGCCCTGTTTCAATGTATTCACCTTCATCAGCTAGTATATTTAATAACAAAAACTCCAGCTTATTAAACATTGTAATGTAGCCTTGTGGCAAATGGTTCTGCTTTTAAGGTTCCTGCAGGAGAGCTTCTTCTATACTCTGAGTGCTTAGTTGGAAGTTTCTTGTACCTTAGATGCCCACAAATGTGACAAATTGTGTCAGAAGTGTAGAGAAAACTTGTGTTATTTTTTTTTTTAAAGAAAAAAATCAAAGGTATGTATGCCAGCTGCAGTGATCATGGAGCCCAAGAAAGTAAAATCTATCACTGCCTGACAGCAGCCACGAAATTAAAAGACGCCTGCTTCTTGGGAGAAAACAATGACAAACCTAGACAGCATCTTAAAAAGCAGAGACATCACCTTGCCAACAAAGGTCCGTATAGTTAAAGCTATGGTTTTCCCAGTAGTGATGTATGGAAGTGAGAGCTGGACCATAAAGAAGGCTGATCGCCGAAGAATTGATGCTTTTGAATTGTGGTCCTGGAAAGACTCTTGAGAGTCCAATGGACTGCAAGAAGATCAAACCGATCCATTCTTAAGTAAATCAGCCCTGAGTGCTCACTGGAAGGACAGATCATGAAGTTGAGGCTCCAATACTTTGGCCACCTCACGAGAAGAGAAGACTCCCTGGAAACGACCCTGATGTTGGGAAAGATGGAGGGCACAAGGAGAAGGGGACGACAGAGGACAAGATGGTTGGATAGTGTTCTTGAAGCTAACAGCATGAGTTTGACCAAACTGCGGGAGGCAGTGGAAGACAGAAGTGCCTGACGTGCTCTGGTCCATGGGGTTGCGAAGAGTCGGACACGACTAAGTGACTAAACAACAACAACAACAAACAATGTATGCCAGACATGTAAACAAACAAAAAAAACACAACAGATTTCATGGCTTGGAGCAACACACATTTAAAATAAATTACTGCAATTTTGGACAAGTCTGGACTATCTGAACACACATATTTGAAATAAACTTGAAGGCAGGTTCATAATGGAGCTCAGCCTCAGCAAAATACCTTCCTGTTAGCAGACCTTGCAGCTTGGGTGAAGTAAACTGAGAAGTTTATGTACAGTTTCTGGATTTCTACAGCTTCATTCATGCAGGAACAGAATTATCTTGGCAAGAACTATTTACAGGATGAGTAGAGATTAAAGGGAGAGCAATAGCAGGCATCTTACTAGGAGAGAACAACAAAAGGTTCAGCTTTTACAGGTGGAGTTAACTTAGAAAAAGACTACGAGCAAATGCTTGTCGCGATTCCTCGCGGAGCTTTTAGCGGAAACGCTCAGAGTCCCAGGGTTTTGCAGTGCAGTCTTTTTAATGTGAGCTATATACAGGTGTTTACAAAAACAGTCCATACAGAGTACCTGCTCCTTAAGGCAAACGAATACTCTCCACCACAGCACCACCACCACAACCACAACCACCACAACCACGGTTACTGTTGAACAGGCTTTCCTTTTTAAAACAGGTGATTGCCAATCACATTAATCACACTCCTGTTGAGTCACTCTGACCCAGCACTTCACAGAGTATTGCATCATCCTGTTGAAGCCTGCAGACTTACTCAGTATCCTGCGAATCCCAACACTCCTCCTTAAGTCAAAGGCTTGAGACCTAATAATTCTCTTAAGTCTTGAAATTTAGGAGCATCCAAACATTTTGTATACAAATCCGCCACATTACATTTTGTGTTACAGTGCTGTACCTTTAACACATTTCTTTCCAAAGCATTTTTCACATTTCCATATCTTATCGCAATATGTTTACTCTTGCTCTTAAAGTTCTGTTGGTTAGCAAGCTGTTGTGCAGCCATGTTGTCACTTAGCACAGTGATTGGCATTTCAGAAGGTATTCCAAGCTCTTTTGTTAGGCAAGCAAACCACTCTATTTGTGACACACATTCGCTTATGGCTGAGTACTCTGTTTCACAAGTACTTGTGGCAACAAATGTTTGTTTCTGGGATTTCCACTGAACCAGGGCATTTCCAATATATATGGCATAGCCAGTGGTAGACTTTCCATTTTCTCTGTCCCCCCAGCTGGCATCAGCGTATGCATACACTTGCTGATCATATCCTGTATCCAGCATCAGTTTGTAATCTTTTGTGCCTTTCAGATACCTTAGGATTCTTTTAAGTGCTACCCAATCTCTCTGAGCCGGGTCTGCACTTCTTTGGCTTAACATGTGCACTGCCAGTGTTATGTCGGGTCTTGTCCAACAACTTAAATATAACAGAGAACCCAACAGAGAATGAAATGCTGTTGCATTCTCACATTTTTGCCCTTCTGGTTCATTTTTGTACTGGGTAGTTATGGGAGTGTCAACCTCATTTGCCCTCTCCATTCCATATGTCTTCAGTAACTTTTCAATTTTTTCCTTCTGACTCAGAGAGTAGACGCCCTCTTCATTTCTCTGAACCTCTACTCCTAAGTAATTCTGAATCTCTCCCAAATACTTCAGTTTGTATTTGTTACCTAGGCTGTTTATAAACCAAGACACTTGCTTTTGTGCAGTTGTTATTAGACAGATATCATCAACATACAAAAGTAAATAACAAACACTTCCTTGCACCATTGCTGAATATAAACAGGAATCAGCCAGGCTTTGTTTGAATCCCATCTTTTTCAAAGTTGTGTCTATGCATTCATGCCATAGACGTGCACTTTGGTGCAACCCGTATAGTGCCCTTTGCAGTTTTAACACCATGCTGTCTTTTTCCAGCTCATAACCTGGTATTTGCTGTAAATACACCTCGGCGTCAATAGGAGCATTTAAATATGCTGAGGCAACATCAAAATGATTAACTTTTAACCCTCTCAGACTTGCCATTGCTAAAACTGATTTTACTGTTTCAGCCTTTGCTGTTGGGGCAAACACTTCATCATAATGTATCATTTTTCTTTGTGTAAAGCCCCTTGCCACCAACCTGGCTTTCCTCTGACAACTACCATCAGCCAGCTTTTTCACTTTAAAAACCCACTTACAGCTTATGGGCTTTTTACCTTCAGGCAATTCTGTAGGTACAAACACATTGTTGTTTAGCAGAGAGTTATACTCTGCCTGCATTGCCTTTAACCACGCCTCTTTCTCTAGAGTAGGTAACTCTTGCACTTCTTCAAAGTTTTCTGGCTCAGTTACACAAACCTGGTTTATGGTGGCTGGGAACCCATAACGGTCTGGAGGTTGACCTTTATTACTTCTTGTAGACCTCCTTGGTTCATTAATCTCACCCCTGGGCTACCTTCAGGACTGCTTTTGGGGTGGATTGACTCTGTAGATCTACCTCCTCCTGTCCCTGTTGCACTTTCTTCTCTCCCCTGCTCCATGCTAGCAGCTGGAGAAAAATGCTCAACCTTTACCTCCTCCCTTTCAGTTTCTCTGGGAGAGCTGCCAATTTTTAGCTTTGTTTCAACTGCCTTATCAGGTACGCTCGGCAGTAAAACTTTTCTGGCAGCAGGTTTGCATGTATCTTGGGCCAATTTCTTTGCTCATTAAAGCTGGCTGATCGACTATAACTCAAAAGATTTTTATCATCTTCAAACCTGTAGGCTTTCGTACCACTTTCATACCCAAGAAATAGCAACTGCTGTGCCCTTTTCCCACCTTTTCTTCGGTTCTTTACAGGTATGTCAACCCACGCCTTTGTCCCAAAGATTCTCAAATGTTGCAAACTGGGACTTTTGTTATAGAGAATTTTATAGGGTATGTCATCTAGTACCCTTGACCACAAGCGATTCCCAATATAATTCGCGGTCTTAATACTCTCAGCCCAGTACTTAATTGGAAGATTTGCATCTGCTAACAATGCTTTCATTTGTGTCTGCAAGACACCTCCCCTACGCTCTGCTACTCCGTTCTCTTGAGGCGTTGCCACATTGGTAAGCCTATGTTTAATCCCTTGGGAATGCAACCAGTTTCTTAGGGAGCTTGCCATAAACTCTCCTCCCCTGTCTGTCTGAATAGAGCACACCTTTTCGCCAAGTTGCCTTTCTACCCTTCTTACCCAGAACTTCAAAGTTTGGGCAACGTCAGACTTTTGCTTTAATGGATAGACCCAGCCAAATCTAGAATAGTCATCCACTAGGATCAAACAGTACTTGTTATGGGAGACACTTGGTGGAAAAGGACCAGTTACATCAGCATGAATCAACTCCAGTGGTTTTTTGGTTTCTCTCTGGCTTGCTCTTGCTACTGGGCAAGCCCTGCTTTTAACCTCCTTGCAGATATTGTAGTCTAAGTAATTATCACAACTTTTTATGTTTTTCATCCCCCCACACAACTCCAATGTTTTGTTCAGCACCTTAAAGCTAGCATGAGCCAGACGCCTGTGCAGGAGATGAATATACATATCATGGGTTGGGACATTTTGCACATTCGCAACCTTAGACTCACACTGCAGTACATACATATTAGTTCTAAGGTTAGCATTTGCCAACACTGTCCCATTTTGCTTTATCTGGCACTGATCCCCCACAAAGTTTACTTCAAAGCCTGCTTTTGCCAAGTCAGGAATACTCAGGAGATTGTTTTGCAAACTAGGCACACACAACACATTCCTGAATGTGTGTCCCAGCTGTGGGAACACAACCTCCCCCTCACAAACCACATTAGCTTTCTGGCCCGTAGCAAGACTTACATGTTTTTTGTTTGAAGCCCTAGCATCAATTAGCAATCCTTTTCTTTTACAAAAGGTTTGAGAAGCTCCACTGTCTAGAACCCACAGCTCTTCATTTTCTTGACCATCTGCAGACACCCAAGCGGTAGACTCTCTCTGCTGCCTCCTGTACTTCTGCTGTTTTTGTTGTTTTCTCGGGCAGTCCCGCAGCAGATGTCCACTGGATTTGCAGCAAAAACACCTTTTTACTTTGTTGACCACCGGCTGGTCTGCAGCAGCTCCTCCTGGCTGTTTCTCCAGCTCCCAACACCTCTGCTCTTCCCGGCTGTTGTTCCCTCTGGGATGCTCCAACAGCTGGGCTGAGGTCATCTTTCGCTCTGCACGCCTGTCCTCCTCTGCATACAACCGTCCAGTAACGTATTCCAGAGTCAGCTTATCAGTCTCTACAGACTCGAGGGAATTGACTAGCATATCATAGCTGTCATCAAGGGAACTCAGGACTATAAAGACTTTGTCCTCTTCCCCCACAGGCCTCCCTCTTAAGGCTAGCTCCTGGAAACAGCCTGTTAGGAATTTTAGGTGGTTTACCAGGGAGTCCCCGGTTTCTTCCGACACCGGTACAGTCTCCTGGTCAGTGTTATCAGTGAGCCAGCTGTCTCTCGCACATGGACAGCCTTGAGCGCATTCCACGCCTCACTTGCCGTCACCTTATCAGCTACGTAGACTAGCTGGCTGTTGTCCACTCCAAGGATGATCGTAGCCAAAGCTTTCTCATCCTTTTCTAGCTGGGCCTCTGCTAGTGCCAGCTTTTCATCGTCGTCCTCATCCTCCTCAGGGGGCTGCGGTGGAGTTTCCACCACCTTCCACAGGCCCTCACGCTTGAGGAAGTGTTGTATGCGGACCGACCAGATGCTGTAGTTCGTGGCCGTCAGCTTCTCCAGCAACACGCCAGTTCTGGACTGCTCCATCCCTGCAGCTCACCTCCAGCACCCACGGCTAGATAACTGCCACCTGTACTCTTGCGCAGCGGAAGCGTGCTGGGCCCATAACCCTGTCGCGATTCCTCGTGGCGCTTTTAGCAGAAACGCTCAGAGTCCCAGGGTTTTCCAGTGCAGTCTTTTTAATGTGAGCTATATACAGGTGTTTACAAAAACAGTCCATACAGAGTACCTGCTCCTTAAGGCAAACGAATACTCTCCACCACAGCACCACCACCACCACCACCACAACCACAACCACCACAACCACGGTTACTGTTGAACAGGCTTTCCTTTTTAAAACAGGTGATAGCCAATCACATTAATCACACTCCTGCTGAGTCACTCTGACCCAGCACTTCACAGAGTATTGCATCATCCTGTTGAAGCCTGCAGACTTACTCAGTATCCTGCGAATCCCAACAATGCTGGCTTGCTTGCTACACAAACAGTGCTCTTGTGTAGTTTAAAGTAATGCATGCATTAGCTAGAGGTTCAGGAGAAGGAAGTTTATTTGTTTCCCCCCAACAATCCCATCTAGCACTACCCACTAATGTGGACAGGACACACCAAGATAGATTTTGGAGACATAAACCTGGAAGTGCTTTCGTATTGATAAGACACACTAATGCGCTCATCAAAACAGTGACTCACATGTGCCCTAGTGGGGACAAAACCATGGTCACTAGTGTACATGGTGATACAGAACATTAACTTCTTGTTTTCATTTAGTCCAATTCTTCCATCCACCTCTGGAAATCATATTTAGTACAAGAGGGGAGCATGCAGATGATGGAAGCCTGCCAAGTTATTTATTTAAAGTATTGAGAGGTCCCCTTTTAAGGGGTAGCTCCTAAAACAGGAGTGATCATGAAGCGAGAAAGGGGGGCTACCCTTATGCTATTCATATAATCAGTTATCAGTAATCAATATATTCATATGTGCTCACACATAACAGGGCTCACAGTGATTTTATAATCCATTTTTGAATTAACTTCTTGTTTTCATTTAGTCCAATTCTTCCATCCACATCTGGAAATCATATTTAGTACAAGAGGGGAGCATGCAGATGATGGAAGCCTGCCAAGTTATTTATTTAAAGTATTGAGAGGTCCCCTTTTAAGGGGTAGCTCCTAAAACAGGAGTGATCATGAAGCGAGAAAGGGGGGCTACCCTTATGCTATTCATATAATCAGTTATCAATAATCAATATATTCATAAATGCTCACACATAACAGGGCTCACAGTGATTTTATAATCCATTTTTGAATCAAGGAAAGCTTTGCCTTAGCTAACTGCAAACTGCTTGGAACAGCAAGTCTAGAACCGACCTTTCACCAAGAAAACATCCTTGTACCCTGAAGGAAAGGGGAAGACATGAATCAGAGACACTGGTACAAAATCCCCCTCAAATGCAGGCTAAAATAGTCCACAGAACAGGAAGGGCCAAACCACAAAAACTATGCAGAATGCATAGGGGGAGGTAGCCCAGGAGATTCCCTCCCTGAGTCTCAGTTCTGTCAGAACTAGGGAAAAGGTCAGACTGTGCATCATTGTACATCATTTGTGCAGACAATGGAAAGCAGAAATTGGGAGTGAACTCTGTGCTCGGCCAGGAGCTGGGAGCATGGCAAGAAGAAGCGCTAATTCGTCATTTTTCGCTGGCGTGCGTGACTGTTTCATGATTGTCTCATGATCTGTAATTTGCTCAGGTATATAACCTCAGGAATTGTATGCTTCTGGGTCCCAGTCTTTTGGAAAAGATTCCAACTGGGTCCATTATTGCTCAGCAATAAAACCTCACCTTCTTTTTCTCCAAAAGCTGTGTCTGTCTGATCCTTGTTTCACTCTAAGTGGGTACCACTTTACTTTCACGTGCTACAATCATATCCTCAAGCATTTCAAAAAAAAGATGTCAAAAAGAAGAGAGTAAATATCCCGTTGTGTATATTAGCTGGCCTTTTACACTGATTCACAGCTTAAACATACTCCTGGAACAGGTTATAGACATCCATAAAATTACTGTAATTAGCGGGGATAATATCTCCCTTATACCAATGTTAAATTCTCTTTCAAACTGACCTGTCAGTTCAGTTTGCATAACCTTATTTGAACTCGTGGTTCAGTTCATAAACCAAAGTGCACCAGGTGTTCTTGCCAACAACTGTTGCTGCTCTGTGTGTTTTGAGTCAAACATTCCGTTTTTCTTCAGTAACGTCACCAGTTGTTTGTACCCGTCTCTTTTTCGTAGGAATCTAATAGGAATCTCTTTACAAATGATAATTGGTCTTCCATCAATTAATAACCTGTTATTATAACTCATTCTCAGAATTGCATTTCACATCTCTAGTGAATTAAAGATCATCAAGCAATCTCCAGGTAGTTTTTTAGTTTTAGCTTTTACAGATCTCACCTTAATTCTAAACACATTCTCAATTGTGTACTCAATTTCTTCTTCCTTCATATCCATCCATCTTGCCAGTTCTTTAATCATTTTTGTTTTAATATCTTCATTTGGCTCTTCTACTACCCCTCTGAATTTTAGGTTTTTCTGTTTCTGCCTCATCTCCATCAGAGCCATATTGTCCCAGATCTGCTCTTGTATTTTGCTGACCTCAACCAAGTCCTCTTTTGTCTGACTCTTTTCTATTTTCCTTAACTTCCTTCTGAGTTCATTTCGCTAGCTCTTCTGTTGTTTTAGATCTAACTGTTAAGGCCTTTATTTTACTTGACAATTCCCCCCACCACTCCCTCTATTTTTTTATCCAGGGTTTCTTGCACTTCCACCATTTTTTTCTCCATGTATTGTTCATTTTGTTTGAATTCTTCCTTTATTTTCAACCAAAGAATATCTAAATTTTTAATTTCATCCTGTTTTGACTGTCTTCGGTCACCTGGAGTTCCTCCAATTCCCCCCCCCCCATTTTTTCATGACATTTTTATACAAATAAATAAATATTAACTGCTTTCACCACTGGGGGGGTAGTTACACCAGAGAGCTGGAAATCGTGTTTGTCAGAAATTGTGATTTAGATAATGGCCTCTAGGGGTCTTTCTTTCCCTTTTCCTCACATTAACTTAAAATTCTTATCTTAACCAAACACTTTGAAATTCACCCCTTTGCACCTATATCAACTGTATGACAGCTATATATCAAATATTATTCTGAAGAGAGTGGGAGAGAGATAGGGAATAGTACACATCAAAGATATATAAACATTGTATCACAGTTTAAAGGTTTAGTTCATCATAAAAAGCCCATCTAACAATAACTCAAATACTGTTCAGTTTGAGGGTCCTCTTCTGTCCTCTTCTGTCCTCTTCTTTTCTTCCACCTCTTATAAACTCAGTCCAACTTAAAAGTCCAAATAAAAGTCCAAGCAAGTCCATATAAGTCCATAAATCCAAATATAACTGTAATCAGCTCAGGGAGTTGGAACATAAACTTCTAGCCACTTGGAGGCTTAATCCTCAAAAAATATAGATATAAATATAGGATATTCCCCCAGTTAGTCTTCTTTCCTCCTTTCGTACTCCAGGGGGGGATGAGGATAGTCACAGTTTAATGTCAAGCCTATTCTATATCCATTAAATCCAGGGGAAATAAGGAAAATAAGGAACAAAGATACTTCTAACTGCTCCACTTTCCCTTGTCAGTCCCTTACGCTGTTGCAGACCTCCCCCTTAGCTTTATACAGGGGTCTATACAAAGTAACCAAGTCTCTGGTTTGAGGTTTGAACATGTTACTGTTTCTCCGACCCAGTCATCAAGTCTTCTCAGAGAAGAAGGAGATACAAAGTTCTTTTTAAGCTCTGTCCCTCTTCCAACGTTATAAAATGATACTTGCCTCAGTGCGTTACTTCTGAGGTCTTTCAGCTTACACTTACTCAGCAGGAAACTTTCACTTCCGTCTTGTTCTCATGTCTTTGTTCTCTGCTCCATCTTTGACACTGCAGCCGGGACGGACTCCCTTTTTACGTCCCTTAGCTAACCAAATTCCTTGAATTCCTTACAGTAGTCAGTTTTTAAACGTGTCGTATTTCTAGGAATTCAGTTTTCTCGTGGAAGTTTAGCACTTTCCATCAGAAGCTTGAGACTGCACAGCACGGGGTCTGAGGTGCTTCCCCTTTCACGCCCGCAGCTCTATCCTGTCCTCGGATTTTTATTTAAAACCCGAGAAACAGGAGAGCACACCTGGGCGCCGCTGTGTGCTCTGTCCCCCAAGGTATCCCCCTTGAGGTTTTGAGGCCCGTAGAGTCTTTACGGACCCCTAAAAAACCCCCACACTGCTCGGAATTACCGGAGCGGTCGTTCCTCTCTTCTCTTTGATGTCTGTGCTAGACCGGAAGTCCCTGTGTTTTGAGTCAATCTCCTGTCACTGCAGGTCACAGAAGTTCAGCCCATTCTAGCCACAGCTGGGACACTTTATGGCTGCTCTGCAGAGAGAGGCAACTCAGTTCACCGGAGTTCAGACTGCATAAACAGTTTCTTTGCCAGAGCAACTGGTGAGGCGGTAAAGCCTCTGCCTTACAAGCACATGGTCCCAGGTTCAAGACCCGTTATCTCTCGGTAGGGGCCTGAAGAGCCATGTGACTCAGGATAAGCCAGCTTCATACATTCCTGTAAGGCACCATGGTCTGATTATCATAAAGGCAGTACAGTGGTACCTCGGGTTAAGAACTTAATTCGTTCCGGAGGTCCGTTCTTAACCTGAAATTGTTCTTAACCTGAAGCACCACTTTAGCTAATGGGGCCTCCCACTGCTGCCGGAGCATGATTTCTGTTCTCATCCTGAAGCAAAGTTCTTAACATGAGGTACTATTTCTGGGTTACTGGAGTAACCCGGGTAACCTGAAGCGTATGTAACCTGAAGTGTATGTAACCCGAGGTACCACTGTATAAGTACACCATGATGAGCCCACAGAGGAAGGAGACAGGACTCTCGTCCACAGAATGACTAGGAGGCTGCATTCTTGCTGATGCACTTGTGGGTAACCAGTGCTTAGTGTCCAAATGTGAGGTGCATGGGGATCCTCAGGGAGAAAGCATGCATTCTCCTTTATTACTATACAGTGGCACCTCAGGTTACAGATGCTTCAGGTTACAGACTCTGCTAATCCAGAAGTAGTACCTCAAGTTAAGAACTTTGCTTCAGGATGAGAACAGAAATCGCACGGCCGTGGCGAGACGCCCCATTAGCTAAAGTGGTACCTCAGGTTAAGATCAGTTTCAGGTTATGAACAGACCTCCAGAATGAATTAAGTTTTTAACCCAAGGTACCACTGTATATTGAATTCTTCCCTGCTTTGCACCATAATCATAGAATCGTAGAATCATAGAGTTGGAAGAGACCACAAGGGCCATCGAGTCCAACCCCCTGCCAAGCAGGAAACACCATCAGAGCACTCCTGACATATGGTTGTCAAGCCTCTGCTTAAAGACCTCCAAAGAAGGAGACTCCACCACACTTCTTGGCAGCAAATTCCACTGTCGAACAGCTCTTACTGTCAGGAAGTTCTTCCTAATGTTTAGGTGGAATCTTCTTTCTTGTAGTTTGAATCCATTGCTCCGTGTCCGCTTCTCTGGAGCAGCAGAAAACAACCTTTCTCCCTCCTCTATGTGACATCCTTTTATATATTTGAACATGGCTATCATATCACCCCTTAACCTCCTCTTCTCCAGGCTAAACATGCCCAGCTCTCTTAGCCGTTCCTCATAAGGCATCGTTTCCAGGCCTTTGACCATTTTGGTTGCCCTCCTCTGGACACGTTCCAGTTTGTCAGTGTCCTTCTTGAACTGTGGTGCCCAGAACTGGACACAGTACACCATAAGGTCCCATGGCAGGTTACAGCAATCTAAAATATCAATATTAAGTAGTATAGTGTAGGTGTACTCTCATTTTGACTCAAGAAAATCACCATTTTATAGTTCAAATCGGGAAAAATAAATGCAGTAAATGGACCAAAGGCTGCCATCAGGGGTAGCAACGGAACTGCCGCTTCACTACGCTGAGAAGAAATTAAATATTTTAATTTTTTTAGTTTCTTCTCCCGTTAGATTCACAAAATGTTTAGGGGTATGTGTACCCCTGCGTCCCTGCAGAAAAAAGCACTGTACAGTGGTACCTTGGGTTACAGACGCTTCAGGTTACAGACTCCGCTAACCCAGAAATATTTGTTGTTGTTTAGTAGTTTAGTCGTGTCCGACTCTTCGTGACCCCATGGACCATTGCACGCCAGGCACTCCTGTCTTCCACTGCCTCCCGCAGTTTGGTCAGACTCATGTTTGTAGCTTCGAGAACACTGTCCAACCATCTCGTCCTCTGTCATCCCCTTCTTCATGTGCCCTCAATCTTTCCCAACATCAGGGTCTTTTCCAGGGAGTCGAGTCTTCTCATGAGGTGGCCAAAGTATTGGAGCCTCAGCTTCAGGATCTGTCCTTCCAGTGAGCACTCAGGGCTGATTTCCTTAAGAATGGATACGTTTGATCTTCTTGCAGTCCATGGGACTCTCAAGAGTCTCCTCCAGCACCATAATTCAAAAGCATCAATTCTTCGGCGCCAGAAATATTACCTTGGGTTAAGAAGTTTGCTTCAGGATGAGAACAGAAATCGTGCTCCGGCGGCGCGGCAGCAACAGGAGACCCCATTAGCTAAAGTGATGCTTCAGGTTAAGAACAGTTTCAGGTTAAGAACGGACCTACAGCACGAATTAAGTATTTAACCTAAGGTACCACTGTACATTATTAATAATACTAATACTATGTTGTTGTTGCCACCCATTCTGCATCTGAGGAAGTATACCATAGCAAATCTTACTCCCTTTACAAATAAATACAGTTAAGTCTTTAAATTGCCACAGACCTTCTCCTATTTCTATATACAACTTAGATAAAAAAGAAGCAATGGCAAACTGCTTAAAAGTGTGGGCATGGGAGAGGGTTTTCGTCAGCTAATATAAGCTTGTTCAGAGGGGCAGTTTGAGACAAAATACTACACTTTAATCCTGTGCAGACATGGTCTATAAATGTCTGTAAATTCTGGATTGCTTGCATTGTTACATCATAAGCAGCAGGTCATCCTTAGATTAGATGTGTCAGGGGAATCGGTAGTGAAAGTACAGGTTTGCCACTGATCATACAAACAAATACAAATGCTGTGGGATGGGGGGGATTAAGGGCAATTGGGGCTAGGGAGGAATACAGAGGTTTGGGGGCATGTGAGGAAGGGGGAGGATGCGTAGGGGAGGTGGGGAGACAGGGGGCTGTTTGATTTTGTTGTAAAAATTCAAAAATAAATAACTAAAAGTTGTTTGCATTGCTAATTAAAAGTAAAAGGTTGCGTTTCTGCTGTCTGGATGTTATTTGCTAAAACCAAACGTGTTTTAAAAATTGAACCTATACAGCAGAAATACGCACCACTGTGTACAATGGTGCTTACTCCCAGCCATGGACAGAACTGCAGTCATGTGCCATAAATTTAATCATGAGATTTTATTAGTAATTTGTTTTAAATGTCTGTGTTTTAAAGTTGGAGGGATTTTTTAAAGCAATGTGTTATAAAAGCAAGATATTTAAATCCCGGTGGCCTGACTCTGGATTTTATTATGGAGCTGTCATTGATGCACTACACAGTTAGGAATAGCCCTCAAGTGTTGCTGGGAACTGCAAATGGGGAGGAGAGCACTGTAGCGCTCAGTTGCTCCTTGAGGGCTTCTCATAGGCATCTGGTTGGCCACAGGGAGAGCAGGATGCTGGACTAGATAGGCCTCTGACCTGCTCCAGCAGAGTTCTCTTTGTTCTCTCTCCCCGGGCCAGGTGAGACTGCCAGAATCTTCTGAGAGCAGCCAGTCAAACCACCCTAAAAAGCAACCTACTGCGCATGCTCCTGCAGCTATCTCTTGGAAGAGAAGGGGGAACAATAACTGCCACACCTTACTCTAGTAAATGAAGGTGTGCTGGATTGCTACTAATACAATGAATGGCAGTAGCTTGGGTTGCATTAGAAACAAAGGCTAAGCTCCGAAGTACATAAGCAATGCCTGGTAGAAACGAGAAGGAGCTTAGGATTTCAGGGGGTGAAGGTATCAGTGGCCTGCAAAGCAACTCTTTCCTCCTGAAGCCTTGCAGAGTCAGAATAAATTATGCAAAGCAAATGTAGTTTACTGCATTAGGAATCCTTTGTATTTTATTGTACACAGCTTCGGTAATGTTTGGTTGTGAAGCAGTTTATAAATCTGCAAATAAAATTGCTATACTTGCATAATCTTTACTAGTTACAGCATTCACTTTGTCATAGTATTATTTATTTAGCTCTGGGAGGGTGAAGGACATCTATAAAGCCATTCCATTTCACAAACAGGTAAAAAAATACATACATCTGGATGTGCTCTTATTCTCCAGAAGAAGTGGAGCAGTGGTTTTCTATGCTAGTGAAACCAGCACACTTCTCCAAACTTTGGTTTGGAGAAGACCTTCAGGAGTTTCAATGGGGACAGAGGACAAGCATTTCAAGCCCCGAATTCTTCTCCAGCTTGAATTAAAATCAGAGACAAGTTCCTTCCTCTTGCCCCTTCTATTCAGTGCAATGGAGAAACATTAGTTCACTACTTTGAATAGGAGCATAATTGAGAGGGTGCAGGAACCAAAAAGAAAAATTCTGAATACAGAAGAGGAAGACCATTCTTCCTTGGCTAACTTCATAGGTGGACTTTGTTAGGATATTTCCGTTCCACCTTAAAAGGGAGCAGGCTTTGTGAGTCAGAGTCTGCGTATTTCCTGTTCACAGGATGTTTATGTTTTCTGTTGCTTTCGTTCTCTCTCGGTGTCATAGACACTAAAGCAGGCAGTCATGTTTTTCTGTGTTCTGATCAACGCTGAATAAACTTGTAAATAATGCTCTCCTGAGTGCAACTTTTTGGCTGTGCATTATCTGCTGATAGAGCGTGCACGAGCTCTGGAATGTGGCAAGATATTTTCTAGAAACTCATGTTGCTGCGTGCCTACGGGAGGTCGATGGATCGTCTGGCAGCCGGCTTGGGGGCCATGATGGACTTTATCTCCCTGGCAGTATCCCAGCAACTGGTTTCGGGCCCAGATTCACAGCACTTACAGGAGAGTAAGACTGCGACAGACTGCTGAAAGGTATGTGGAGGAAAAGCGAAAGTAAGGCTTTTCTGTTTGCCGTGGCAAGAGCTTTTGATGTCCGGCAGGGCTAATGGATCTGGGAGCCGCGCCAAAGGCCTCAAGATTTATGAGCTGCCGAGATAAGACGTCTCTGAAGTGAATAAGATTCACGGCTCAAGTAAAAAGCTGGAATGGAGTTTTTCCAAGCTTCTGAGGTTGCTGAGTGCCCAAAGTTAAATCGGCACAACTACCAGACCTGGGCAAAATGGTGTGAGAGTTTGCTGCGTCAGTTTGGAGTGTGGCATACTGTGTGTGAGGCCCCTCCAGTTCCTCTGACAGATAGATGGAAGGCCGAAAATTCGAAGGCGATAGACATAATAGTCTTGTCCGTCTCTCTAGAGGAAATAAAAACGCTTGCTGGCAACACCACTGCACGTAAGATGTGGCATGCTTTGAAGATAGCCCATCTGCCAGTCATCCCAGCCCAGAGTTTGACTGCATCGGAGGTCCTGGCTGTTTCCCAGAATGCGAGTGAATGCAGGGATGCCGAGGGCACCGGTTGCAAGCTGCAGGGGAGCTGACTGTCACGTCATCCCAGGCAGCATTCCAGCCTCCAGGGGGAGCCAAGGAGTCGGCAGCTGAGAGCTCTGTTTCTCATGGGAACCAAGGTCATCGCCTTTGCAGAGGCCGGAAGGGCAAAGGTAAACAGAGGCAGACGCCTGCAGATGGTCAGAAGCAGAGGGAGGGTGAAGAGCCCACGCCAGTGGAAAACAAGGTTTTGTTTGCTGGCACAGCTTCACCAAAGGCTAAAGGCAAGTCTGATGGCCAGGAGCAGGGGGGCAAGCTGCAAAAGCCCACGCCGGTGGAAAACAAGGTTTTGCTTGCTGCAAAGGCTGCTCCAAAGGCCAAAGCCAGGTTTGTTGTTGATTCAGGCTGTACCCGCCATGTCTCAAAGGACCGCCACCTATTTATCTCCTTCAAACCTCAAGAAGGTGAGATCCACCTGGCTGATGGAAAGACGTTGCGGATCGCAGGAGAAGGGACTGTGAAACTGGCAAGTCTGCACACTACCATCAAAGATGTACTGTATGTTCCAGGTGCTGCAGACAATTTGCTCAGTGTCCCACAGTTGACTGGGCGTGGTTTTGAGATTTCCTTCAAGAGGAGCGTCTGTGTCATCAGAAAAGGCAAAGAGGACATGTTGCATGCAAAGTTTATGGATGGCTTGTTCTGTATAACTTATGATGACATTGGTGCTGTTGTGTCTAATGTTGATTCTTGTTGTGTTGCACAAACTAACAAAGTTCTTCATGCAGGATGCATTCACGATGCACACAGGAGGTTTTGTCACCTCTCTTGGAAGGCACTGGCCAAGATGCCAAAGATGGTTGAGGGTTTGAACATCAAACCCTGTAAGTTTCACATGAAATGTGTATCTTGTGCAGAGAACAAGGTGAAGGTTGCTCCAAAAGGCAAGGAGTCTAGCAGGCAGGCTTCCAAACCCTACCAGCTAGTGCACGCAGACCTGGTTGGTCCACTTGTGCCCTCTTTGGGTGGAGCAAGGTACTTCATGGTTCTAATTGACTCTTTTTCCAGGTACATTCATGTGTTTATGCTTGAGCAGAAATCACAAGCGTTTCCTAAGTTCAAGGCATTCTGTGCTTGGTTGGAGAATGTTCACAGTAAACGCATTGGTTGGTTGTTTACTGATCGGGGCGGGGAGTTCACTTCTCAGCAGTTTGAAGCTTTCCTGATTGAGAAGGGAATCCAGCATGACTTGTCAACGCCTAGATCGCCATGGATGAATGGGCTTGCGGAGCGAGCAAATCAAATGTTGCTGCAAGGAATGAAAACATTGTTGCATGATGCCAATCTCCCTGATAAGTTTTGGGGGGAGGCTCTGTCGAATTTTGTTTACACTTATAATCGCAGATTGTCATCACCTATTGGTTGTACTCCCTATGAGAAGATGTTTGGTAAGAAACCCAACATCAAACACATGAGAATCTTTGGTTCTGACATGTGGGTATACACCCCACAGAGCAACAAGCCTGGGAAGCGTGGGGCACATGGTTTGTTCATGGGGTACGAAAAAGGTGCATACAGGGTATGGATGACCAACTCTAAGTCCATTAAGTTCACAAAGAGTGTTGAGTACAATCCTAAGTGGGGGGGAAATGTGGGAATTTTCCAGAGTTACCCAGAGGAAGATGAAGGTGATGTCAAAGAAGCAGCTAAAGCTGAGGAAGCTGCTGAGGATGATGATGACGATGATGATCAGAGTTCGGATTCCAGTTCAGTGGGCGGCGCTGCTGCTGATGTCGGTGACAGTGATGACACAGCAGACTACAAGAGCGCAAAGGCCTCAGTCAGACCATCTGATGCGTCTGACAATGAACTGGAAGAACCACTGTTCACCATTGGTCACTTTTCTCCTAAGAAAGAGGAGATGAGTCCAGAAGACTTGCGTCTAGTACGCAGATCTGAGAGAGCCACAAAGGGCAGACCTCCAAAGAGATTTGCTGATGAGTTTGCTAAGATGGCAACTGCTGTTCTTAGTAGCTCAGAGAAGGTGTGGGAACCTTCAAGCTTCAAAGAGGTTCAGGAGTTAACCTCTAAAGATGCTGAGCCTTGGCTTAATGCCATGAAGGCTGAAGTTGATTCCTTGAATAGGAACCAAACTTGGGAACTGGTACCGGTAGTCCCAGGGATGAGACTGGTTGGCAGCAAATGGGTCTTCAAGGCCAAGACAGACCAGAATGGCAAGGTTGTCAGACACAAAGCCAGATTGGTTGCCAGAGGTTTTTCACAGGTACCAGGACAGGATTACCACGAGACCTACTCACCCACAGTCAAATATGAGAGCATTCGGCTGATGCTCAAGATAGCTACAGAGGAGAAACTGCATGTTTCCCATCATGACATTAATACAGCTTTTTTGTATGGGGTTTTGGGGGAGGAGCTGTTTATGCTTCCACCTGATGGGATGCAGATACAGAAGGGAATGGTCTGTAAACTGCGGAAATCCTTATATGGTCTCAAGCAGAGTGCTAGGTGTTGGAACACAAAACTCACTGAGACGTTGCTTTCTCTAGGTTTTCACCAGGGCAAAGCTGATCCATGTGTGTTTGTCAAGGAGGAGGGGCAAAACAAACTGTATTGTTTATGTTTTGTTGATGATCTTCTGATGTTTTGGAAGAATCAGGCTTTCTACCAAAGCACCCTAGCTCAGCTGAAGGAGCACTTTGACATGAAGGATCTTGGTGAGGTATCCAACTATCTTTCTCTGCAAGTGGAGAGGGACCAAGCAGGTAATTTTCTGGTACACCAAACACAGAAAATTGCTGATGTATTAACCAGGTTGAATTTGGTTGATGCAAACCCAGCAGACACACCGATGGTGACAGGTTACCAGGTAGACAGTACTGCTGAAGCGTTTTCTGACACTACGCTGTACAGATCCATTCTAGGCAAGTTGAATTTCATTGCTAGATGCTCAAGACCTGACATAGCTGTAAGCACTAACCTGCTTAGCAGGCATGCTAACAATCCTACTGTTCAGGATTGGAAAGCTCTGAAGCGCATAGCCCACTATTTGAAAGGGACTTTGCACTACAGGCTGAGGTTCACCAGTCAGAAGACTGGAGGTCTTGAAATCTTTGCAGATGCAAGTTTTGGAAGTGACACCACGGATGGTACAAGCACTTCTGGAGTATGCTACATGTACAACCACTGCCTGTTTGACTGGTTGTGCAAAAGCAGACGACAGTGAGCCTAAGTTCCTGTGAAGCAGAACTCAATGCTCTGTCATTTTCACTCATGGATTGTGAATGGTTGATGCAACTGTTTAAGGACATCGGAGTTTCTGTGAAATGTTCTGTACAAGTGTATCAAGACAATAGATCGTGTTTGGCTTTGCTGAACTCGGAGAGTTGCAAGCAAAGGACCAAGTACTTGCAGATTAAGCTACATCGTGCAAGAGAGTGTATTCAGAAAGGACTCATTCAGGTGTCCTACATGGCAGGAAATGAAATTCCTGCTGATCTGTTGTCTAAGGTTGTTAACAGAGAACAACTTAAGGTTTACATACAAAGGTTGCAATTGGGTTGAACCACAGGTACTACAGGTTACACGGAAAGGGGGAGGATGTTAGGATATTTCCGTTCCACCTTAAAAGGGAGCAGGCTTTGTGAGTCAGAGTCTGCGTATTTCCTGTTCACAGGATGTTTATGTTTTCTGTTGCTTTCGTTCTCTCTCGGTGTCGTAGACACTAAAGCAGGCAGTCATGTTTTTCTGTGTTCTGATCAACGCTGAATAAACTTGTAAATAATGCTCTCCTGAGTGCAACTTTTTGGCTGTGCATTATCTGCTGATAGAGCGTGCATGAGCTCTGGAATGTGGCAAGATATTTTCTAGAAACTCATGTCGCTGCGTGCCTACGGGAGGTCGATGGATCGTCCAGCAGACGGCTTGGGGGCCATGATGGACTTTATCTCCCTGGCAGTATCCCAACAGACTTCCCATCACCAATTTTGCCCATGCTGCCTCTGAATTTGTACTAGGGAAACATTTTACTGTTACACTGAATGGGAGCAGGGTTGAAGGAAGGCTGAGAGGAAAGAACGCCCTACAGCTGAGGGGGAGGCAGCGGAGAGGCTCCAAGCATTGGAGAGGTTCGCCCCGCCCCCATGGGTGGCTCGACACACCCCTGGCTGCAGGACACGCCCCTGCCCCCTGCACTAGCTAGCTAGGGCAGCTAGCTACGTCACTGCACACATATGCATATGAATCCCCAAAGTAACAGTTCAACAAATAGTCAGGTAAGAAGATATGGCTCCACACGTGAGGAGATATTGTGTTATGGGTTTTTTGAACAAATATTTGCCACACTGCGACTTGTCCACATCTGCAGCCCTCCTGAGGCAGGCTTTTCAGCGAGGGACAATGCAAAGCTGATAGGGCCGAGGGAAGCTGCCTATGCTGCTCATCACTGGTGTGAGATCGATGTCCTTGGGGTCAATGATGGACTTCAGAGTGAAGTTCTGTAATATGGTGGTCAAGAACAAGAAGATCTCCATACGGGCCAGACCTTCCCCCACACATATCCGCTTCCCTGCAAAGGAAACTCAAAGTGTAAGATGCATAACAACCACTTTGGCTGTTACGGAGAAAATAAAAATCATGCCAAAGGAGCAAAGGTGCTGCTCTAGAACAGCTCCTGGGAGAGTCACTCTTTCCACCATTTCTTTTGCTTCAGCTGGCCACAGGAAAGATACAAGGAGTTCTGATGGACCCAGAAGCCTCTGCCCCTCCCTCACAAACTGGCAGCCCTTCCAGTTTAGGCTGCAGGAGGAAGGAAGTTCCCCCTCGTTGCCCCGACACCAGCCGATTAGGGAGACAGGAAAGACCTGAGCCAATTAGGGAGACGGGAAAGACCTACTGAGGAAGCAGAGATCATACCTGCTGAGAAAGGCATGAAATAGTCGCTCTTCCTGAAGGTGCCATCTTTGTGCAAGAAATGTTCTGGGTCAAATTCTTTGGGGTTTGGAAATTCTTTGCTGTCATGTAGCACAGACATCAGACTTGGATATATGGTAGTGCCCTGCAGAGAGTGCAAAAAAATGGTCTGGATGGCCATGACACCCAAAGGAATGGTGTGGGAAGGCACTAACAAAAAGGAAGGTACTTTGTTGATCCAGAAAAAGACTGGAGCAGGTTCAGAAGGCAATAGGGTGTTTAAAATGAAGTCCAGGCCTGAAGATGCCGAGCTACACTTTAGGAGTTGGGCTAAACTACTTCTCTTACTTGTACATAAGAAGAGAAGAAAAGCTCTGCTGGATCAGTCCAGTGGCCCCATTTGGTCCAGCATCCTGTTTTCATAGTGTCCAACCAAATGCCCATGGGAAGCCCTTCAACATAATCTAAGCAAGACAGCTCTCTCTATTCCTGTGGTTTCCACCCACTGGTATTCAGAAGCATGCTGCCTCTCACCATGGAGGTAGAATATAGCCATCATGGCTAGCAGCCTACTATTACTACATAGAGCCTTGAAAAGAGCTGACCTTTGGAATGACATATTGTCTGAACGGTGTATCTTTGAGTACTGCATGAGGGACGCTCAGTGGGACAAGAGAGATGAACCTCTGGATCTCATGGATGACAGCATCTGTGTAAGGCATTTCCCCACGATCTGCTATGCAAGGACTTCGTGATCGGCCAATAACTCGGTCAATTTCTTCATGCACTTTCTCTGCAATGGGAAAAATGAGGTTTAATACCAGTGCAGGAAATATCATAGAAGCAATTGTAATTCCATGGGAGTGCCTGCCAGCCCCTGCACATTTTTGGAGCTTTCAATGTTTTCTGATGCCAACTTTCTGTTGACTGATCACATTAACTCAGACAAATTATTGTAGCTCACCTTCAGTAATCCATCTGTAAACAGGAAAACATAGTATAACTGCAATTATTTATATATTAATTCAATTTCTATCCAAAAGGAGCCCAGCGGGACAAAAGCTTTAGGGAAGTTTTAGGAGCAAGTGATGGTCCAGCTTAGAGAGATTCCTATTGGAGGCACTGTCCTGCAGTGATTCTGATCCTACCTGAGGGCCCTTTGGCCCCTGGCCCTTGTGGTTGTGCCTTTGTCTAAAGCAGTGGTGCCCAAACTTTTTTGAAAGAGGGCCACATTGGATGAAGTAAAGGCTCGTGAGGGCCAACCAAAGGGCCAACCAAAGTTGTTAACCCTTTCTTTTAGGATTTTACCTCAGGAAATAAAATGCCGCTGGGGCAGCAGGCCTGATTAGGTCCCCAAAATGGACTTTGGACATGCCTGTTCTAAAGGATCTGCACTGGCTGCCAGTACACTACTGAGCCAAATTCAGGTTGTTACTGTTTGCATATAAATCCTAGGGTTTGCAATATGGTCAGCTATAAGAGCTCATCCACACTTCTGTTTTTGCTAGGATTTCTAGGCATGGGTCTGAGCATTTTGTCCACCCCCCCACCCTTTGTTGTCTCCAGGAAAGCCTTCTGTCTACTGCTGATGTCAGTCAGCGATGATTAACATTCAGCAATGAACAGTGGGTTTTCCTGGGGAAAGTGGCAGAACAACAACCTCTTGGACCTGTGACACATAAATCTAGGAGAGAACTAGAATAATAAATACTAACATCACTTCCGTTTTACCTTGTATCTCTGGGTGTTTGAGGAGGATCATGAACCCGTATCGCAGTGTGGTGCTGGTGCTCTCTGTTCCAGCCGAAAACAAGTCAATTGTGCTTATGGCCAGGTTTTCAATGGTGAAATGGGATGCACTATTACCTTTTTCCTGCAGAAACACACAACACAGTCAGTGGAGTCAACTCAATTGTTCTGAGTACAACATAACAAGAATTTAACTGCGCCACTGGGACCAGCTCTCTTCCCAAGACACATCTTATCTCAAGTCTTTTTATAGCTTGTTCCTCTGGACATTCCTTATCCAGAGGGCTAATCATTAGAAAGAACTTCCCACTTACTGCAGGAACAAGTCAGCAATGGGAAATGAATCTACTCCAATGGGGTGTGGGCAGGAATCTCTTTCCTTGGCATTCCCCACAAGAAGCTGGATGGAAGTCTGCTGGTTGGGAAGCTTCAGGAGTGTCAGGAGAACCCACATGGAGAGGTCTGTGAGTTTTCATGATTACCTGATCCATTTTCATAAGGAAGCAGTCGATAAAATCCCGAGGTGAGCTGGGGTCCAGAGTGGCCTTGTGCTCTTCAACCTCCTCCAAAACAAACTCTCTGATTGCCAAGTTGTTTTTCAGCAGTTTACAGTGGGGCCCAGGGATGCATTTCATCAAAGAAGGAAAGAGGTTGTAGAGCTAGAAGAAACACCACAAGAGACCCATTGGCACCAACCTCAGTCAGGGTTTGTCCGCACTCGGGCTTCAGTATAACGTTGGCCACTGTTGCCTTGTGTGCATTTCAACTCTGTGGTCCACACACCAGCATCTTCACTGCCAATGCCTCGAATATCTATGTAGATGTTCCCCATCTGCATTACTGGGTGGTGCTTCATTGATTGTACTGCATTGTATTATCTTCCCTTCCCCTCAATTAGTGCTTTCCCATCCTCTACCTAATGGTTGTAGAGGTCATATGCAGATATTTTTTTAAAATTTCACCTATGTGTACCTTTACAAAAAACTGAGAAATCATGCAACAATCCTCCACCCCTACTGCCAAAACTGCTTAAGCTTTACTTCCTTTTCCACTGGGCTGCTGTTAAGTCAAACCTTGGTTACTAGACCCAGGTATTGGCATTGAATGCACCGACCTTGACTGGAACTCCAAATTAAAAACATAAGAATGTAAGAAGAGACTATTGAATCAGGCCAGTGGCCCATCCTGCTGTCACAGTGGCTAACCAGTTACCTATGGCAAACCTGCAACTAGGACATTAACAGAAATATTAAGAGGCAGAGGCAGTATGGGTCATGAGAAGCCTGGAAGAAAGAATTTAAACAGCAGGAAAATTTAGACTTTGTGGAAAAGGGCCTTTAAAAAGATGGCACCTACCAGTCCCCAAGAAGAGCTAAAAACCTGAAAGTTTTCATTTATTAAGCTCATCATGGATAGGAACTTCTTGTCATTATAATTGTATCGTTTCCCAAAGACAATTGCACAAATGACATTGGAGAGAGCGCAACTGAGCGAGTAGGTTGGATCCAAGGGCTTCTCTGGAAGGACAACAAACAAATAATTATACAACCCCATTACAGGTTTTAGGCAATAATCTAGTCTGGAATTTCTGAGCTGCCATTTCCTGGCTCCTGGCCTCAGTGGTCAGACAGGAAGCTGCCTTTCTCACAACAATGCTGGAGGCATGGGCATCTTCAGTGGCTATGAGTGGTTTCTTCCAAGGACTTTCCAAGGTGCTTTCTTCCAGCTTCAGCCAATATATCCTTAGATAGGAAAGGGTGACCACAGTGGAGCAGGCCTTGGTGAAGTCTAGACTAAAACTAGGGAATCTAAAGCACTTCAGATGCTGCTAGACTATAACTTCTGGACCACTGATGACTGTTGGGGCTAAAAGCAGCTGGAATTCAACAATATCTGCAGAGCACTCTTGCAGTTGATAGAGAAGCAGCAGCCGGGCTTTAGTTGGAACTGGTGTGTGTCAGCATATTACACCCCTGCTGAAAGTTATGCATTGTTTGCCAGTACATTGACAAGGTAAGTTCAGTGCATTAGTGGTGTGTATGAAGCCCTCAGTGACCTAGGACCAGGTGACTTAAGGACCACCTTATCCCATACACACTGGTCAGATCACTATGACCATCAGGAGAAGCCTTCCAAATTGCCACACACTCATCACATGTTTGTTTCATATCAATGCAGATATCTGTTATATCTATTAAAACTTTGAGCACAATGGCACCTGTGCTTTGGAATGTGGTTCCTACTGAAACCAGCTAGAATTCTGGCATTTCATCACCTGATGAAAATGTTTGTATTTCACAAGTGTTTTTAGGCAATTTATTTGATTCAGTGTTGGTCACTATTTCAGTGTTTTACGATTTTAAATTTTTTAATAATTTGCTTGTACCCACCATGATATTTCTTTATGAGTTGGTGGTTAATAATCCGTTGTAATGTACCCCAGAATCTGTTGTGATGTTTAAGGGGGTCTGCTTGATAAGCCTATGTGGATGAGGGGCAGTGGCTACCCACCCTGAGTGTCCTGGAACTTTTCTAGCAGGAACTGTGCTTCCTCCTGGATCCTCTCCTCAATACTTTTCTTTCCCATGCCAAAGTTGCGCAGAGTGGTAAGGGCAAAACGTCGGAGCTGCTTCCACACCTCCCCATTGCTGAATACAATTCCTGGAAAGCAGAAGAGGAAATGGGCATGAAGGAGATGGATGGACTGAAAGGGAGAGCAGAAGAAGCAGGTTGGAAGAGCAGGAGGCTCTTATTCTTGGCTCCAGACCACCTGGAGACTTGGTACTTTGGTGCCTCCTTATTCCATAAGCAGTAGCTGGCCAGTCTTCTGATACATGCCCTTACTGTAAAATATATGTGTTTAATGTGAATAAAATGCTATGTTTGTGTGTGTTGTGTATGAAACGTAGTAGAGGTTTGCATTTGCAGAATGTCCATTTTTGCAGCTAAAGCTTAAAAAGAGGTTTCAATGTTTCGATAGTTATGTTAACTGATAATTTATCTCTTGGAGCCTGGGTCTCTCTCTGAAGCTGCCAGTATAATGAAGAAGCAATAGTTCTTGGACTATATTAACCAGAAAGAACTTAAAGAAAACTGGACTTCATTGCTAGTTGTATAAGTGCAAAGTGTTGATTTGTATTTATTTATTTTTTTGGTAACAAATTTAACGATAGCTTGCAGTAACTTTGAAACTCTTTCTTGGTGTGGATAGTTTATTGATTCACAAAATCCAGGCCAGGGGATTCTGCTCACATAACTCTCACACTTACTGCCCACACCAGAATTACCCCAGACCATTATTTTTAAAGGCTAGAGACTCATTCAATCCTGCTTTAATTTTTGATGCTTGCTCTAGGCCAGAGGCGGAGCTAGCTGTAACCACCTTTCTCCGCTACTGCCCTAGATATTGCTTAAGTACTTTTATGAGATGGCTCATTTATCTCTTAAATGGCAATGCCCAATATATAGCTCTGCCATTAAAAGGCTGCTAATTATCTACTGCTACTGTCCAGTGGGAACATTAATTACTACACCCAGGGGTAGTAAGAATGAAGGCCCTTGCCAGGAGTTATGTGTGGTGGCCAGGGATCGACAGAGAGATAGAGGCCTGGGTCAAACACTGCCAGGCCTGCCAAGAATCCCACCCAGATCCCCCAAGGGCCCCAGTCCAGTCCTGGGAGTCCGCCCGAGCACCATGGTCACGCCTGCATGTGGACTTTGCTGGCCCCTTTCAGAGGAAAACATTCTTCATAGTGGTGGACTCCTACACCAAATGGCTGGAAGTCGCACTGGTACCATCCACTTCTACGTCCGCATCCATCCGGGTACTACGCAGGCTGTTTGCAACCCACGGGCTCCCTGACACTGTCGTCTCAGACAACAGGACTGCATTTACGTCAGAAGAATTCCAAACCTTCACAGCGCAGAACGCCATCTGCCACATCCGTTCAGCGCCATTCCACCCTGCCACCAATGGCCAAGCAGAACGCATGGTGCGGACCACCAAGGACACCCTTCGCCGCATGACACAAGGGGATTGGGAGTACCGCCTTGTCACATTCCTTCTAGCACAGCACAGCACCCCCAGCTCAACGACTGGCCGGAGCCCCGCTGAACTACTAATGGGTCGGCGCCTTGCAATCAGATTGGACCGCCTTCACCCCAATAGAGTTCAGGCTGAGGTAGTGGTGGGGGAAGGCAGAAACCCCCGGACCTTCGAGGCCCAGGACCCAGTGTACGCAAAGAATTTTGGGGCAGGCCCAGCATGGGTACCTGCCACAGTCACCAGGGTCACTGGCCCCATGTCGTACGAGGTGCTAACAGATGGGGGGCAATGCTGGCGCCGCCACTGCGACCAGATACGGCGACGATTCCCGGGATAAAACCAGGAGGAGGACAGGTCAGAGGAGTCCCAAGGGAACAGTGGGGCAGTGAGGCCCATAGAGCAGGAGGGGTCAGCAGGAGAGGCAGAATCAGTAAATACAGAGAGGACCCGTGAGGCCGAAAGGACACCGGAACCAGAACCACGACTGAGCGAGCCAGTTGCGCCAGACCAAACAGCCCCATCACAGCCAGCATCCTTGGAACACAAGCCAGAGCCTGAACCCCGGACCAGGGAACACCCCAGGCCGCAACGTACACGTAGGCCGCTGGCATACCTTGAGGACTATGAATGCGACCTCCGGGGCAGGACTGGAACTTAGAGGGGAGGGGTGTTATGTACTGAGTTGAATAGGATCCAAACTGCAGCAGTCTGATTGGTCCTAGAACAATGCAGCAGTATAATTGGTTGACAGGAACCACCCAATCATGCTCCAGATAGAAGTGAATCCACAACCTGATTGGCTTACAGTAGAATTCTGGAATTAGCCAATCATGTGCAGCCCATTGTATAAATAATGTATATAAAACAAATACTTTGAGGAGACATTCATTCTTCCTCCTCACCACTATGAGCTGAATAAAGAGCATGAAATCACTTTGCGACTCTGAGTATATTTCAGGAATGTTTATCTCAAGATGCAATGACTTGTCTTTGCAACCTTTTTTGCTTTATTTTCATGAATAGAGGGATTTTCCTTTGTGGTCCCCCCCCCTCCACTGGTCAACCAGCATAAAATACCTAATCCCTTGTAGACATCATCAGCTAATGGCAGGCGTCCCCTGGCAGCAAATTCATCTCCACGGTCGATCAGTGCTTCTTTCACTGCATCATAGCCATGCAGCACCACAACCCGTTCTGCTCCAAAATACATTGTGAACACAGAGCCATACTTCTCACCAAACTGGAAAAAAGATAGAGAAGGACACACATCTAGGAGGGTTTGCGGGTTAGGAGAGAGTCACATAGCTGATGTAGAGCCCCGCTGCCCCCAGACTCACTATGGGCATCTGAACCACATGACTCTTCATAACATACAGAAGAGCTCTGCAGCTAGATCAGGCCGAAGGCCAACTAGTCCACGACTGTTATCACAGTGGCCAACACAGTTCTTCTGGGAAGCTCAAAAACAAGACCCGAGTGCAATAGCACGCTCCCCTCCTGCAGGTCCCTGGAACTGGTGGAGGTTCAGCATCATCACTAGCAGCTATGGGTAGCTTTATCTTCAATGAATTTTGTCTTAACAAAATTCCACAGTGAATTCCACAGTTTCAATATGCACTGTATGAAGAACTACTATCTTGCGTGTGTTGTAAATCTTCCAACATTCAGCTTTAACTGAAGGCTCCACGTTTTAGCTTTACAGACCCTTCATGTGTCCCTATTTTCCAGGGACATCCCTGATTTAGAGAAGCCATCCCAGTTTGATCACAGAATGTCCCCCCTTTTCCTTAGGATGTGCCTATTTTCACTGGGGAAATGTTGGAGGGTATAGAGTTATACGACCCCCTCTGAAGGCAATCCTGAATAGGGAAGTGTTTTCTTGTTTAATTTTTAATGTTTTATTATGTTTTTATATATGTTGGAAGCTGCCCAAAGTGGCTGGGGCAACCCAGTAAGTTGTGTGGGCTATAAATAGTAAAATTATCATTATGGAATGGGATGTCCCTATTTTCATTGGAGAAATGTTGGAGGGTATGGCATTATGAGAGGGGGGTAAAAGTGTTTTCCCATCCACTTTCTCTATATCGTGAATATAGTTATGTCCCCCTCACACTCATTTTTCTAAGGGAATTCTTACAGTACCTTCCCACCGAGCACATTCTGGGGAAAATAAAGGAGCAGCTTTTCAAAATATAAGAAGACTATGAACTCCCCACTGTCCAGCAGAGGCTAAAAATGTTCAGAGGGCAAAAATGCGCAAACCATCCATGTGTGGAGGGAGAACTGGACCCGCCCCTGCCCCCTGTCTCTAAAATAGTATGAAAATTGCACTATTGCTTTTTAAAGTTCTTTACTCAGAAAGGGGCTTTATGGCTTTTATTTTAAGGATAAAATAATAAAATAACAATAAAACAACCCCCTTTGTGGAGTTGTGGGACCTGCTCAAAGTCCACCTCTTTTCTGTGGAGCCTTTGCGACAAGTCCCTGCTCCCCATCCCTGCTGATGTAGCCAAGCGCAAGTCCGTGCCACTGAAATCACAGCGATTCTGCTATTCTGGGGCGCTGGTCTGGATGCCGCCCTCCGGCTCTTGCCTCTCCTCTGTCAAAGTGCAGAGTCTGTTGCCTTAGACTCTGCAAATGTGCCCTGCACACAGATGGTACCATCTATAAATAAACAAACTGACAATGGACTGTCCCCTTCCAAAAGAGTCAGATGGAAAGAGCCTTGCAAACAGGTAACGGTCATCAACAGACAACTGTTGAGGAAGGTGCTCATCTTTGGCTTACCTCCTGGAGAACCTGGGCCAAGTTGTTGGTCTTCAACTGCAGAGCGTTCCCTACGATGGGCAGTGGAGGTGGGCCAGGTGGCAGCTGCTTTGCATTCTCTGGCGTCCTGCTCCTGACTGCAAGGAAAACAAGGCAAGAGATACATATGATCATCAAAATGGTCACTGTCCCTAGAGGCTCCATGGCACCAGCTAACAGTGACTGAAATGACTCTAGACAAATTAATTTGATTTCCAGTTTATATACTCTGAGGAGGTCACATAGACATGGACTTTCACCAATAGGAATTCTAGGTTTCTCTGAGTAAATGAGATTAGCCATTAAGTAGATAAGGTTGTATAATCAAGAAATGAACTTCTCTGAACTTCTTTTTCTTCATTGATTATTAAGGCAATGATAACGGCATTACTGCGCACAAGGTCTGTGATGTAAGACAACCAGGGGTCAGGTTTTTTTCCTGCCAAACATTGTAATGTACCCTTGAGGCAAATGGTTCTGCTTCTAAGGTGCTTTCAGGACCAGGTTCCTGCAGGAGAGCTTCTTGGAGGTTTCTTGCACCTCAGATGCCCACAAATGTGAAATAAAATTGAAATAAACTTGAAGGCAGGTCCATAATGGAGCTCAGCCTCAGCAAAATACATCGCTTTTAGCAGACCTTGAAGCTTGGGTGAAGTAAACTGAGAAGTTTATGTACAGTTTCTGGATTTCTACAGCTTTATTCATGCAGGAACAGAATTACATATACTATACTGAACAGAAATCGCACGGCGGTGGCGAGAGGCCCCAATAGGTAAAGTGGTACCTCAGGTTAAGAACAGTTTCAGGTTAAGAACGGACCTCCAGAACAAATTAAGTTCTTAACCCGAGGTACCACTGTATATTGAATTCTTCCCTGCTTTGCACCATAAGGTCCCATGGCAGGTTACAGCAATCTAAAATATCAATATTAAGCAGTATAGTGTAGGTGTACTCTCATTTTGACTCAAGAAAATCACCATTTTATAGTTCAAATCGGGAAAAATAAATGCAGTAAATGGACCAAAGGCTGCCATCAGGGGTAGCAACGGAACTGCCGCTTCACTACGCTGTGAAGAAATTAAATATTTTAATTTTTTTAGTTTCTTCTCCCGTTAGATTCACAAAATGTTTAGGGGTATGTGTACCCCTGCGTCCCTCCAGAAAAAAGCACTGTACAGTGGTACTGTTAAGTTGTGGGCGAACATGTCAGACGACATAGCGATTTTTTAAACAGCTCTTCTTTATTCAGATGCCAGAACAGAACTAGGCTGAGGAGCTCAGTCAGCCTGCTTATATAGAGCTCCAGAACAATGCAACTGTTGCCATTTTCTAAAACTATCCAATCACTGAACGTCACTTTTAGATCCTTCATTTGCATACAAAACTATCCAATCACTGAACGTCACTTTTCGATCCTTCATTTGCATAACTATCTACAGTATCCCCCTGCTGGCCCAGGGTGAGAACTTCAGTACATAACACCCCTCCCCACCGAGATAAGGCATTAGTTACAATCGTAATGGTTTCCTTATATACAGCACTACATGTAATGGTTCAATTAGGCACAAAAGCATATCGGTTACATTTCACATACTTAGACCAACAGTGATACATGTCCAACAACATAATCCTTTAAATAAGTTGGGCGCTTGGAAACTCTGTCAGACCGCTGGGGACTGGTAGCCAAATCCGGGGGGCCACACAATTCTTGCTGAGGCTGTGGTGCGACCCTAGGTGGCGTTGAAACCAAATCCCCTGGATCTGCTGCTGTGGGTGGAGCCTCCACAAGTGGAGTGGTCTGAGCCTGTGGTAAGTCTGGCAGACCCTCTGAAGTGGCTTGGTTCGGCTCCACGCTGGCAGTTTGCGAGGGAGGTGTAGGTGGAGCCTCACCATCTGTAAGTGTCTCTTTGGGAGCCACGATCGCAGTTGGGGGCACCACGGTAGTGTCCAAGTCCCCAACCCTGCGCCTAGGCTGGTCTATGTGCCGGCGCCACAAGCGTCCGTCTTCGAGTGCCACCTGGTACGAGCAAGGTCCAGTGACTCCCACTACTGTGGCTGGCACCCAAGGAATGTCCCCCACATAGTTCCGGGCAAAGACCTGGTTTCCTGGAACAAATGACCGTGGCTTGTTGGCACAGCCTGGGGGTTCGGCCACAGCAAAGTCTGGGTGCAGCCGGTCGAGCGGTGACCTGAGGCGGCGGCCCATAAGCAGTTCAGCAGGACTCCGCCCTGTGGCCGCATGAGGGGTGATGTGTTGCACGAACAAGTATTCGGTGACCCGCTCGTGCCAGTCTCCCCGGTCCAGGTGCGCCAGTGCCTCTTTTGCTGAGTGCACCATTCTCTCCGCTTGCCCGTTGCTGGATGGATGAAATGGTGCCGTTAGGGCATGGCGGATGTCCATCCCAAAAGATACTGCTCAAAAGTGCCTGACGTGAACTGCGGTCCGTTGTCAGAGACAAGGACATCAGGACACCCATGCGTCGCAAAGAGGCCTCGCAGCACCCAGATGACGGCCTCTGTAGTGGTGGAGGGCATCAGGGCCACCTCCAGCCATTTGGAATAGGCGTCCACCACTACCATCAAGGTCCGGCTGTGAAAGGGGCTGGCCAGATCGATGTGCACCCTTGACCAGGGTGTCTTTGGCGTCTCCCAAAGTCCTGCCATAGAGGTATTCATAGAACCTCTTCACTCCAGCCACAAGTGCCAGTGCCTCCTTGTCGAGCTGGCTGTAATTCCGTTCAGTCAGAGATAGCGTCCTGGAAAAGTAGGCGAGCAGTGCTTCTCTTCCGTCTGGAAAACGGTGACTAAGGACAGCACCAATGCCAAACGGTGAGGCGTCGCAGGCAAGGACCAGAGGCCTGGCTTCACTGTACTGTACCAGCACACTGTCCGATGAAAGGAGAGCCTTGACCGTGTTGAAGGCTGCCGTCTCCTGATGACCCCAGGACCAAGGCGTCTTTGTGCTGAGGAGTCAGTGAAGAGGCTCAGCCACCGTGGCTTTGTGGGGCAGGAACATGTTATAAAAGTTCAGCAGCCCCAGGAACGCCTGCAACTCTGTCTTGTTCTTTGGGATAGGGGTCTGCTGGATAGCGCGGATCTTGGATGTGGTCGGGTGAAGGCCGGAGGCATCGATAAGATAGCCCAGGAACTCCACCTGTGGAACAGCGATCTGGCACTTCTCCCTCTTTACCTTGAGCCCGTCCTCTTGGAACCTGGCCAGCACGGCACGGAGGCGCTCGAACAGCTGCTGGTGTGAGTCTGCGGACACCAAGACGTCATCAAAATATGGTACCACGCCCGGAAGCCCTTGCAGGAGACGCTCCATAAGGCTTTGGAAGATGCCAGGAGCCACACTCACCCCGAACTGCAACCGGCGGCAACGGAATGCCCCTCGGTGGGTGACGATCGTCTGGGCTTCAGCAGTGGCATCATCGATGGGCAGTTGTTGATAGGCTTGGGCAAGGTCCAGCTTAGCGAAGACCTTACCCTCACCCAGGGAATGCAGCAGGTGTTGGATAACAGGAACCGGATAAGCGTGCTGCTGAAGTGCCTGGTTGATCGTGCACTTGTAGTCAGCGCAGATTCTCACCGACCCGTCTGGCTTGACAGGCGTGACAGTGGGGGTTTCCCACTTGGCGTGGTCAACCGGCTCCAAAACTCCTTGGGCGATCAGCTTGTCCAGTTGTTCTTCCACCTTAGCCTTGAGAGCAAAGGGAATCCGGCGTGGCTTTAGCTTGATGGGGGCGACTTGTGGATCAAGGCTAAAGGAGATGGGCGTACCTGTATATTGCCCCAAAGTGCCGTCAAAAACCTCTGCAAAGTCTTCAACCAGACCCTCAGTCTCTGCGTTAGAGATGCAGTTGATGCCGGTGACTTCCAGGCTGAGGGCATCAAACCAGTCTAGGCCTAGGAGGCTTGGCCGCTGACCTTCGACCACCACTAGTCGGAGCAGGCCCGAAAAATTCTTGAAGGCGATCCGGAACCGGCCAACGCCTACCATGGGAATGTCGTTTCCCTGGTAGTCTCTCAGGTGTATGAGGTGAGAGTCGAGTTGCCTTTTGGACACTCTGGGTACCAGTCTTTTGATGGTGCTCCAAGACACGATGGACAGGGCAGACCCGGTATCGATCTCCATGTCACATGGAGCTCCTTCAATGAGCACTGTGACGTTCAGCTTGCGTCGCGTAGGTGAGTCGGTTTGGCCAATCGTGGTTCCAGATGGGCAGCGGCAGTTGGTGAGAGCGAAACAGCTTTCCTTGGCAGACTGGAGTGAAGACTTGGACTTGTGAGTCGGTGAAGGGGGGGGTGTCAGATGGAGCCGATCGGCAGACCTTAGCGATGTGGCCCCTTCTGGAACACGTCCGACAGATGGTGTCTCTGAATCGACACTCGGCACGGGAATGGTTGCCTCCACAGCCAGCGCATTCCGGTTGGCCCTTGGACTTCTGTTGGAACTTCCTGCGCTCCCGCCTTGTCTGGTGCACATCATCGTCTTCACTGGAGGATGCCTCATCACTGCTGGCCTCTTCGTGATGCACTGGAACTGGCTCCCTAACAAGACGCAGGCTGCTGGCCTTGAGGATCTCCTGGGCGGAGCGTTCAGCAGCTTTTGAGGCCACAGCCTCCTCAATGGCTTACTACAGCGTGAGGTCTGGCTTGGCGAGGAGACGCCGTTGCAGATGGATGTCCCGTACCCCGCAGACGATTTGATCCATCAGGGCATCATCTAAGTCTCGGAACTCGCAGTGCATTGCAGCCTGTCGCAGGGTGGTTGTGTAGTTGTTGATTGACTCCCCCTCTGCCTGGTTCCGGTGGTAAAACGCATGGCGGGCAGCAATCTTGGACGGCTTTGGTGCCTAGTGGTTGCAGAGCTTCTCTTGGATCGTGTCCCACGGTGTTGCCTGGACTGCTTCAGGCGCAACCAATGCTCGGGCCGTCTCAAACACCTCAGGCCCACAGAGGCTGAGGAATAGGCCCCGCTTCCGCTCCTTTGATACTTCTGTCAGCTCCTTGGCTTGGAGGTAGCAGTCCAACTGAGCAAGGTAGGAGTCCCATGATTCAGAGGCTGGCGCAAACGGCGGTAGAGGCACAAGTGAAGCCATGATTCCGATGCCGGCGAGAAGGGCGATGGATGGAACACCGTGCTCTAGCCAGAACAGTCACCTCTGAATTGGTTCTGTTCAGTGATTTCGCTCAGTGATTCAGCTCAGTGATTCAGCTCTGCTCAGAGGGTGGCTGCATCTGGCTGTGCTCTGATGTCCATCGATCCCACCTTCGTCGCCAGTGTTAAGTTGTGGGCGAACATGTCAGACGACACAGCGATTCTTTAAACAGCTCTTCTTTATTCAGATGCCAGAACAGAACTAGGCTGAGGAGCTCAGTCAGCCTGCTTATATAGAGCTCCAGAACAATGCAACTGTTGCCATTTTCTAAAACTACCCAATCACTGAACGTCACTTTTAGATCCTTCATTTGCATACAAAACTATCCCATCACTGAACGTCACTTTTCGATCCTTCATTTGCATAACTATCTACAGTATCCCCCTGCGGGCCCAGGGTGAGAACTTCAGTACATAACAGGTACCTTGGGTTACAGACGCTTCAGGTTACAGACTCCGCTAACCCAGAAATATTACCTCGGGTTAAGAAGTTTGCTTCAGGATGAGAACAGAAATCGTGCTCCAGTGGTGCGGCAGCAACAGGAGGCCTCATTAGCTAAAGTGGTGCTTCAGGTTAAGAACAGTTTCAGGTTAAGAACGGACCTCCAGAACGAATTAAGTACTTAACCTGAGGTACCACTGTACATTATTAATAATACTAATATTATGTTGTTGTTGTTGCCACCCATTCTGCATCTAAGGAAGTATGCCCTAGCAAATCTTACTCCCTTTACAAATAAACACAGTTAAGTCTTTAAATTGCCACAGACCTTCTCCTATTTTTATATGCAACTTAGATAAAAAGAAGCAATGGCAAACTGCTTAAAAGTGTGGGCATGGGAGAGGGTTTTCATCAGCTAATATAAGCTTGTTCAGAGGGGCAGTTTGAGACAAAATACTATACTTTAATCCTGTGTGGACGTGGTCTATAAATGTCTGTAAATTCTGGATTGCTTGCATGGTTACATCGTAAGCAGCAGGTCATCCTTAGATTAGATGTGTCAGGGGAATCAGTAGTGAAAGTACAGGTTTGCCACTGATCATACAAACAAATACAAATGCTGTGGGATGGGGGGGATTAAGGGCAATTGGGGCTAGGGAGGAATACAGAGGTTTGGGGGCATGTGAGGAAGGGGGAGGATGCGTAGGGGAGGTGGGGAGACAGGGGGTTGTTTGATTTTGTTGTAAAATTCCAAAAATAAATAACAAAAAGTTGTTTGCATTGCTAATTAAAAGTAAAAGTTGTGTTTCTGCTGTCTCGATGTCATTTGCTAAAACCAAATGTGTTTTAAAAATTGAACCTATACAGCAGAAATACGCACCACTGTGTTCAATGGCTCTTACTCACAGCCATGCACAGAACTGCAGTCATGTGCCATAAATTTAATCATGAGATTTTATTAGTAATTTGTTTTAAATGTCTGTGTTTTAAAGGTGGAGGGATTTTTTAAAGCAATGTGTTAGAAAAGCAAGATATTTAAATCCCGGTGGCCTGACTCTGGATTTTATTATGGAGCTGTCATTGATGCACTACACAGTTAGGAATAGCCCTCAAATGTTGCTGGGAACTGCAAATGGGGAGGAGAGCACTGTAGCGCTCAGTTGCTCCTTGAGGGCTTCTCATAGGCATCTGGTTGGCCACAGGGAGAGCAGGATGCTGGACTAGATAGGCCTTTGACCTGCTCCAGCAGAGTTCTCTTTTGTTCTCTCTCCTTCTGAGAGCAGCCATTCAAACCACCCTAAAAAGCAACCTACTGCGCATGCTCCTGCAGCTATCTCTTGGAAGAGAAGGGGGAACAATAACTGCCACACCTTACTCTAGTAAATGAAGGTGTGCTGGATTGCTCCTTATACAATGAATGGCAGTAGCCTGGGTTACATTAGAAACAAAGGCTAAGCTCCGAAGTGCATAAGCAATGCCTGGTAGAAACGAGAAGGAGCTTAGGATTTCAGGGGGTGAAGGTATCAGTGGCCTGCAAAGCAACTCTTTCCTCCTGAAGCCTTGCAGAGTCAGAATAAAACCCCAACTTCTCTCACCACCAAAGGAACACAAGTGAACAACACAAGCAACGCTGACACCAAACTCTACATACATTAAACATAATAGAAACACCGCCACCCGACCCCGACTCCATCCATCTTCCCTCTCTTCACCCCCCTTCTTTTTTCCTTTTTTTCTTCTCCCCCAATGCCTCAACAAATGAAACGGATTTGTAAAAATGTCACATGGAAAATAAATAAATGAGGCATTACACTTCTGTAAAACAAGAAAATCCTTAATAAAATATTTTTTAAAAAGAATAAATTATGCAAACAAATGTAGTTTACTGCATCAGGAATCCTCGTTATTTTACTGTACACAGCTTCAGTAATGTTTGGTTGTGAAGCAGTTTATAAATCTGCAAATAAAATAAAATTGCTATACTTGCATAATCTTTACAAGTGACAGCATTCAGTTTGTCAAAGTATTATTTATTTAGCTCTGGGAGGGTGAAGGACACTTATAAAGCTATTCCATTTCACAAACAGGTAAAAAAAATACATACATCTGGATGTGCTCTTATTCTCCAGAAGAAGTGGAGCAGTGGTTTTCTATGCTAGTGAAACCATCACACTTCTCCAAACTTTGGTTTGAAGAAGACCTTCAGGAGTTTCAATGGGGACAGAGGACAAGCCCCGAATTCTTCTCCAGCTTGAATTAAAATCAGAGACAAGTTCCTTCCTCTTGCCCCTTCCATTCAGTGCAATGGAGAAACATTACTTCACTACTTTGAATAGGAGCTAATTGAGAGGGTGCAGGAACCAAAAAGAAAAATTCTGAAGACAGAAGAGGAAGACCATTCTCCCTTGGTTAACTTCATAGGTGGACTTCCCCTCACCAATTTTGCCCAGGCTGCCTCTGAATTTGTACTAGGGAAACATTTTTCTGTTACACTGAATGGGAGCAGGGCTGAAGGAAGACTGAGAGGAAAGAAATTCTGACAATTCTTTGAAAGTTTTCCCTCTCCAACTCCTCCTGGAGATTTTCAGACCTCCCTTGGGGAATATTCAGTGAAATGACCTTCCTTATTTTGCCACCCACAAAGTAAGTGGAGAATTTGGGGGAGGGCCATTTTCACTCTGTTCTAGATTTTTTTTTAAAAAATAAGATATTTATTAAGGTTTTCAAAATATTACAAAATAAAAATAGAAAAAAGAAAAATACAAAATAAAAATAGTTAAAAACAACTCAATCTTTCCATTACTTATTTTTCATTAGCTTGTTTCCCGGACCTCCTAGATTTTTAAAGACAATGAGAGCCTTGGTTGGGCTCAGGGGGATAAAAAAGAAGTTTTCTCATCCAAGTTCATCCAAGGTGGGCTTGGGAGATCTTGCCCATCTATGCTCTGTGCCTTTCTTGAAGATATGTTTCCTAGGACTAGCATATCACTGGATCCAACTTAGTTCATTCCCCATACTTACTCAGAAGTTCAGTTGCATCCAGTATTGCTATCTGTTCTTTAGAACATGATTACCCTTAAAGGGATTTTTGGCAAACATTTGTAAATGTCAAGTCTCAAGGATGTTCTGCTAGGTGAAAGGGGAAAAGATTTCAAAAGCTATTGATTTCTGCAGCACCCTCCAAAGACACAAAGAGTAACAGGACTTCTTCTCAGTGGCTAAAAAGCTTCCATCTTGGCAGATTTTGCCCATCACACTCATACAGTGGTGGAAGAAGGGGGTGTGGGGGTGCATCTGCCCTGGATGTCATCACTGGGGTGTGTGTGACAAAATCAGTTTTTAAAAAATTGGCCTCACGAATATTTTTTGGAGTGACATGGTGGTTTAGGCACCTGCAAGTTTCGCGCTGCAGCGTGGGATTTCTGTCTGCCTCTCCCTCAGACACCCTACAGCTGAGAGGGAGGTGGCGAAGAGGCTCCAAGCATTGGAGAGGCTTGCCCCACCCCCATGGGTCACTCAACACAACCCTGGCTGCAGGACATGCCCCCGCACCAGTCACTCCAGCGGCTAGCTACGCCACTGCACACATATGCATATGAAGGGGCAAGAAAGATAAGAATGGGATTTTTGTGTGTGTGACTAATTTCTAAATGCTGCTATTTGTCCATTGCAATAATGTCTTCAACGTGAAATAGTCTCTAGCATGATCCCCAAAGTAACAGTTCAACAACTAGTCAGGTAAGAAGATAGGGCTCCACACGTGAGGAGATATTGTGTTATGGGTTTTTTGAACAAAGATTTGCCAGGCTGCGACTTGTCCACATGTGCAGCCCTCCTGAGGCAGGCTTTTCAGCGAGGGACAATGCAGAGCTGATAGGGCCGAGGGAAGTTGCCTATGCTGCTCAACACAGGTGTGGGATCGATGTCCTTGGGGTCAATGATGGACTTCAGACTGAAGTTCTGTAATATGGTGGTCAAGAACAAGAAGATCTCCATACGGGCCAGACCTTCCCCCGCACATATCCGCTTCCCTGCAAAGGAAACCACAAGTGTAAGACGCATAACAACCACTTTGGCTGTTACGGAGAAAATAACAATCATGCCAAAGGAGCAAAGGTGCTGCTCCAGAACAGCTCCTGGGAGAGTCACTCTTTCCACCATTTCTTTTGCTTCAGCTGGTCACAGGAAAGGTACAAGGAGTTCTGATGGACCCAGAAGCCTCTGCCCCTCCCTCACAAACTGGCAGCCCTTCCAATTTAGGCTGCAGGAGGAGGGAGGTTCCCCCTCATTGCCCCGACACCAGCCGATTAGGGAGACGGGAAAGACCTGAGCTGGCCAAGACTGCAGCCAACTGAGGAAGCAGAGATCTTACCTGCTGAGAAAGGCATGAAATAGTCGCTCTTCCTGAAGGTGCCATCTTTGTGCAAGAAATGTCCTGGGTCAAATTCTTTGGGGTTTGGAAATTCTTTGCTGTCATGTAGCACAGACATCAGACTTGGATATATGGTAGTGCCCTGCAGAGAGTGCAAAGAAATGGGCTGGATGGCCATGACACCCAAAGGAATGGTGTGGGAAGGCACTAACAAAAAGGAAGGTACTTTGTTGATCCAGAAAAAGACTGGAGCAGGTTCAGAAGGCAATAGGGTGTTTAAAATGAAGTTCAGGCCTGAAGATGCCAAGCTACACTTTAGGAGTTGGGCTAAACTACTTCCCTTGCTTGTACATAAGAAGAGAAGAAAAGCTCTGCTGGATCAGTCCAGTGGCCCCATCTCGTCCAGCATCCTGTTTTCATGGTGTCCAACCAAATGCCCATGGGAAGCCCATCAACATAATCTAAACAAGACAGCACTCTCAGTTCCTGTGGTTTCCACCCACTGGTATTCAGAAGCATGCTGCCTCTCACCATGGAGGTAGAATATAGCCATCATGGCTAACAGCCTACTATTACTACTTAGAGCCTTGAAAAGAGCTAACCTTTGGAATGACATATTGTCTGAACGGTGTGTCTTTGAGTACTGCATGAGGGACGCTCAGTGGGATGAGAGAGATGAACCTCTGGATCTCATGGATGACAGCATCTGTGTAAGGCATTTCCCCACGATCTGCTATGCAAGGACTTCGTGATCGGCCAATAACTCGGTCAATTTCTTCATGCACTTTCTCTGTAATGGGAAGAATGAGGTTTAACACCAGTGCAGGAAATATCATAGAAGAAATTGAAACTTCATGGGAGTGCCTGCCAGCCCCTGCACATTTTTGGAGCTTTCAATGTTTTCTGATGCCAACTTTCTATTGACTCATCATATTAACTCAGACAAATTATTGTAGCTCACCTTCAGTAATCCATCTGTAAACAGGGAAATATTGTATAACTGCAATTATTTATATATTAATTCAATTTTTATCCAAAAGGAGCCCAGAGGGACAAAAGCCTCCTCTTTAGGGAAGTTTTAGGAGCAAGTGATGGTCCAGCTTAGAGGGATTCCTATTGGAGGCACTGTCCTGCAGTGATTCTGATCCTACCTGAGGGCCTTTTGACCCCTGGCCCTTGTGGTTGTGCCTTTGTGGGCTACCCTTCAGGCTGGCACAAAAAGTGCAGCTGGTGCAGGATGTGATGCCTTTGTCTAAAGGATCTGCACTGGCTGCCACTATACTACTGAGCCAAATTCAAGTTGTTACTGCTTGTATATAAAATCCTGGGGTTTGCAATATGGTCAGCTATAAGAGCTCATCCACACGTCTGTTTTTGCTGGGATTTCTAGGCATGGGTCTGAGCATTTTGTCCACACACACATCCCCACTGTGGTCTCCAGGAAAGCCTTCTGTTTACTGCTTATGTCAGTCAGCGATGGTTAACATTCAGCAATGAACAGTGTGTTTTCCTGGGGAAAGTGGCAGAACAACCACCTCTTGGACCTGTGACACATAAATCTGGGAAAGAACTAGAATAATAAGTACTAATAACGCATCTGTTTTACCTTGTATCTTTGGGTATTTGAGGAGGATCATGAACCCGTATCGCAGTGTGGTGCTGGTGGTCTCTGTTCCAGCCGCAAACAAGTCAACTGTGCTTATGGCCAAGTTTTCAATGGTGAAATGGGATGCACTATTACCTTTTTCCTGCAGAAACACACAACACAGTCAGTGGAGTCAACTCAATTGTTCTGAGTACAACATAACAAGAATTTAACTGTGCCACTGGGACCAGCTCCCGTCCCAAGATACAACATCTTATCTCAAGTCCTTTTACAGCTCATTCCTCTTGACATTCCTTGCCCAGAGGGCTAATCATTAGAAAGAACTTCCCACTTACTGCAGGAACAAGTCAGCAATGGGAAATGAATCTACTCCAATGGGGTGTGGGCAGGAATCTCTTTCCTTGGCATTCCCCACAAGAAGCTGGATGGAAGTCTGCTGGTTGGGAAGCTTCAGGAGTGGCAGGAGAACCCACATGGAGAGGTCTGTGAGTTTTCATGATTACCTGATCCATTTTCATAAGGAAGCAGTCGATAAAATCCCGAGGTGAGCTGGGGTCCAGAGTGGGCTTGTGCTCTTCAACCTCCTCCAAAACAAACTCTCTGAGTGCCAAGTTGTTTTTCAGCACTTTATGGTGGGGCCCAGGGATGCATTTCATCAAAGAAGGAAAGAGGTTGTAGAGCTAGAAGAAACACCACAAGAGACCCATTGGCACCAGCCTCAGTCAGGGTTTGTCCACACTCGGGCTTCAGTATAATGTTGGCCACTGCTGCCTTGTGTGCATTTCAACTCTGTGTCCACACACCATCATTTTCACTACCAATGCCTCCCAAATCTATGTAGATGTTCCCCATCTGCATTACTGGGTGGTGCTTCATTGATTGTACTGCATTGTATTATCTTCCCTTCTCCTCAGTTAGTGCTTTCTCACCCTCTGCCTAATGGTTGTAGAGGTCATATGCAGATTTTTTTATTTTTTTATTTCTCCTATGTGTACCTTTACAAAAAACTGAGAAATCATGCAACAATCCCCCACCCCCACTTCCAAAACTGCTTAAGCTTTAGTTCCTTTTCCACTGGGCTGCTGTTAAGTTAAACCTTGGTTACTAGACCCAGGTATTGGGACTGAATGCACCGACCTTGACTGGAACTCCAAATTAAAAACATAAGAACGTAAGAAGAGACTATTGAATCAGGCCAGTGGCCCATTGTGCTGTCACAGTGGCTAACCAGTTACCCATGGCAAGGCTGCAACTAGGACATTAACAGAAATATCAAGAGGCAGAGGCAGTATGGGCCATGAGAAGCCTGGAAGAAAGAATTTAAACAGTAGGAAAATTTAGACTTTGTGGAAAAGGGCCTTTAAAAAGATGGCACCTACCTGTCCCCAAGAAGAGCTAAAAACCTGAAAGTTTTCATTCATTAAGCTCATCATGGATAGGAACTTCTTGTCATTATAATCGTATCGTTTCCCAAAGACAATTGCACAAATGACATTGGAGAGAGCGCAACTGAGCGAGTAGGTTGGATCCAAGGGCTTCTCTGGAAGGATAACAAAAAAAATAATTATACAACCCCACTACAGGTTTTAGGCAATAATCTAGTCTGGAATTTCTGAGCTGCCATTTCCTGGCTCCTGGCCTCAGTGGTCAGACAGGGAGCTGCCTTTCTCACAACAATGCTGGAGGCATGGGCATCTTCAGTGGCTATGAGTGGTTTCTTCCAAGGACTTTCCAAGGTGCTTTCCTCCAGCTTCAGCCAATATATCCTTATATAGGAAAGAGTGACCACAGTGGAGCAGGCCTTGGTGAAGTTTAGACTAAAACTAGGGAATCTAAAGCACTTCAGATGCTGCTGGACTGTAACTTCTGGACCACTGATGTCTGTTGGGGCTGAAAGCAGCTGGAATTCAACAATATCTGTGGAGCACTCTTGCAGTTGATAGAGAAGCAGCAGCTGGGCTTTATTTGGAACTGGTCTGTGTCAGCATATTACACCCCTGCTGAAAGCTATGCATTGCTTGCCATTACATTGACAATGTAAGTTCAGTGCATTACTGGTGTGTATGAAGCTCTGAGTGACCTAGGACCAGGTGACCTAAGGACCACCTTGTCCCATACACACTGCGCAGATCACTATGACCATCAGGAGAAGCCTTCCAAATTGCCACACACTCATCACATGTTTGTTTCATATCAATGCAGATATCTATTATATCTATTAAAACTTTGAGCACAATGGCACCTGTGCTTTGGAATATGGTTCCTATTGAAACCAGCTAGAATTTTGGCATTTCATCACCTGATGAAAATGTTTGTATTTCACGTGTTTTTAGGCAATTTATTTGATTCAGTGTTGGTCACTAGTTCTGTGTTTTACGATTTTAATTTTTTTATAATTTGTTTGTACCCACCATGATATTTCTTTATGAGTTGATGGTTAATAATCTGTTGTAATGTACCCCAGAATCTGTTGTGATGTTCAAGGGGTCTGCTTGATAAGCCTATGTGGATGAGGGGCAGTGGCTACCCACCCTGAGTGTCTTGGAACTTTTCTAGCAGGAACTGTGCTTCCTCCTGGATCCTCTCCTCAATACTTTTCTTTCCCATGCCAAAGTTGCGCAGGGTGGTAAGGGCAAAACGTCGGAGCTGCTTCCACACCTCCCCATTGCTGAATATAATTCCTGGAAAGCAGAAGAGGAAATGGGCATGAAGGAGATGGATGGACTGAAAGAGAGAGCAGAAGAAGCAGGTTGGAAGAGCAGGAGGCTCTTATTCTTGGCTCCAGACCACCTGAAGACTTGGTACTTTGGTGCCTCCTTATTCCATAAGCAGTAGCTGGCCAGTCTTCTGATACATGCCCTTACTGTAAAATATCTGTGTTTAATGTGCATAAAATGCTATGTTTGTGTGTGTGTTGTGTATGAAATGTAGTGGAGGTTTGCATTTGCAGAATGTCCATTTTTGCAGCTAAAGCTTAAAAAGAGGTTTCAATGTTTTGATATTTATGTTAACTGATAATTTATCTCTTGGAGCCTGGGTCTCTCTCTGAAGCTGCCAGTATAATGAAGAAGCAATAGTTCTTGGACTATATTAACCAGAAAGAACTTAAAGAAAACTGGACTACATTGCTAGTTGTATAAGTGCAATGTGTTGATTTCTATTTATTTATTTATTTTTGGTAACAAATTTAACGATAGCTTGCAGTAACTTTGAAACTCTTTCTTGGTGTGGACTTCCGGGTTAGCACCTCTGGCAATGGCGGATTTCCTCTGATCGGGAGGAATCCGCTTCGTGAGAATTAGGGTTTGGACTGCCACGGTGAGGCGGAGACCCATTAAAAACCACAGGCGGGAGAAGCCTGTGGATGTGGGATTCGGCTGGCACCTTTTGCGCCTCCCCTATTCGCGGGGAAACCCGGTTTCGGGGATCCGGAGCGACGTGGGGTGAATGGCGCGGTGCTTCGAATCGACTGCTTTTTTCATGGAGTGAAGCCGCATTGCTGTTGCCGGAGAGCGCTGACTTTTTCCTGTGGACAATTGGATTTTAAACAACTGCTTGTGAGTAGAACGGAAAATTGGACTATGAAATTTCTTAATTTGGCACCGAAGCGGGAAGGTCTAAACAGGAAGTCTGCCTTCCGCTTTTGTAAATAGATTGAAGCAAAGACATTGCAAGCTAGAGTCTGGAAAGTCGTCTGTAAAGGATTAAATTTCCATCATTTAAAATTACTAAACCCCTTGGAGGTAGGAGAAGAGGGGGGAATCTTTTTAGACTGTTTAAACCTGCAGAAGAGAGAGTAAAGAAAGATAAATTTCCACCGTCTTGAACCTGGGAGCGGGGTGTCAGGACGGACGCTTTGGGGAAGTTCATTGACTGTGGACAAACGTTTTTGACAGATAGTTAAAAAAGAGAAACATATTGATTCCAATGTTCCCTCTTGCATTTAAAAGAAACAAAATATCTGAAAAAGGAAAGGAACTTTGTTGCTAGATCTGCTTTTAAAAAGACGGATACAAATAGAAATTGTTTCCCCTAGAGGGAGCTTGTGAAACTGTTATTAGAGTCGATCTGGGGAGCTTTGCAGCTGTAGAGATTAAAGATCGTGGGACCAGACTTTGACTTTGAACAAGAATGTGCCTAGAACAAGCATTAGTGCTTGCTCTTTGCAAGACAAGTGCTTTACTGGAACAGCTACATGAGAAGATGGATTTGATGACTGTTGCAGTCGGAAAATTTGGACAAACAGCGAGTACCTATATAGAACCCACTCAGGAATTAATCCAGGAATGTGCTTTGACAGATCAAGTGGTGAAGAAGATAAAGAAGGAGGTTGTTCCTGAACCTCAAGTAGCAGAAATGGAGAGAGCTGTGGCCCTGCAGGAACATAAGTTGTTGGATCTGACGAATGAATCTGGAGAAAGCCAGATTTGGAGAGATGGAGTTCTGTTTGGCTTGGAGATGGGAAGCTGGATAGATCCCCCTATGCAGGGATGTTTTGACCTTTCGAATTTGGCTTTGGGCCCGGGGGAGTTGTGAGTTGTGGGGGCCCTTAACTTTGGAGGGACTTTGAAACATGCCTCTAAATATCATATGGATTTCAGTGTCGACTATGGAGAATGGGCTGACTTGTCGAGTAGGGACAAGGATATTGTCAAGTTGGAGTCTCCCCGAGAGAAAGGAAGGAAATTAAGAATAAGATCAGCAGAAGACAAAGTAAAGTACAGGTACAAACATGAAGAAGACCTGCGGAAGGGACATGGAAAAGACTTAAGAGCCTCGGATAGAAGGTCACCAGGTTGATGGACTAGATGGATGGGATAGAAAGGACTGACAAAACCCAAGACCAGGAAGAAGAGACGATGGATGAAGATTGGAAGAAAGTTTTAAAAATTTATTTAGGAAATTATCGTAAAATTAATGAGTACTAGAAAAATGTTGGAATGAAATTATTTGGCTTTAGTAGAAATGTTAAAAAGAATTATGTAAGAATATTTTATGTTTAAAAGAATTAGGTATAAATAAGATTTAAGTTTTAAGTTTTAGGTTTTTTTATGGTAAGATAAGGTTAAAATAGATTAAGGTAATTTAATGACAGAATATTGTGAAAGATGGAAAAGATTTGCTGAGATAATTAATAACTAGAATACAAAAAAGGGAGGTGTGAGGAGGTCGATGAAATAAGTTAATGGAAAATAAGGATTTGGGAATATTGGATTTGTTTTTAAATTTTTTGTTTATTTTTGTTTTTTGATTTTGATGTATTGTGTGTTTTGTTTTGGTTTTTTTTTCTTTGACTTTGGTTTTTTATTGACTTGTATTGTTCAATTGTTATTTTTGTCTACCGTCTTCTTTCTTTTTCTTTTTCTCTTGTTTTCTTTCTTTCTTTGTAATTTTAAATTCTCAATAAATATCATTTTTTTAAAAAAAGAAACTCTTTCTTGGTGTGGAGAGCTTATTGATTCACAAAACCCAGGCCAGGGAATTCTGCTCACATAACTCTCACACTTACTGCCCACACCAGAATTACCCCAGACCATTATTTTTAAAGGCTAGAGACTCATTCAATTTAATTTTTTGGTGCTTGCTCTAGACCAGAGGAGGACCTAGCTGCTCCAGCACCTGGAGCGGCCTGCGTGGGCAGGGGTAAGCACCCGTGGGTGTAAGGCGGCGCATGGTGGAGGGGAGCTTCCGGGGGGTGCTGGCGGCAACGCACATCCCAGGGGGGTGCCACCTGTGGCGATCTGAGGGGCGAACCCCTCAGGGATTTCACCCAGGGCGGCCAGCACCCACCACACCCACCACACCCACCTTTGTCCGCTACAGCCCTAGATATTGCTTAAGTACTGCTATGAGATGGCTCATTTCTCTCTTAAATGGCAATGCCCAATATATAGCTCTGCCATTAAAAGGCTGCTAATTATCTATTGCTACAGTCCAGTGGGAACATTAATTAGGAAAGTTTATCTCAAGATGCAATGACCTGTCTTTGCAACCTTTTGGGGGTGGGGGGGGGGGGGGGTGGGGGGGGGGGGGGGGGGGGGGGGGGGGGGGGGGGGGGGGGGGGGGGTGGGGGGGGGGGGGGGTGGGTGGGGGGGGGATTGAAGCAATGTTTGATTTGCCCGTTCCGCAAGTCCATTCTGCCATGGCGAGCGAGGACTAGACAAATCGTGTTGAATTCCTTTCTCAGTCAGAAAAGCTTCAAACTGCTGAGAAGTGAATTCCCCGCGATCACTGAAAAGAGTCTTTATCTTCTTACCATGCACATTTTCCAACCAAGCACAGAATTCCTTGAACCTAGGAAAAGCCTCCGATTTCTGCTTGAGATTGTACACAAAAATATATCTAGAAAATGCATCAATGAGAACCATGAAGTATCTATTTCCACCCAAAGAGGGCGTTAGTGGTCCAACCAAATCAGCATGAACAACCTGGTATGGTTCTGTAGCTTCCTACTAGACACCTTACCTTTCGCAGCCATTTTCACCTTGTTTGCTGCGCATGCTTTGCACTTCATGTGGTACCTGCAGGGTTTAATAGTCATACCTTCAACCAAGGCAGGCATTTTAGATACTGCCTCAAAATGCAAATGACCAAATTTGCGATGAAAATCGTGAATACATTCTGCATGCAAACTTTGTTAGAACCTGCAATGCAACAAGTGTCATCCTGCACCACATCATCATAATACAAAACAAACAAATGATCAACATATTCTGCATGCAATACATAATCATTTTTCTTTGTGATGATGCACTTCTTGTTCTTGAAGGAAACGTCAATGTTCCGCTCATTCAGCTGTCCAACGCTGAGCAGATTATGTTTGGCGTCTGGCACGTAAAGCACATTCTGTATCGATAAGTCCAAACTGTGAAGAACAACAGTTCCGTAGCCTTTACTGGGAATAGTGTGGTCATCCGCCTGGTGAATCGCACCTTCCTGCGGTGTAAAAGACACAAACAGTTTCTTATCGTTGCACATGTGGTGGGTCGCCGCTGAATCAACAACGAAGAAAGATCTAGACGTCTTCTGGACCTCTGCAACCTTTGGAGTGAAGCGTGAAACCATAGCCTTGTGCTGCGTTGTCCTAGACACCGGACCTTTGCCTTTGCCTCGGCCTTTTCCGCGCGATGAGCTTTCGCTGCGCTGCTCTGTCTTGGCCCTGGGATGTCTGCATTCCCTCTTCATATGGCCTAGACGTCCACACGAGTGGCATTTCACTGCCTTCAAAGCTTTGGCGCCATCTGGTGGTTCCACTGCACTATGGGATGACGTCTGTGAAGACTCTCCCTTGCCCATGCAGCTAGCACCCCGGCGATCTGCTTCATTTAAAATCACGGCAGTAACAAAGTCCACTGTCAGCTGAGCAGTTGGTTGCACAGCAATCTGGGTTGCAACAGACTCCCAACCTGAACCCAAAGATTGTAGTATCATGAAAGAATACACAGCCTCTGGAAAGTTGAGTCCTCTCTGTTGCAGCTCATGTCTCAGATTTTGCATCTCCATCAGATGTAAACGCACATCTCCACCTTCAGCAAGAGCCATATTATGCAGCTTGTTAAAGTAAAACATAGTAGATCCAGCTTCTGTCCTTAAGTGAGCCTCTCTCAGAGCGTCCCAAATTTCTCTGGCTGAGGTCTTATCACGCAATAGACAGAGCTCTTCTGGGGATACTATCAATGTAAGAGTTACCCTTGCTTTGGAATCCTTAGCTTCCCATGCATCTGTAACTGGCACTGGGGGGGTTTCTGTAATCACCTCAAACAAACCCTCTTTCCGCAGAATTGCCTCTGCATACTGAACCCAGTCGCTGTAATTATTCTTGTTGAGCTTAGGAATCCTACAAGCATCCTGAAGGGCCATCATGACTCTGGCATTAGCCTTCAGCGTCATATGCTGCTTTAAATCTTGCTGCGTCACTGCTGCAGCTGCCTCATTACAAAGGCACACTTAAAAGTTACTTTCGATTTCCCCAGCATAGTGACTTGTGCCTGGGAGCCGTTTGCCTATTTGCAAAACCGGCTTTAAAGTTCAAAGTCCAGCCATAAAGCCATTAACTTGAAGCTGGCAGGCTGCCCGGAGCAGTAGCACATACCTCATCAATCACTTCTACGCGCAGAGCAGATTCCTTTCCGATCCGTTCCTCTGCATTCCGATCCTTTGCCGGCACTCCGATTCGACCTCTGGAGTCCATAACCACGTGTTGATTTAAAGCAGAGTCTGTCGTGGCCAGCGGAAGGATGAAGAATACGTGCTACATACTCTATATTGCTTTATTTACAGTTCAAAGCTGGTATATTACAGAAAGACATCTTGCCTCTGCAGGAGCAGAAAAATGCACCCTCTCTCCTCAACAGCTCGGAGAGAATCACAGTGAAAAAACAGGAAACCAGTGTACGTCACATCCAGTCTCCCTTTCCCGTGAGAAACCCCAACAGTACAGACTGTGGAATGCAAAACAATGTCTTGCGACTGCAGTTGCTGCTCAGTGAGGGAAATAGAAACCAACAATCCACACTTCTGTTTTTGCTGGGATTTCTAGGCATGGGTCTGAGCATTTTGTCCCCACACACACACACACACACATACACACACTGTTGTCTCCACGAAAGCCTTCTGTTTACTGCTGATGTCAGTCAGCGATGATTAACATTCAGCAATGAACAGTGGGTTTTCCTGGGGAAAGTGGCAGAACAACCACCTCTTGGACCTGTGACACATACATCTGGGAAAGAACTAGAATAATAAGTACTAATAACGTATCTGTTTTACCTTGTATCTCTGGGTATTTGAGGAGGATCATGAACCCGTATCGCAATGTGGTGCTGGTGGTCTCTGTTCCAGCCACAAACAAGTCAACTGTGCTTATGGCCAAGTTTTCAATGGTGAAATTGGATGCACTATTACCTTTTTCCTGCAGAAACACACAACACAGCCAGTGGAGTCGACTCAATTGTTCTGAGTACAACATAACAAGAATTTAATTGCGCCACTGGGACCAGCTCTCTTCCCAAGACACATCTTATCTCAAGTCTTTTTATAGCTTGTTCCTCTGGACATTCCTTGCCCAGAGGGCTAATCATTAGAAAGAACTTCCCACTTACTGCAGGAACAAGTCAGCAATGGGAAATGAATCTACTCCAATGGGGTGTGGGCAGGAATCTCTTTGCTTGGTATTCCCCACAAGAAGCTGGATGGAAGTCTGCTGGTTGGGAAGCTTCAGGAGTCACAGGAGAACCCACTTGGAGAGTTCTGTGAGTTTTCATGATTACCTGATCCATTTTCATAAGGAAGCAGTCGATAAAATCCCGAGGTGAGTTGGCGTCCAGAGTGGCCTTGTGCTCTTCAACCTCCTCCAAAACAAACTCTCTGAGTGCCAAGTTGTTTTTCAGCACTTTGTGGTGGGGCCCAGGGATGCATTTCATCAAAGAAGGAAAGATGTTGTAGAGCTAGAAGAAACACCACAATAGACCCATTGGCACCAGCCTCAGTCAGGGTTTGTCCACACTCGGGCTTCAGTATAATGTTGGCCACTGCTGCCTTGTGTGCATTTCAACTCTGTGTCCACACGCCATCATTTTCACTACCAATGCCTCCCAAATCTATGTAGATGTTCCCCATCTGCATTACTGGGTGGTGCTTCATTGATTGTACTGCATTGTATTATCTTCCCTTCCCCTCAGTTAGTGCTTTCCCACCCTCTACCTAATGTTTGTAGAGGTCATATGCAGATTTATACCCACAGGTCTCAGGGCGGTTCACAGACTAAAATCAAAATATAAAACCACAAAATGCATAATCAAAATAAGAACAACAACCCAATTACCCCCCCCAAAAAACTCCACATGTTAAAAGGTATATACTGAATGAGACCATTGTTCTCTCAAGGTCAGTACTGCCTATGCAGCAGCTCTGCTGGGTATCATTCAGGAGTCCCATTCCTAACTAGGAATGCTACTAGGAATTGACTCTGGGACCCTATATAAATAAGCCAAATGGTGTAAAGCTGAGCTATGGGGTTACATACATATCTCTAAATTTAGTCCCATCTGCTCCTCCTGTTGAAACCAGGCTGTGTACACATCGCTGGCTTAAAATGCAACAAGGCAGGATAGATATGGATTGTGGCTAACGTCATGTATTCACACCTTCTCAAACCAGTGGTGGAAGCACACTGGATGCAGAGGCAATGGCAGTGTATATACATCCCAAGTGATTAGTTCCAGTTAGAAACTTGAGCGTGTGGGTTTTACTGGTTAAGCTTTACTTCCTGCTCCACTGGGCTGCTGTTAAGTCAAACCTTGGTTACTAGACCCAGGTGCATTGTGTGCCTTGACTGGATCTCCAAATTAAAAACATAAGAACGTAAGAAGAGACTATTGAATCAGGCCAGTGGCACATCCTGCTGTCACAGTGGCTAACCAGTTACCCATGGCAAGGCTGCAACTAGGACATTAACAGAAATATTAAGAGGCAGAGGCAGTATGGGCCATGAGAAGCCTGGAAGAAAGACATTTAAACAGCAGGAAAATGGCCACAGCCAGAGGCAGTATCTACATAAATAAATATTCCACATGCAAGTAAACTTTAGACTTTGTGGAAAAGAATGCATTTAACCAGATGGCACCTACCTGTCCCCAAGGAGAGCTAAAAACCTGAAAGTTTTCATTCATTAAGCTCATCATGGATTGGAAATTCTTGTCATTATAATCATATCGTTTCCCAAAGATAATTGCACAAATGACATTGGAGAGAGCGCAACTGAGCAAGTAGGTTGGATCCAAGGGCTTCTCTGGAAGAACAAAAAAAATAATAATTATACAACCCCACTACAGGTTTTAGGCAATAATCTAGTCTGGAATTTCTGAGCTGCCATTTCCTGGCTCCTGGCCTCAGTGGTCAGACAGGAAGCTGCCTTTCTCACAACAATTCTGGAGGCATGGGCATCTTCAGTGGCTATGAGTGGTTTCTTCCAAGGACTTTCCAAGGTGCTTTCCTCCAGCTTCAGCCAATATATCCTTAGATAGGAAAGGGTGACCACAGTGGTGCAGGCCTTGGTGAAGTCTAGACTAAAACTAGGGAATCTAAAGCACTTCAGATGCTGCTAGACTCTAACTTCTGGACCACTGTTGACTGTTGGGGCTGAAAGCAGCTGGAATTCAACAATATCTGTGGAGCACTCTTGCAGTTGATAGAGAAGCAGCAGCCGGGCTTTAGTTGGAACTGCTCTGTGTCAGCATATTACACCCCTGCTGAAAGCTATGCATCTTGCCATTACATTGACAAGGTAAGTTCAGTGCATTACGGGTGTGTATGAAGTCCTCAGTTACCTAGGACCAGGTGACCTAAGGACCACCTTAGCCCATACCCACTGGTCATATCAATATGAGCATCTGGCGAAGCCTTCCAAATTGCCACACACTCATCACATGTTTGTTTCATATCAATGCAGATATCAATTATATCTATTAAAACTTTGAGCACAATGGCACCTGTGCTTTGGAATGTGGTTCCTATTGAAACCAGCTAGAATTCTGGCATTTCATCACCTGATGAAAATGTTTGTATTTCAGAAGTGTTTTTAGGTAATTTATTTGATTCAGTTTTGGTCACTAGTTCTGTGTTTTACGATTTTAATTTTTTTAATAATTTCCTTGTAACCACCATGATATTTCTTTATGAGTTGGTGGTTAATAATCCGTTGTAATGTACCCCAGATTCTGTTGTGATGTTTAAGGGGGTCTGCTTGATAAGCCTATGTGGATGAGGGGCAGTGGCTACCCACCCTGCGTGTCCTGGAACTTTTCTAGCAGGAACTGTGCTTCCTCCTGGATCCTCTCCTCAATACTTTTCTTTCCCATGCCAAAGTTGCGCAGGGTGGTAAGGGCAAAATGTCGGAGCTGCTTCCACACCTCCCCATTGCTGAATATAATTCCTGGAAAGCAGAAGAGGAAATGGGCATGAAGGAGATGGATGGACTGAAAGGGAGAGCAGAAGAAGCAGGTTGGAAGAGCAGGAGGCTCTTATTCTTGGCTCCAGACCACCTGGAGACTTGGTACTTTGGTGCCTCCTTATTCCATAATCAGTAGCTGGCCAGTCTTCTGATACATGCCCTTACTGTAAAATATATGTGTTTAATGTGCATAACATGCTATGATTGTGCGTGTTGTGTATGAAACGTAGTGGAGGTTTGCATTTACAGAATGTCCATTTTTGCAGCTAAAGCTTAAAAAGAGGTTTCAATGTTTCGATAGTTATGTTAACAGATAATTCATCTCTTGGAGCCTGGGTCTCTCTCTGAAGCTGCCAGTATAATGAAGAAGCAATAGGTCTTGGACTATATTAACCAGAAAGAACTTAAAGAAAAGTACAACTACATTGCTAGTTGTATAAGTGCAATGTGTTGATTTGTATTTATTTATTTTTTTGGTAACAAATTTAACGATAGCTTGCAGTAACTTTGAAACTCTTTCTTGGTATGGAGAGCTTCTTGATTCACAAGATCCAGGCCAGGGAATTCTGCTCACATAACTCTCACACTTACTGCCCGCACCAGAATTACCCCAGACCATTATTTTTAAAGGCTAGGGACTCATTCAATCCTGCTTTAATTTTTGATGCTTGCTCTAGATGTTTTGATGCTAGCTGTAACCACCTTTCTCCGCTACTGTCCTAGATATTGCTTAAGTACTTTTATGAGGTGGCTCATTTCTCTCTTAAATGGCAATGGCCAATATATAGCTATGCCATTAAAAGGCTGCTAATTATCTATTGCTACTGTCCAGTGGGAACAAGATGCAGTGACCTGTCTTTGCAACCTTTTTTGCTTTATTTTCATGAATAGAGGGATTTTCCTGTCCCCCCCCCCCCCGGTCAACCAGCAAAGAATACCTAATCCCTTGTTGGCATCATCAGCTAATGGCAGGTGTCCCCTGGCAGCAAATTCATCTCCACGGTCGATCAGTGCTTCTTTCACTGCATCATAGCCATGCAGCACCACAACACGTTCTGCTCCAAAATACATTGTGAACACAGAGCCATACTTCTCACCAAACTGGAAAAAAGATAGAGAAGGACACACATCTAGGTGGGTTTGCAGGTTAGGAGAGGTTCATATAGCTGATGTAGAGCCCCGCTGCCCCCAGACTCACTATGGGCATCTGAACCACATGACTCTTAATAACATACAGAAGTGTTCTGCAGCTAGATCAGGCCAAAGGCCAACTAGTCCACGACTGTTATCACAGTGGCCAACACAGTTCTTCTGGGAAGCTCAAAAACAAGACCTGAGTGCAATAGCACGCAGCGGCGTAGCATGGGTTGTCAGCACCCGGGGCAAGGCAAGTAATTTGCGCCCCCTAACCCGGGGCAAGGCAAGTAATTTGCGCCCCCTAACCCGGGACAAGGCAAGTAATTTGCGCCCCCTAACCCGGGGCAAGGCAAGTAATTTGCGCCCCCTAACCCCTAACCTGCCGCCGCTCCCAGCTTCTTCTTGCTGCTGCCTGGTCTGGTCTGGTGTGGTGTGGTTCTCTCCCGCGCTCAGCGCTGTGCTGGGCGGCCGCTGCACTGTCCCTCCCCCAGATAGTCCCTCGCTCTCTCTCTGCACTGCACGCCTGGCACCCACCCCCTCCACAGTGGGCAGCGACCCAGCGGCTTGGATTGGATTCGCACAGCCAGCACTGCAGTGAGAGAGAGTGAGTGAGCCAGGTAGGGGCAGAGAGCTGCGAGTGCGAGCGCCCCCCCGGATGTTGCGCCCGGTGCGGCCGGCCCCCCCTGCACCCCCACGCTACGCCACTGATAGCACGCTCCCCTCCTGCAGGTCCCTGGAACTGGTGGAGGTTCAGCATAATCGCTAGCAGCTATGGGTAGCTTTATCTTCAATGAATTTTGTCTTAACAAAATTCCACAGTGAATTCCACAGTTTCAATATGCACTGTATGAAGAACTACTATCTTGCATGTGTTGTAAATCTTCCAACACTCAGCTTTAATTGAAGACTCCAAGTTTTAGCATTACAGACCCTTCAAGTGTCCCTATTTTCCAGGGACATCACTGATTTAGAGAAGCCATCACAGGTTGATCACAGAATGTCCTTAGGCTGTCCCTATCTTCACTGGGGAAATGTTGGAGGGTATAGAGTTATCCGATCCCCTCTGAAGGCAATCCTGAATAGGGAAGTGGTTTTTGGTTAATTTTTAATGTTTTAATTATGTTTTTATATATGTTGGAAGCTGTCCAGAGTGGCTGGGGCAACCCAGTAGGGTGTGTGGGCTATAAATAGTAAAATTATCATTATGGAATGGGATGTCCCTTTTTTCTTTGGAGAAATGTTGAAGGGTATGGCATTATGAGAGGGGGGTAAGAGTGTTTTCCTGTCCACTTTCTCTATACCATAAATATGATTATATGTTATATCTCACGTCACACTCATTTTTCTAAGGGAATTCTTAAAGTACCTTCCAACCACATTCTGGGGGAAATGAAGTAGCAGCTTTTCAAAATAGAAGAAGACTATGAACTCCCCACTGTCCAGCAGAGGCTAAAAATGTTCAGAGGGCAATAATGCCCAAACCATCCATGTGTGGAGGGAGAACTGGACCCACCCCCGCCCCCTGTCTCTAATATAGTATGAAAATTGCACTGTTGCTTTTTAAAGTTCGTTACTCAGAAGGGGGGTTTATGGCTTTTATTTTAAGCATAAGACAATAAAATGACAATAAAACAACCCCCTTTGTGGAGTTGTGGGACCTGCTCAAAGTCCACCTCTTTTCTGTGGAGCCTTTGCGACAAGTCCCTGCTCCCCATCCCTGCTGATGTAGCCAAGCGCAAGTCCGTGCCACTGAAATCACAGCGATTCTGCTATTCTTTTCCTCTGGTCTGGATGCCTCCCCTCCCTCTCTTGCCTCTCCTCTGTCAAAGTGCAGAGTCTGTTGCCTTAGACTCTGCAAATGTGCCCTGCACCCAGATGGTACAATGTATAAATAAACAAACTGACAATGGACTGTCCCCTTCCAAAAGAGTCAGATGGAAAGAGGCTTGCAAACAGGTAACGGTAATCAACAGACAACTGTTGAGGAAGGTGCTCATCTTTGGCTTACCTCCTGGAGAACCTGGGCCAGGTTGTTGGTCTTCAGCTGCAGAGCGTTCCCTATGATGGGCAGTGGAGGTGGGCCAGGTGGCAGCTGCTTTGCATTCTCTGGCGTCCTGCTCCTGACTGCAAGGAAAACAAGGCAAGAGATACATATGATCATCAAAATGGTCACTGTCCCTAGAGGCTCCATGGCACCAGCTAACAGTGACTGAAATGACTCTAGATGAATTAATTTGCTTTCCAATTTTATATACTCTGAGGAGGTCACATAGACATGGATTTTCACCAATAGGAATTCTAGGCTTCTCTGAGTAAATGAGATTAGCCATTAAGTAGATCAGGTTGTCCCCTTCATGGATCACTGCCTTGCCATGGCGAAGGGGCTTGAATAACTCAGAGAAGCTATGAACTATGCTGAGCAGGGCACCCAAGATGAACAGGTCATAGTGGAGAGTTTTGACCAAACGTGATCCACCTGCAGGAGGAACCGGCAAGCCACTCCAGTATCCCTGCCAAGAAAACTCCATGGACAAAGACAACAGGCATATAAAAGTTATGACGCTGGAAGATGAGCCCCTCAGGTCGGAAGGCGTCCAACATGCTACTGAGGAAGAGTGGAGGACAAGTACAAGTAGATTCAGAACTGATGAGATATTTATTAAGGGTTTTTTTTAAAATATTACAATAGAAATGGGAAAAAAAAGAAAAATACAAAATAAAAACAGTTAAAAACACACATATTTTCAGTTACTTATTTTCCTTTAGCTTGTTTCCCGGACCTCCTCATACCTCCCTTTTTTGTATTCCACTTCGATTTATTGGTTCAGCAAATCCTTTCCATTAGATTTTAACCCATTTATAACCCTTTTTTTTTTCATATTCTCTTAAAGCATTACAGCTAGAAACCGCTTAATTACTATCCAACATCCTTCTAAGATTCATTAATTTTACAGTATTTCTGTAAATAGTCTTTAAATTTCTTCCAGTCCTCTTTCACCGACTCTTCTCCCTGGTCTCGGATTCTGCCAGTCATTTCTGGCAAGTTTGGCCTTGGAGATCAAAACGAAGCAGGGCAAAGGCTAATAGAGTTCTGTCAAGAGAACAAGCTGGTCATCACAAACACGCTTTTCCAACAACTCAAGAGACGACTCTACACATGGACATCACCAGATGGGCAGCATCGAAATCAGATTGATTATATTCTCTGCAGCCAAAGATGGAGAAGCTCTATACAGTCAGCAAAAACAAGATCTGGAGCTGACTGTGGCTCAGATCATCAGCTTCTTATAGCAAAATTCAAGCTTAAACAGAAGAAAGTAGGAAAAACCACTGGGCCGGTAAGATACAATCTAAATCAAATCCCTTATGAATACACAGTGGAAGTGAGGAACAGGTTTAAGGACTTAGATTTGCTGGACAGAGTGCCTGAAGAACTATGGATGGAGGCTCGCAACATTATACAGGAGGCAGCAACGAAAACCATCCCAATGAAAAGGAAATGCAAGAAAGCAAAGTGGCTGTCCAACGAGGCTTTACAAATAGCGGGGGAGAGAAGGCAAGCAAAATGCGAGGGAGATAGTGAAAGATACAGGGAAAGGAATGCAGATTTCCAAAAAATAGCAAGGAGAGACAAGAAGGCCTTCTTAAACGAGCAAAGCAAAGAAATAGAGGAAAACAACAGAATGGGAAGAACTAGAGATCTGTTGAAGAAAACTGGAGATATGAAAGAAACATTTCGTACAAAGATTACCATAATAAAGGACAAAAGTGGTAAGGACCTAACAGAAGCAGAAGACATCAAGAAGAGGTGGCAAGAATACACAGAAGAATTATACCAGAAAGATATGGATGGCTCGTACACCCCAGGTAGTGTGGTTGCTGACCTTGAGCCAGACATCCTGGAGAGTGAAGTCAAATGGGCCTTAGAAAGCACTGCAAATAACAAGGCCAGTGGAAGTGATGGTATTCCAGCTGAACTATTTAAAATTTTAAAAGATGATGCTGTTAAGGTGCTACACTCAATATGCCAGCAAGTTTGGAAAACTCAGCAGTAGCCAGAGGATTGGAGAAGATCAGTCTACATCCCAATCCCAAAGAAGGGCAGTGCCAAAGAATGCTCCAACTACTGCACAACTGCACTCATTTCAAACGCTAGCAAGGTTATGCTTAAAATTCTACAGGGAAGGCTCAAGCAGTATGTGGACCAAGAACTCCCAGAAGTGTAAGCTGGATTTAGAAGAGGCAGAGGAACCAGAGACCAAATTGCAAACATGCACTGGATTATGGAGAAAGCTAGAGAGTTCCAGAAAGACATCTACTTCTGCTTCATTGACTATGCAAAAGCCTTTGACTATGTCGACCACAGCAAATTATGGCAAGTTCTTAAAGAAATGGGAGTGCCTGATCACCTTATCTGTTTCCTGAGAAATCTCTATGTGGGACAAGAAGCTACAGTTAGAACTGGATATGGAACAACTGATTGGTTCAAAATTGGGAAAGGAGTACGACAAGGCTGCATATTGTCTCCCTGCTTATTTAACTTATATGCAGAATTCATCATGCAAAAGGCTGGGCTGGATGAATCCCTAGCCGGAATTAAGATTGCTGGAAGAAATATCAACAACCTCAGATATGCAGATGACACAACCTTGATGGCAGAAAGTGAGGAGGAATTAAAGCATGTAACCCGAGGTACCACTGTATAACTACACCATGATGAGCCCTCAGAGGAAGGAGACAGGGCTCTCGTCCACAGAATGAATAGGAGGCTGCATTCTTGCTGCTGCACTTGTGGGTAACCAGTGCTTAGTGTCCAAATGTGAGGTGCATGGGGATCCTCAGGGAGAAAGCATGCATTCTCCTTTATTACTATACAGTGGCACCTCGGGTTACAGATGCTTCAGGTTACAGACACTTCAGGTTACAGACTCCGCTAACCCAGAAGTAGTACCTCGGGTTAAGAACTTTGCTTCAGGATGAGAACAGAAATCATGCTCCGGCGCGCGGCAGCAGCAGGAGGCCCCATTAGCTAAAGTGATGCTTCAGGTTAAGAACAGTTTCAGGTTAAGAACAGACCTCCGGAACGAATTAAGTACTTAACCCAAGATACCGCTGTACATTATTATTAATACTAATACTAATACTATGTTGTTGTTGTTGCCACCCATTCTGCATCTGAGGAAGTATGCCCTAGCAAATCTTACTCCCTTTACAAATAAACACAGTTAAGTCTTTAAATTGCCACAGATCTCTTCTTTTTTTATATACAACTTAGATAAAAAGAAGCAATGGCAAACTGCTTAAAAGTGTGGGCATGGGAGAGGGTTTTCATCAGCTAATATAAGCTTGTTCAGAGGGGCAGATTGAGACAAAATACTACACTTTAATCCTGTGTGGACGTGGTCTGTAAATATCTGTAAATTCTGGATTGCTTGCATTGTTACGTCATAAGCAGCAGGTCATCCTTAGATTAGATGTGTCAGGGGAATCGGTAGTGAAAGTACAGGTTTGCCACTGATCATACAAACAAATACAAATGCTGTGGGATGGGGGGGATTAAGGGCAATTGGGGCTAGGGAGGAATACAGAGGTTTGAGGGCATGTGAGGAAGGGGGAGGATGCGTAGGGGAGGTGGGGAGACAGGGGGCTGTTTGATTTTGTTGTAAAATTCCAAAAATAAATAACAAAAAGTTGTTTGCATTGCTAATTAAAAGTAAAAGTTGCGTTTCTGCTGTCTGGATGTCATTTGCTAAAACCAAACGTGTTTTAAAAATTGAACCTATACAGCAGAAATACGCATCACTGTGTTCAATGGTTCTTACTCCCAACCATGCACAGAACTGCAGTCATGTGCCATAAATTTAATCGTGTGATTTTATTAGTAATTTGTTTTAAATGTCTGTGTTTTTAAGGTGGAGGGATTTTTTTAAGCAATGTGTTAGAAAAGCAAGATATTTAAATCCCGGTGGCCTGACTCTGGATTTTATTATGGAGCTGTCATTGATGCACTACACAGTTAGGAATCGCCCTCAAATGTTGCTGGGAACTGCAAATGGGGAGGAGAGCACTGTAGCGCTCAGTTGCTCCTTGAGGGCTTCTCATAGGCATCTGGTTGGCCACAGGGAGAGCAGGATGCTGGACTAGATAGGCCTCTGACCTGCTCCAGCAGAGTTCTCTTTTGTTCTCTCTCCTTCTGAGAGCAGCCATTCAAACCACCCTGAAAAGCAACCTACTGTGCATGCTCCTGCAGCTATCTCTTGGAAGAGAAGGGGGAACAATAACTGCCACACCTTACTCTAGTAAATGAAGGTGTGCTGGATTGCTCCTTATACAATGAATGGCAGTAGCTTGGGTTACGTTAGAAACAAAGGCTAAGCTCCGAAGTGCATAAGCAATGCCTGGTAGAAACGAGAAGGAGCTTAGGATTTCAGGGGGTGAAGGTATCAGTGGCCTGCAAAGCAACTCTTTCCTCCTGAAGCCTTGCAGAGTCAGAATAAATTATGCAAAGCAAATGTAGTTTACTGCATTAGGAATCCTTTTTATTTTACTGAATACAGCTGCAGTAATGTTTGGTTGTAAAGCAGTTTATAAATCTGCAAATAAAATTGCTATACTTGCATAATCTTTACAAGTGACAGCATTCAGTTTGTCAAAGTATTATTTATTTAGCTCTGGGAGGGTGAAGGACATCTATAAAGCCATTCCATTTCACAAACAGGTAAAAAAACACATACATCTGGATGTGTTCTTATTCTCCAGAAGAAGTGGAGCAGTGGTTTTCTATGCAAGTGAAACCAGCACACTTCTCCAAACTTTGGCTTGGAGAAGACCTTCAGGGGTTTCGATGGGGACAGAGGACAAGCATTTCAAGCCCCGAATTCTTCTCCAGCTTGAATTAAAATCAGAGACAAGTTCCTTCCTCTTGCCCCTTCCATTCAGTGCAATGGAGAAACATTACTTCACTGCTTTGAATAGGAGCTAATTGAGAGGGTGCAGGAACCAAAAAGAAAAATTCTGAAGACAGAAGAGGAAGACCATTCTCCCTTGGTTAACTTCATAGGTGGACTTCCCCTCACCAATTTTGCCCAGGCTGCCTCTGAATTTGTACTAGGGAAACATTTTTCTGTTACACTGAATGGGAGCAGGGCTGAAGGAAGACTGAGAGGAAAGAAATTCTGACAATTCTTTGAAAGTTTTCCCTCTCCAAGTCCTCCTGGAGGTTTTCAGTCCTCCCTTGGAGAATATTCAGTGAAATGACTGTGGCAATCACACTGGGTTCCCGGACGTTTGACGATCTATTGATCCCTGCGCCACCACTGTGCTCGCTTCCCTGCTGCCACCAACCCGTTACTCTCGGGTACACACTGAGTCCAGACAGTTGTTAAAATTAAATCAAATAAACAAGTTTATTTTGTAAGCATTAACAAATATGGTTTCTCAGTTAATTTTCTTGTCAGTTTCTTAATCTTAGTTTCTTTACCGGCCTATACCTTTCTAATACCTTCTAACTGATTTTCCCAACTGTTTAACTGACTCCTCTTAACTGATTCTCTCACGTTCTCACATCAAACTAGCCCAAACCACAGACTTATCCTCCCTCTCCCTTCTCTAACTCCAGACTGACTTCTTAACAACTCTAACTCTAACTTCTCCCCTTGGGTTCCTATATGTTAGTCATTTTACAATTAGTTAACCCTTATGAACCCAGTATGATGTCACACACCTAGGAGGGCAAACGCCACAATGACCTTCCTTATTTTGCCACCCACAAAGTAAGTGGAGAATTTGAGGGAGAGCTATTTTCTCAGTTCTAGATTTTTAAAGACAGTGAGAGCCTCAGTTGGGCTCAGGAGGGGAAAAATAGTTTTCTTATCCTGGAAGATCTTGGATGATTTCCAAGTTCATCCAAGGTAGGCTTGAGAGATCTTGCCCATCTATGCTCTGTGCCTATCTTGAAGATATGCTTCCTAGGACTAGTAGATTTCTGGATCCCACTTAGTTCATTTCCCATACAGTGGTACCTCGCAAGACGAAAAACTCGCAAGACGAAAGAGTTTTTTGTTTTTTGAGTTGCTTCGCAAGACGAAAAACAAAAATGTCTTGCAAGTTTGTTTTGATTGCAATGATTTTCAATGCATTCCTATGGGAAACCATGCTTCGCAAGACGAAAAATTCGCAAGACGAAAAAACTCGCAGAACGAATTAATTTCGTCTTGCGAGGCACCACTGTACTTACTCAGAAGTTCAGTTGCATCCAGTATTGCTATCTGTTCTTCAGAACATGGTTACCCTTAAAGGAATTATTGGCAAACATTTGTAAATGTCAAGTCTCAAGGATGTTCTACTAGTTGAAAGGGGTAAAGATTTTAAAAGCTATTGATTTCTGCAGCACCCTCCAAAGACTTTCCTTCTTAGCTCAGGCTGAAAGTGAAAGACATTTTGTTCTAGGACCGGGAAACTCCAAATAGAGTTTATTGGAATATCTTTCCAAATAAAATTGTCTGCCTGTGCTTTATTATTAGCATTGACATACCTGCCAATCTCAGTGTACAGATCTATAGAAGGGTTACCAAAAAAGCTTATGTTGTCACTCAGTTAAACAACTTTGCTGTATCTCAGGTACGACATGTGAGGGAATGAAAAGGTCATCTCAGACAGGGGTCTCAACCCACCCAGCTTCTACAGCCTGCAGCGCTTCAACCCACCAAGTCAAGGTTGGATATTTTGTTGCTGGACTGCAGCTCCCATTATCTCCAGCCACCTATCCAATGAAATGGGATTATGGGAGTTGTCCCAACTGAGCCCTCATGGCTAGAATGGGGAACCTGCAGCCCTTCAGATATTCCTGGACTCCAGCCCCCATCTGCCCCAGCCAACATCAGGGGTGATGGGCGCAAGACTCCAACCACCATTGAGGGTCACCAGTTCCTCAGTGGTTGACTCAGTTCCTTCCACTCTGATTGGCTGCATTTAGCCCAAAGAGTAACAAGACTCGGTGGCTAAAAAGCTTACATCTTGGCAGATTTTGCCCATCACACATATACAGTGGCGGAGGAAGGGGGTGGGGGGTACAGTCTGCCCCGGATGTCATCATTGAGGGGTGTGTGACAAAATGAGTTTTTAAAAAATTGGGCTCATGAAATTTTTTGGAGTGACATGGTGGTTTAGGCACCTGCAAGTTTCGCGCTGCAGCGTGGGATTTCTGTCTGCCTCTCCCTCAGACGCCCTACAGCTGAGGGGGAGGTGGCGAAGAGGCTCCAAGCATTGGAGAGGCTTGCCCCACCCCCATGGGTCGCTCAACACACCCCTGGCTGCAGGACATGCCCCCGCACCAGTCACTCCAGCAGCTAGCTACGCCGCTACACACATATGCATATTAAGGGGCAAGAAAGATAAGAATGAGATTTTTGTGTGTGACTAATTTCTAAATCCTGCTATTTGTCCATTGCAATAATGTCTTCAATGTGAAATAGTCTCTAGCATGATCCCCAAAGTAACATTTCAACAACTAGTCAGGTAAGAAGATAGGGCTCCACATGTGAGGAGTTATTGTGTTATGGGTTTTTTGAACAAAGATTTGCCGGGCTGCGACTTTTCCACATGTGCAGCCCTCCTGAGGCAGGCTTTTCAGCGAGGGACAATGCAGAGCTGATAGGACCGAGGGCAGTTGCCTATGCTGCTCAACACAGGTGTGAGATCGATGTCCTTGGGGTCAATGATGGACTTCAGAGTGAAGTTCTGTAATATGGTGGTCAAGAACAAGAAGATCTCCATACGGGCCAGACCTTCCCCCACACATATCCGCTTCCCTGCAAAGGAAACCCAAAGTGTAAGATGCATAACAACCACTTTGGCTGTTACGGAGAAAATAACAATCATGCCAAAGGAGCAAAGGTGCTGCTCCAGAACAGCTCCTGGGAGAGTCACTCTTTCCACCATTTCTTTTGCTTCAGCTGGTCACAGGAAAGGTACAAGGAGTTCTGATGGACCCAGAAGCCTCTGCCCCTCTCTCTCTCTCACAAACTGGGAGCCCTTCCAGTTTAGGCTGCAGGAGGAGGGAGGTTCCCCCTCATTGCCCCGACACCAGCCAATTAGGGAGACAGGAAAGACCTGAGCTGGCCAAGACCGCAGCCAACTGAGGAAGCAGAGATCTTACCTGCTGAGAAAGGCATGAAATAGTCGCTCTTCCTGAAGGTGCCATCTTTGTGCAAGAAATGTCCCGGGTCAAATTCTTTGGGGTTTGGAAATTCTTTGCTGTCATGTAGTACAGACGTCAGAATAGGATATATGGTAGTACCCTGCAGAGAGTGCAAAGAAATGGGCTTGATGGCCATGACACCCAACGAAAGCATAAAATTGACTCTCACAAAGGAATGGTGTGGGAAGGCACTAACAGGAAGGAAGGTACTTTGTTGATACAGAGAAGAATGGGGCAGCGTCAGAAGACAATAGGGTGTTTAAAATGAAGTCCAGGCCTGAAGATGCCCAGCTACACTTTAGGAGTTGGGCTAAACTACTTCCCTTGCCTTGATGTATGGAAGTGAGAGCTGGACCATAAAGAAGGCTGATCGCCGAAGAATTGATGCTTTTGAATTATGGTGCTGGAGGAGACTCTTGAGAGTCCCATGGACTGCAAGAAGATCAAACGCATCCATTCTTAAGGAAATCAGCCCTGAGTGGTCACTGGAAGGACAGATCGTGAAGCTAAGGCTCCAATACTTTGGCCACCTCATGAGAAGAGAAGACTCCCTGGAAAAGACCCTGATGTTGAGAAAGATGGAGGGCACAAGGAGAAGGGGACGACAGAGGACAAGATGGTTGGATGGTGTTCTCGAAGCCACAAACATGAGTCTGACCAAACTGCGGGAGGCAGTGGAAGACAGGAGTGCCTGGCGTGCTGTGTTCCATGGGGTCACGAAGAGTCGGGCACGACTAAACGACTAAACAACAACACTTCCCTTGCTTGTAGATAAGAAGAGAAGAAAAGCTCTGCTGGATCAGTCCAGTGGCCCCATCTCATCCAGCATCCTGTTTTCATGGTGTCCAACCAAATGCCCATGGGAAGCCCTTAAACATAATCTAAACAAGACAGCACTCTCAATTCCTGTGGTTTCCACCCACTGGTATTCAGAAGTATGCTGCCTCTCGCCATGGAGGTAGAATATAGCCATCATGGCTAGCAGCCTACTATTACTACTCAGAGCCTTGAAAAGAGCTGACCTTTGGAATGACATATTGTCTGAACGGTGTGTCTTTGAGTACTGCATGAGGGACGCTCAGTGGGATGAGAGAGATGAACCTCTGGATCTCATGGATGACAGCATCTGTGTAAGGCATTGCCCCACGATCTGCCATGCAAGGACTTCGTGATCGGCCAATAACTCGGTTAATTTCTTCATGCACTTTGTCTGTAATGGGAAGAATGAGGTTTAACACCAGTGCAGGAAACATCATAGAAGCAATTGAAATTCCATGGGAGTGCCTGCCAGCCCCTGCACATTTTGGAGCTTTCAATTGTTTTCTGATACCAACTTTCTGTTGACTCATCACATTAACTCAGACAAATTATTGTAGCTCACCTTCAGTAATCCATCTGTAAACAGGGAAACATAGTATAACTGCGATTATTTATATATTAATTGAATTTCTATCCAAAAGGAGCCCAGAGGGACAAAAGCCTCCTCTTTAGGGAAGTTTTAGGAGCAAGTGATGGTCCAGCTTAGAGGGATTCCTATTGGAGGCACTGTCCTGCAGTGATTCTGATCCTACCTGAGGGCCTTTTGACCCCTGGCCCTTGTGGTTGTGCCTTTGTGGGCTACCCTTCAGGCTGGCACAGAAAGTGCAGCTGGTGCAGGATGTGATGCCTTAGTCTAAAGGATCTGCACTGGCTGCCACTATACTACTGGGCCAAGTTCAAGTTGTTACTGTTTGTATATAAAATCCTAGGGTTTACAATATGGTCAGCTATAAGAGCTCATCCACACGTCTGTTTTTGCTGGGATTTCTAGGCATGGGTATGAGCATTTTGTCCACACACACATCCCCACTGTGGTCTCCAGGAAAGCCTTCTGTTTACTGCTGATGTCAGTCAGCGATGGTTAACATTCAGCAATGAACAGTGGGTTTTCCTGGGGAAAGTGGCAGAACAACCAACTCTTGGACCTGTGACACATAAATTGAGGAGAGAACTAGAATAATAAATACTAACATCGCATCCATTTTACCTTGTATCTCTGGGTATTTGAGGAGGATCATGAACCCGTATCGCAGTGTGGTGCTGGTGGTCTCTGTTCCAGCCACAAACAAGTCAACTGTGCTTATGGCCAAGTTTTCAATGGTGAAATGGGATGCATTATTACCTTTTTCCTGCAGAAACACACAACACAGTCAGTGGAGTCAACTCAATTGTTCTGAGTACAACATAACAAGAATTTAACTGTGCCACTGGGACCAGCTCCCGTCCCAAGATACAACATCTTATCTCAAGTCCTTTTACAGGTCATTCCTCTTGACATTCCTTGCCCAGAGGGCTAATCATTAGAAAGAACTTCCCATTTACTGCAAGAACAGGTCAGCAATGGGAAATGAATCTACTCCAATGGGGTGTGGGCAGGAATCTCATTCCTTGGCATTCCCCACAAGAAGCTGGATGGAAGTCTGCTGGTTGGGAAGCTTCAGGAGTGGCAGGAGAACCCACATGGAGAGGTCTGTGAGTTTTCATGATTACCTGATCCATTTTCATAAGGAAGCAGTCGAGAAAATCCCGAGGTGAGCTGGGGTCCAGAGTGGGCTTGTGCTCTTCAACCTCCTCCAAAACAAACTGTCTGGCTGCCAAGTTGTTTTTCAGCACTTTATGGTGGGGCCCAGGGATGCATTTCATCAAAGAAGGAAAGAGGTTGTAGAGCTAGAAGAAACACAAGAGACCCATTGGCACCAACCTCAGTCAGGGTTTGTCCAAACTCGGGCTTCAGTATAATGTTGGCCACTGTTGCCTTGTGTTCATGTCAACTCTGTTGTCCACACACCAGCATTTTCACTACCAATGCTTCCCAAATCTATGTAGATGTTCCCCTTCAGTTGTCTTATATCATTATTTTTTTATTATTGTTTCTTGAATTTATACCCACAGGTCCCAGGGTGGTTCGCAGAGTAAAATCAAAATATAGAACCACAAAATGCATAATCAAAATAAAAACAACAACCCAATTACACCCCCCCCCAAATCCACATGTTAAAAGGTATATACTGAATGAGACCATTGTTCTCTCAAGGTCAGTAGTGCCTATGCAGCAGCTCTGCTGGGTTTCATTCAGGAGTCCCATCCCTAACCAGGGATGCTACTAGGGATTGACTCTGGGACCCTATATAAACAAGCCAAATGCTCTAAACCTGAGCTATGGGATTACATACATATCTCTAAATGTAGTCCCATCTGTTTCTCCTACTGAAACCAGTCCGTGTACACATCCCTGGCTTAAAATTCAGCAAGGCGCAACTTTTCATAAGAAATGGCAGGTTAGATATCGATTGTGACTAACATCATGTATTCACACTTTCTCAAACCATTAGTGGAAGCACATTGGATGCAGAGGCAATGGCAGTGTATATACATCCCAAGTGATTAGTTCCAGTTACAGTATTGAGCCTGTGGGTTTTACTCGTTAAGCTTTACTTCCTATTCCACCGGGCTGCTGTTGAGTTAAGTCAAGCCTTGGTTATTAGACCCAGGTATTGGTATTGGCTCTCCAAATTAAAAACATAAGAAGAGCCTATTGAATCAGGCCAGTGGCCCATTGTGCTGTCACAGTGGCTAACCAGTTGCTCATGGCAAACCTGCAACTAGGACATTAACAGAAATATTAAGAGGCAGAGGCAGTATGGGCCATGAGAAGCCTGGAAGAAAGACATTTAAACAGCAGGAAAATTTAGACTTTGTGGGAAAGGGCCTTTAAAAAGATGGCACCTACCTGTCCCCAAGAAGAGCTTAAAACCTGAAAGTTTTCATTCATTAAGCTCATCATGGATAGGAACTTCTTGTCATTATAATCGTATCGTTTCCCAAAGACAATTGCACAAATGACATTGGAGAGAGCGCAACTGAGCAAGTAGGTTGGATCCAAGGGCTTCTCTGAAAGGACAACAAAAAAATAATTATACAACCCCACTACAGGTTTTAGGCAATAATCTAGTCTGGAATTTCTGAGCTGCCATTTCCTGGCTCCAGGCCTCAGTGGTCAGACAGGAAGCTGCCTTTCTCACAACAATTCTGAAGGCATGGGCATCTTCAGTGGCTATGAGTGATTTCTTCCAAGGACTTTCCAAAGTGCTTTCTTCCAGCTTCAGCTAATATATCCTTAGATAGGAAAGGGTGACCACAGTGGAGCAGGCCTGGGTGAACTCTACACTAAAACTAAGGAATCCAAAGCACTTCAGATGCTGCTAGACTCTAACTTCTGGACCACTGATGACTGTTGGGGCTGAAAGCAGCTGGAAATCAACAATATCTGCAGAGCACTCTGCTTCAGGTTAAGAACTTTGCTTCAGGATAAGAACAGAAATTGTGCTCTGGCAGTGCGGCGGCAGCGGGAGGCCCCTTAGCTAAAGTGGTGCTTAAGAAAAGTTTCAGGTTAAGTACGGACCTCCGGAACGAATTAAGTACTTAACCTGAGGTACCACTGTATTTCACAAGTGTTTTTAGGCAATTTATTTGATTCAGTGTTGGTCACTAGTTCTGTGTTTTACGATTTTAATTTTTTAATGATTTCCTTGTACCTACCATGCTATTTCTTTATGAGTTGGTGGTTAATAATCTGTTGTAATGTACCTCAGCATCTGTTGTGATGTTCAAGGGGGTCTGCTTGATAAGCCTATGTGGATGAGGGGCAGTGGCTACCCACCCTGAGTGTCCTGGAGCTTTTCTAGCAGGAACTGTGCTTCCTCCTGGATCCTCTCCTCAATACTTTTCTTTCCCATGCCAAAGTTGCGCAGGGTGGTAAGGGCAAAACGTCGGAGCTGCTTCCACACCTCCCCATTGCTGAATATAATTCCTGGAAAGCAGAAGAGGAAATGGGCATGAAGGAGATGGATGGACTGAAAGGGAGAGCAGAAGAAGCAGGTTGGAAGAGCAGGAGCCTCAATGTTTCGATATTTATGTTAACTGATAATTTATCTCTTGGAGCCTGGGTCTCTCTCTGAAGCTGCCAGTACAATGAAGAAGCAATAGTTCATGGACTATATTAACCAAAAAGAACTTTAAAAAAACTGGACTACATTGCTAATTGTTTAAGTGCAATGTGTTGATTTGTATTTATTTATTTTCTTGGTAACAAATTTTAAGATAGCTTAGAGTAACTTTGAAACTCTTTCTTGGTGTGGAGAGTTTATTGATTCACAAGATCCAGGCCAGGGAATTCTGCTCACATAACTCTCACACTTACTGCCCACACCAGAATTACCTCAGACCATTATTTTTAAAGGCTAGAGACTCATTCAATCCTGCTTTAATTTTTGGTGCTTGCTCTAGACCAGAGGCGGAGCTAGCTGCTTCGGCACCTGGAGCGGCCTGTGTGGTCAGGGGTAAGCACCCGTGGGTGTAAGGCGGTGTGCGGCAGCGGGAGCGTCCCGGGGGGTGCGGGCGGCAACACACATCCCAGGGGGGCGCCACCTGTTGCTTTATTTTCATGAATAGAGGGATTTTCCTGTGTCCCCCCCCTCCACAGGTCAACCAGCAAAGAATACCTAATCCCTTGTTGACATCATCAGCTATTGGCAGGTGTCCCCTGGCAGCAAATTCATCTCCACGGTCGATCAGTGCTTCTTTCACTGCATCATAGCCATGCAGCACCACAACCCGTTCTGCTCCAAAATACATTGTGAACACAGAGCCATACTTCTTACCAAACTGGAAAAAAGATAGAGAAGGACACACATCTAGGTGGGTTTGCGGGTTAGGAGAGGTTCATATAGCTGATGTAGAGCCCCACTGCCCCCAGACTCACTATGGGCATCTGAACCACATGACTCTTCATAACATACAGAAGAGTTCTGCAGCTAGATCAGGCCGAAGGCCAACTAGTCCATGACTGTTATCACAGTGGCCAACACAGTTCTTCTGGGAAGCTCAAAAACAAGACCCGAGTGCAATAGCACGCTCCCCTCCTGCAGGTCCCTGGAACTGGTGGAGGTTCAGCATCATCACTAGCAGCTATGGGTAGCTTTATCTTCAATGAATTTTGTCTGAACATTTCTTTTAAATCATCCAAGTTGGAGGCTATCATCCCTACTTCTTTGGGAGTAAATTTCACAGTTTCAATATGCACTGTATGCAGAACTACTATCCTGCGTGTGTTGTAAATCTTCCAACATTCAGCTTTAACTGAAGGCTCCAAGTTTTAGCATTACAGACCCTTCATGTGTCCCTATTTTCCAGGGACATCCCTGATTTAGAGAAGCCATCCCAGTTTGATCACAGAATGTCCTTAGGCTGTCCCTATTTTCATTGGAGAAATGTTGGAGGGTATGGCATTATGAGAGGGGGGTAAAAGTGTTTTCCCATCCACTTTCTCTATATCGTGAATATGATTATACTGCTCTGTTATGTCCCCCCCACACTCATTTTTCTAAGGGAATTCTTAAAGTACCTTCCCACTGAGCACATTCTGGGGAAAATAAAGGAGCAGCTTTTCAAAATACAAGAAGACTATGAACTCCCCACTGTCCAGCAGAGGCTAAAAATGTTCAGAGGGCAATAATGCCCAAACCATCCATGTGTGGAGGAAGAACTGGACCCGCCCCCGCCCCCTGTCTCTAATATAGTATGAAAACTGCACTATTGCTTTTTAAAGTTCGTTACTCAGAAGGGGGCTTTATCGCTTTTATTTTAAGCATAAGACAATAAAATGACAATAAAACAACCCCCTTTCTGGAGTTGTGGGACCTGCTCAAAGTCCACCTCTTTTCTGTGGAGCCTTTGCGACAAGTCCCTGCTCCCCATCCCTGCTGATGTAGCCAAGCGCAAGTCCGTGCCACTGACATCACAGCGATTCTGCTATTCTTTTCCTCTGGTCTGGATGCCTCCCCTCCCTCTCTTGCCTCTCCTCTGTCAAAGTGCAGAGTCTGTTGCCTTAGACTCTGCAAATGTGCCCTGCACACAGATGGTACCATCTATAAATAAACAAACTGACAATGGATTGTCCCCTTCCAAAAGAGTCAAATGGAAAGAGGCTTGCAAACAGGTAACGGTCATCAACAGACAACTGTTGAGGAAGGTGCTCATCTTTGGCTTACCTCCTGGAGAACCTGGGCCAAGTTGTTGGTCTTCAACTGCAGAGCGTTCCCTACGATGGGCAGTGGAGGTGGGCCAGGTGGCAGCTGCTTTGCATTCTCTGGCGTCCTGCTCCTGACTGCAAGGAAAACAAGGCAAGAGATACATATGATCATCAAAATGGTCACTGTCCCTAGAGGCTCCATGGCACCAGCTAACAGTGACTGAAATGACTCTAGATGAATTAATTTGCTTTCCAATTTTATATACTCTGAGGAGGTCACATAGACATGGACTTTCACCAATAGGAATTCTAGGTTTCTCTGAGTAAATGAGATTAGCCATTAAGTAGATAAGGTTGTATAATCAAGAAATGAACTTCTCTGAACTTCAGTCTGTATTCTTCTTCTTCATTGATTAGTAAGGCAATGATAACGGCATTACTGCGCACAAGGTCTGTGATGTAAGACAACCAGGGGTTCAGGTTTTTTTCTGCCATACATTGTAATGTAGCCTTGAGGCAAATGGTTCTGCTTCTAAGGTGCTTTCAGGACCAGGTTCCTGCATGAGAGCCTCTTGTATACTATGAGTGCTTGGTTGGAGGTTTCTTGCACCTCAGATGCCCACAAATGTGAAATAAAATTGAAATAAACTTGAAGGCAGGTCCATAATGGAGCTCAGCCGTAGCACAAATACATCCCTCTTAGGAGACCTTGCAGTTTGGGTGAATTAGACTGAGAAGTTTACACACAGTTTCTGGATTTCTACTGCTTTATTCATGCAGGAACAAAATTATCTTGGCAAGAACTATTTACAGGATGAGTAGAGATAAAAAGAGAGAGCTATAGCAGGCATCTTACTAGGAGAGAACAACAAAAGGTTCAGCTTTTACAGGTGGAGTTAACTTAGAAAAAGACTACGAGCAAATGCTGGCTTGCTTGCTGCACAAACAGTGCTCTTGTGTGGTTTAAAGTAATACATGCATTAGCTAGAGGTTCAGGAGAAGGAAGTTTATTTGTTTCCCCCAACAATCCCATCTAGCACTACCCACTAATGTGGACAGGACACACCAAGATAGATTTTGGAGACATAAACCTGGAAGTGCTTGTGTACTGACAAGACACACCATCATCGAAACAATGTGCCCTAGTGAGGACAAAACCATGGTCACTAGTGCACATGCTGAAACAGAACATTAACTTATACCAATGTTAAATTCTCTTTCAAACTGACTTGTCAGTTCAGTTTGCATAAACTTATTTGAACTCGTGGTTCAGTTCATAAACCAAAGTGCACCAGATGTTTTTGCCAACAACTGTTGCTGCTCTGTGTGTTTTGAGTCAATCTCCTGTCAGTGCAGTTCACAGAAGTTCCGCCCGTTCTAGCCACAGCTGGGACACTTTATGGCTGCTCTGTAGAGAGAAGCCAACTCAGTTCACCAGAGTTCAGATTGCATAAACTGAGTTTCTTTGCCAGAGCAACTGGTGAGGTGGTACAGGGTCTGCCTTACAAGCACATGATCCCAGGTTCAAGACCCATTATCTCTCGGTAGGGTCCTGAAGAGCCCTGTGACTCGGGATAAGCCAGCTTCTTACATTCCTGTGTCAGTGCAAGGCACCATGATCTGATTAGTATAAAGGCAGTACAGTGGTACCTCGAGTTAAGTACTTAATTCGTTCCGGAGATCCGTTCTTAACCTGAAACCGTTCTTAACCTGAAGCACCACTTTAGCTAACGGGGCCTCCTGTTGCTGCCGGAGCCCAATTTCTGTTCTCATCCTGAAGCAAAGTTCTTAAACCGAGGTAATATTTCTGGGTTAGCACCATAAGGTCCCATGGCAGGTTACGCAATCAAAAATTTCAATATTAAGCAGTATAATGTTGTACCCCATTTACACCGCTTGATTCTATTTGTTGTCCTCACATGTGCAGGAGCCACACCACGGGTTAGCCAGGCATCAAGTAGCCTCTGTGTGGTCATGGCTTGTCCTGTTGCAGAAGGAGAAGCCCATAGATTGGCCTATTCTCTAGCACCCATTCATCTGCACCTATCTAGCGTCAGTCAGCATGAGGTTCCAATTATTTTTATTCAATCAATTCCATTGATGAACTACTTCCTAAAACACCTCAAAGCAATTTAACAACAACAAACAATCAACAAGAATATATATATATATATATATATATATGCATATATTTTATATGGGAAAACAATTCATATTAAGTAGGCTCCTGGCTTTCGTCTGCTATTCTTAAACTTTAAAAAAGAGGATGTCTTTGCCTTTGGAGAGCTGAGGGTTGAGGCTCCAGATATAGTGCTCTGATGATTGAAGGAGGATTGTACCACTCTGCCTTTCTGTTTTCTTTTTGTTTTGTCTTCCTAGATCCTCTTCTTCTGTTGTCTTCCCTTCTTCTGGCTGTCTACCACAGACACCAATCACTAATCAACGTGGACTGAAGCAGATTGACTGGCACCCAGCCATAAATTCACTCCTGCTCCCCACCACCCAGTAGTCTTAACTCCATCCAACCACATTATCCAAATTATTCTAAACCTGCACTCACCAATTGAATATGTGCCTATTATCCTTACTTTGCATACTGAGAATTGTAACTCATAGCTGTCAAAGTTCCACAATACAGTTAAGCTAATTTTCACCAGACCAGATGGGAAACTTCCCTGTTCCATTATGGTACAAAGGTCAAAACGCAATACTGATTAAAACACATTACACTGGCTAGGCGTTGTTAATATGTGATAAGAAATTAAGGTTTTTAACTTATAAAACACGACAATGCAAAAAAGCCCAAGGGAATGTCTCCAAATCTTAAACCCTACAAGAGAGGAAGAAATTCTTCAACTCCTAAATAAACCCAAGAAGAACAGGAGGGTATAGGCTTCAGCCTCCATAACTATTCCATTTATTTTCTTAACAAGATCTGTTTGCAACTTTCCCAGAGCCCCAAACCTCAAATCTGTTACAGAATGATTTTGTTCCAGGAAGTGACTGGGTTTCTTGTACCACAGATTCCATCCTATTGTTGCACACCATCCCATCCCTTCCACCAGACAACTCCTCACCCAGCATGCTGACGTTTCAACTTCAGCTATCAATGATTGAAACCTAACTGTTGAGAAGCTGTACTGGGGAAGGGGGTGGGGAGAACAGAAACCAAGGCAGAGCAGAGAAGCCCAGCAAAAATGGGCTTATTCACAGTAAAGGAGAACAGATGCCCCCAAAACCAACTAGGGAAAGAGTGGTCTGCAGTACCCAATGGCCTCCCAGCTCCTGTTCTTTGGAGTCTGGGACTGTTCCCTTCATATTATATAGTTCCCTCCCCCCCTTTTTAAATCCCACCTTCTTACAGTGAGCTGAAGGTGAGGCATATGGTCTCCCCATTATATCCTCACAAGGCTGAGATACTGTCACTAGGTGCAAGGTCAACTTGTGAATTATGTGGTTGAGGGGGGATCTGAGCTCTGCTCCCCCAGGTCCTACATCCACCGCACCAATCTGGTATATGTATTAAATGCATTCCTGTACAGTAAATGGTTAAAAAATATTGAGGTTGAGTGAAGTCCAGCACCAACAAAAACAGAAATAAACTTACTAAATACTAATCTTATTGTTCCATATGTACTCTATCACCAAAAGTACATCCTAAAATATCATTTTACTCTAAAAAAATCAAGTAAATCTTTACCTAATACTTTCTTAATTACATCAATGTAAATAAATAAATAGCAGTACTGTAAATAAATTATAGCATTTTGTATCAAAATTGTACTTATCTTGGTTGGCTTTTCCATATTTCAGTTCTTTGTCAGCGACTTGACAGCTATGATTCAAAATGTGGCATAAAAAGAACATTATCCTACTTACCTTGCATACATACATGCATGCATGTATGTACCAGTATTTATTAGATTCCTTATTCACCCATTACCACAAGCTCCCGGGTCAGGTTACAACAATCAAATATATAATGCTAAAACAAATAAAGCATTTAGAATCCAGGAGGTTTGCAGACAAGCAATATTTCCCTGCAATATTTGGGAAATGAAAAAAAGTGCATTTAATTTACATTACTTATGCTCCTTATGATAGAATAAAAACAAGATGGGTTTTAAAAAACTCTACAATACTGTGTGTCTTAGTTTTCCCCAAGTGAAATGGGTGTATGGGACAATTGTTCGTGGAGCTTACCTTCATCCACTTTGCCACATTCAGCACCCCTTCATAATCCCATTCTTTTTACAAATTGGAAGTGCTGCATGTATCTGTATGGCTGCCTTGGGATTATATCTGGGTGGAAAAATGACCTCACTACACTGCACACCAAGTATAAACTATAAAAGATCAATCTCATGAGCTTGCTCCAAGGCTTAAAACAATAAATGTTGCAATTTCTTTTTTTTAAAGTAATTCCAAAATTGATTACTTTATATTACTACAGCTGTTCATTAGGTTTGTCATTTATCCACCACTTCCTGCGATATAAATGAGTGAATTTATTAAGTGTGCCACCTTGGGGCATGTCAGAGGCCATTTTATATAAGCACAGAGTAATCAGCTCCCTGGCTGTGATTTTTCTCTGTGACATTTGGGCCACTGACCCTGAGAATCTTGCAGGAGCCTGCTTTCATTTCCAGTGCTGAGAAATAGTATTGATGCTTCCATTAGCAAAGCTGTTCTGTTAGTTTTCAGGCAGTATTGATTAAAAGCAGATATTATTTTTAATCTGATGCATTAGGGCCAAGCACAAGAGTTATTAGTATTCTAAATGGTATTGGATCATTATTTAATTTCATGTACAGGCTGACATTTATGTTACATTTTCAAGGTAGTTGCCCTTTCCAAGGTAGTTGCCCTTTCTCTGTAACAAGAACCCGGTAACATTACTTACCGTCTCACATTGTCTTGTTCCAGATAGTTCTAGGTAGAGATGCTTGAGAAACTTTCTTTTTCTTTTTTAAATTAGATTTTATTAAGGCTTTTCATAATACATTCCAATAAAAGACAAACTAATGTAAACCAAAAGAAAAAGAAAAAAGAAAAATGCAAAGTCCTCTCTCACTGGTAACTCTTAACTTTTGTCTCACACAGAAATGGGTGGACCTTCCGAGCTCTCACCAGAGGCGAAGCCTCAGAGCGGGGGCTACCGGAGCGATTGCCCAAGGCACAATTTTTTTAGGGGCTCACCACTGCAGCTGCCACCTTGACCAGAGGGGTGTGACAGAAAAGTTTGTTTACTGAGCAGGTTGAGTCACCAAGTGTTTTTCTCCCTGCCAGCAAATAGTAAACTAGCAACAGCTCCTGATCGGCCAGGGTTCTAAGGGAGGCAGTTGGAGTGGAGTGAGAGAAGGTGCGCAAGATTCTGTTGCGCAGCAGTAAATTAATCAACACAGAATCTTCTTCATAAACAGAATAAAACTTTTACTTGAGAAAATAAAGTTGTTCATAAACAGCACAACAACTACAATTTATTTACACCCCGCCCATCTGGCTGGGCTTCCCCAGCCACTCTGGGTGGCTTCCAACAAAATATTAAAATACAATAGTCTATTAAACATTAAAAGCTTCCCTAAACAGGGCTGCCTTCAGATATCTTCTAAAGGTCTGGTATCATAGAATCATAGAATCATAGAGTTGGAAGAGACTACAAGGGCCATCGAGTCCAACCCCCTGCCAAGCAGGAAACACCATCAGAGCACTCCTGACATATGGTTGTCAAGCCTCTGCTTAAAGACCTCCAAAGAAGGAGACTCCACCACACTGCTGGGCAGCAAATTCCACTGTCGAACAGCTCTTACTGTCAGGAAGTTCTTCCTAATGTTTAGGTGGAATCTTCTTTCTTGTAGTTTGGATCCATTGCTCCGTGTCCGCTTCTCTGGAGCAGCAGAAAACAACCTTTCTCCCTCCTCTATGTGACATCCTTTTATATATTTGAACATGGCTATCATATCACCCCTTAACCTCCTCTTCTCCAGGCTAAACATGCCCAGCTCCCTTAGCCGTTCCTCATAAGGCATCGTTTCCAGGCCTTTGACCATTTTGGTTGCCCTCCTCAGTTGTTGTTCTCTTTGACATCTGGTGGGAGGGTGTTCCACAGGGCGGGTGCCACTACCAAGAAGGCCCTGGTTCCCTGTAACTTGGCTTTTTGCAGCGAGGGAACCGCCAGAAGGCCCTCGGCACTGGACCTCAGTGTCCTGGCAAAATGATGGGGGTGGAGATGCTCCTTCAGATATGCTGGACCGAGGCTGTTTAGGGCTTTAAAGGTCAGCACCAACACTTTGAATTGTGCTCGGAAACGCATAGTTAAAGAGCATACACAGAGTGCTCATAGCAGCTATCTGACTCTTGACAGAGGCACAGTCTTAGTTACTGATTTACAGTGGTACCTTGGGTTACAGATGCTTTGGGTTACAGACACTTCAGGTTACAAACTCCGCTAAACAGGAAGTGGTCACTCCAGGTTAAGATCTTTGCCCCAGGATAAGAACGGAAATCGCGTGCGCTCTGCGGCAACACGGAAGTAACAGAGCGTGTTGCTTCCAGGTTTCGCCGCTCACGCATGTGCAGACGCTCAAAATGACGTCACGCGCATGCATGGAAGCGGCAAAATGCGACCCGTGCATGCGCAGACGCGCCGTCGCGTCTTACGTTCCATTCAGGATGCAAACAGGGCTCCGGAACGGATCCCGTTCGCATCCTGAGGTACCACTGTACTAGAGTCCTGGCACAATTTTTGTTGGCACAACACAACACACACACTGGCTGAGATACACACTCACATAGACACGCACAGAGACTGGCTACTTTTATAGGGAGAATGAGTCATCACTCAAGATGAGTCACGAATCACAGTGACTTAGCAGTTTGCTGTTAATAGTTAGCAGTTAGCAGGCTTGAATGATTGTGTAGGCCTTGTAGGCCTTACTGCTTCTGCTCTCAAGAACCTTTGTCTCATGACAGATTCATGGGGTCTGGGAGTCGGATTCTGTCAGGAGAGTTCGTTCTGACAGTGGTAGAGCTGAGGAGAGCCGAGAACTCTCAGTATATGCTTAAAGTTGTCAGGAGTACGTGCCGGAGCCAGGCCCTGTGACCGGTAGAGCTTCGCAGGACTGGGGCTTTCCTAAGTTTGTTCTCAAGAGGCGAGCCGGGAAGGGATATAAGGTCAGCATTTCTCTTTGGCTCTTTGCCACAGCAACACGCTTCCTGCCTTGCTGTGTTTGGCTTCTTGACTCCTTGCTTCCTGATCCTCGGACCCTTGGCTTCCTGACTCGTTCCTGCTCCCACACCGCCGTCTTGCCCCCGGTCCCGACGTCCTCTGCTAGGTCCCGACGTCCTCTGCTAGCACTGTTGGTTACATTTCTGTGGAAGAAGAAGAACCAAAACTCCTTGTTTACATCTGATATAATAAAGATTGTTTGCAACCTGTTTTCCCAAAAGAAAAACCCACCATCGCTCGTGATTCATTCTCCATTGGGGATTTCACCTGAGGGAAAGGGAAACAGAGGCCTGGCGCAGAGGTGCAAGGGAGAGAGAGTGCCGTTGCGCCTTTTCAAGGGGCTCCCTGTTCCGGCCCGCCTCATGTTGAACAGGAGCTAGGAGAGGATGGGCCCTTGCATCCCTTGGCCAGGTGGCATCCCCGCTGGCAGAGGAGGCAGATGGATGGCAAGACTCACAGTGGTGGCTGCGCCCCAGCCTGAGGAGGCATGCACACGTTCCAGCACTGCTCTGCAGTTCCGTCGGACAGCAGCAGCAGCAACTCATGGAGCCGTTGATTAGGGAGTGCCAAACTTTCCTTTATAGCGGGAAGGTAAACGGCGTTCTGTGTGCTGCGCTGGTGCTGGCTCGCCAGAGCAGCTTCGTCACGCTGGCCATGTGACCCGGAAGTGTCTCCGGATAGCGCTGGCTCCCGGCCTCTTAAGTGAGATGAGCGCACAACCCTAGAGTCGGACACGACTGGCCCTTACGGGCAGGGGTACTTTTACCTTTAAACTTTCCTTGCCTTGGGTCCTGGCAACCCATGCTACACCACTGGCTCACCTGGAAGCTTCCCTTTCTTCTCCCAGTCTCCCACCCTGGGAGGTCTTCGCTTCCCTGCTTCTCACACAGGGTCCTTCACCTACCATCCATGTGAATTCCAATCTGAACAGACTTGATCTGCATCTCTGATACAAATATATGAATAGTGATTTGGTGGGGGGACAACTCATAGCTGGGGAGCAGAGAGTTAATCCTCCCCCCATGCCCATAACCCTTCCTTCCTCAGTTGCAACCCCACTGTCTAAAATGTCTGCTACTCCTTTAATGAGACATACAATGCTTATTTCAAGCCTAACCACAATAGAAGAGAAGGAATTTCAGGATGGTCACAACTGGGGAGGGAAGGATTACCCCTTCCTCCCCCTTCAGCTCTGACTTTTCAGACCATGATTAAGCTTCACAACCAATCATATGTAGTTGTGGTATCTGTGTGGTTGCAGTGGATGTGCAGTTTCTCCAATTTGCAAATATGCTCTTGGGACCAAAATGGTTTGTGACCCCACAATGGAATGTTCTTCATACTGACTCCTCAGAAGCAGAGGGAGAGAGATGCCTACTCGATCCCTCTGATCTGATAATGTTTCTTCTGCACTTGTATGGAATCAGTATTTTCAGCATGGCAGCACCTACACTTTGACATTAGGCAGGCATCTTTGCTGTACTGTTTTTGGCACCTGCTAAAACATTTTTTTTTTCCTTAGGCAAAAGCTGACATGTATTTTAATATGTAAAGCTGACATGTATTTTAATATATAATTTTACATTTTAATGCATAGCTTTTAACTGCTGGGTTTTTTTATATCTTGGGAAGAAATTAGGCTAACTTGTTTTTTACTTCTGGTTTTTATCAATCATTTTAATGTATATTTAAAAAAATGTAAATGGCTTAGATGTTTTTACAATTAAGTGGTATACAAATTCTGATACTTTGAAAAGATTTATTTATTTTTTTATTACACTAATATTGTCTCCAGGTAAAGTATCTGGACACTGAGGGCATCAAACCTGCAAAATTAAACTGGCTTTAATAGTCATTCCCTCTCCACAGTTGACCCTGGGAAATTCATTAAAAAAATACCAGCACCTTCACCATACCCAAGATTCTTTTGGAGAAGCCACACTGGAATAAAACCAATATATATATTTGTAGGATATATTAAAATTGGGTTCTTTGGGTGTCTTACCAGACAAAAATGAACAATCAGCTTTCTTAATATAATTGATAAGACAACATGGAAGCAACCTGTACTGTTGTTAGTAACCATATTGAAATAAATAAATAAAATTCACTGTTGGCCAAAATATACAAAATCGCCAAGACAATATTTGGAGAATGAGTCAAATGCACTCTCACAGCCTCCCAAAGTACAACTGCTGTTTAGATATTATGTGTATTGTGCAACAAAGGAATTGAGAATTGCATCATTTATTTTATAACGGCGAGAAACATAGTTGGAATATACAAACAGAGTTTATATAACAAATCCACTTAAACTTAATTTCACAACCACAGTTGGAAAACAAACATATCAGCCTAACTGTTCAAATGAGACTCAGTTAGAAAACAAACAGTCTATTGGGCACTGATTCAGAATAATTTAATGGTTAGAAGACTCTTCTGCTCCCCATAGTTTTGTAAAACCCAAAGGGATATATTGATAATTGTCTTGAACTGAATATAAATATATACCCAATACTAAAGTTGATAGAGCACAAGACTATTAATCTTAGGGCTGTGGGTTCGAGCCCCATGTTGGGCAAAACCTTCTTGCCTTGCAGGGGGTTGGACTAGGTGGTCCTTGTGGTCCCTTACAACTCTATGATTCGATAATTTTGTAGAAGCCTAACAGTCTACCAATGGCTACTCAGAAACACACACACACACACCACCTTCCAAGGATCTCAAGATGGTGTGCATGGTTCTTCTTGTCCCCATTTCATCCTCACAACAACCCTGTGAGGTAGGTTAGGCTAAGAGATGGTGGCTAGCCCAAAGTCACCCAGAGAGCTTCTTAGCTGAGTGGGGATTTGAACCCTGCTCTCCCAGATCCTAGTCCAACACTCTAACTCAGGGGTCAGCAAACTTTTTCAGTAGCACTGTCCCTCAGAGCTTGTGGGGGGGGGCCGGACTATATTTTGAAAAAAAACCTGAACGAATTCCCATGCCCCACAAATAACCCAGAGATGCATTTTAAATAAAAGCACACATTCTACTCATGTAAAAACACGCTGATTCCCGGACCATCCATGGGCTGGATTTAGAAGGCGACTGGGGCGGATTTGGCTCCTGGGCCTTAGTTTGCGTATCCATGCAACCATTGCATCACTTAGCAGGCTGTGCCTTTAACTGCATTTCATCCAAAGCAGGGGTCAGCAAGGTTTATCTTGTTTGGGCAGGCCCAGATCAGTCCCACGGAGATCCCTCCATGGGCCGGACTGTGCATAAGTGTGAGCGCCCGCAATTGTCTGTGTCTGTGCAGATGCGATTTCCAGCACTGCACTGGTTTAGTGCAGCACGCAAGTGGGCAGCTCATTTCGGGGGTGGTTCATGGGCCAGTCAAGCGTCCTCCGCAGGCCGCCTCTGGCCCATGGGCCTTAGGTTGCTGACCCCTGATCCAAAGTGTATCAATGCAGAATCTAAACTACATATTAATCTAACAAACGTGTGCATCACTGTTTGAATGCTCTGAAAACAAGCTTGCAGATTGTACTCCTGTTTCTGTTCCTTTAAAATATGTGCTGGGATTAAGGGCTAAGTACAGGTTACATTATCCACTTAAAAAATAAAAAAGTGTGCTTAACTGGCATGGGGGGGGCGGGCAGGTGGAGCTGTTATGTAGCCCTGATCAAGAGTAAAGAACACTATAGGCAAGATTAGTTTTCCCTAAAACTAGCCATGGTCAGTTTGCCTGCCTGTTTAGGACAATGGATGGCTGCAGGAGCACCTCCAAATTGTGCATTGGTTCTTTCAGAGATTGGCTTCCACTCCTCCAGCAAGTCCGTAAACACCAAAATACATAGAATTAGCAGGCAGAAAGAATCAAGATCACTCAACCCATACTTGCAAAAAATGAGCATGAAAGACCCTTTCACCCACAAATCAAAGCATTTATGGTAATGCATTGACATCCATCTGTGTTGATTTGTGTGCAGAAGCTACTATAAATATTCCACTTGTCCCTGCAGTGTCTCCCATTCTGTATATGGGATTTTAAAAGAGATTTGTCTCCTTATGCTTTTCCTCCTTTGTCTTCCAGCTTGTCCTTACTGGCAAAGCTTATTTGCTTTTTAAGTTGTTCCCCAGAAAGAGTAGAAGATGACTTTTCCCTCAAAAGCTGAGAGGATGACCTTGTAAGTTCTTCAGACTGCAGTGCTTTTGTTTCCTCTACGATCTGTTTTTTCCTCAAAATGGACTCCTGAATAAAAAGACAGAAAGGTTCTTAATAAAGCTTAGTTTCTAAAAGGAGAATGGCTTAAGCTGAAGTATTGAGAAAGCGTCTTACAAATTCACATGGAAAATTAATCTTGAACAACACATTGGGATGGTTCACACATAGCTCTAAAACAGCTATCCAGATCCTGGTGCTCTCCAGATGTTTCAGTTTACAACTTCCATCATCCTTGCTCTGTGCTGGTTGGGGCTGATGCAAGATGCAGTCTGAAACATCTGCAAGACACCAGGCTGGAGGAGGCTGCAGTAAACCATGGTTAAATACTATGTGCCTGAGCTGCTACACGCAACATGCTTGAGCAAAGCCTCAGGTTCTTGAGCTTCTCCTTCCCTTCTTATCTTGCTGCATGGCTAAAAAGGCTGGATTATCAGTGGTGCAATCGCCCCAGCACCCTGCCTGCAAGGGGACCCAGACTCTGAGCTTTCATAAAAAAAGAAAGTCAATCAGACACCTATTTAAAAAGTTTGGAAGTGAAATATACAGACAAATGGGCAAGCCTGACTTCTCCTGCTTTTCAGTGTTTTTTCAGTAAACAAATGAAGTCAGCGCTATGATCAGTGAGTTGTTTCAACACCAGGAGATAGGAACTCCTTGGTTCTAAAGTGTGGACTTTCCACCCTACCCTTTAGAGCACTTTCCGTCTTATTTTCTAGTGCAGGCATGTCCAGCTCCCAAAAGACTGCAATCTACTCACAGTACGGTATTAAAATACTGGCTGTGATTTACCCATTGTCATTGCCTGGCAAAATTGTTGAGCTTTTCTTTCGAGGAGGCAGAGTGGTTGAGCTTTTTTGGGGGGGGGGAGGCGAGTTTTCGTTCCTTTTGGAGGACAAACGCTAAGGGTCATGCGATTGACCGCGATCTGCCATTAGCGTCCTGCGGTCGATAGGTAGACCACGATCGACCTGTTGGACATGCCTGTTGTAGTGCATGCAGTCTGTAGTCTGTCCAGGCCCAGCGGCAGCAGTCAGTCAAGTCAAGAGTATAGGAATGATCGTTGGGTGCGAAGCACACTCCCCACCTGCAGGCAGCCTCAGCTGCCTGCACACATGACCTTCGGGTGCGGGGCACACTCCCCCTCACAGATAAAGCCACAACTGTCTGAACATATTGCCCTCTGTCTAACCTTTTGCGGTCTCAGTAGTCTGTGGTGTCCTGTCTGTGACCTTTGTCTCTGAGACATTTGTCTCCTTTGTCATACACTATGCAAGGGGAAAATGACGCGGTGGAAACAGGTGCCAAAATAACTTTGTACCACCCCACGATTTCAGGATTGGAAGATGTATAAAGGTCACAGCCCAAAATTTGGGTTTGCATATTGTGTCAATAAAAGGAGCCTCCACAGAGCTGGCCGGCAGCTTGCTTGCAGCTCACCTGTGCGCAGCTTACCTGCACTACCAACTCCTGCCTCATGTCCTTCACTTCAAAAAGGAAGAGTGGGGCTGAAGAGCGGAGTAAAAATGCTTTATGTATTATTGCTCCACTCCCTGATCTAAATGCCTGCTTTATCCCCTTAGATTATTGCTGTTCATAACAGTCATGGATAAAATGTTACACTCAGTCTTGGGTTGGTTTCACTTACCTGGATCATGTCTAGCTTGGACCACAATGTCATGTTGTCCAAAGGGCCATAATGAGGCATGTAGCATAACTCTGCCATGTTGTTGATTGCTAACATCATCCTGCTTAGATCTTGCCTCTACATGAGCATAAAGAGATGGATGAACTTTGTCCTTCTCACTACTATACATCCACATATACTTGGAGAGTAGTGAAAGAAGACAACACTTATCAAGTGTGAGGTTAGCACTTTTTTAAAAAAAAGAAGATGGAGCTGGTTCATCATCTTCATTATCAATATAAATCCAGTTTCATCCCAGCTTTGCAATTCTCATTTCAAATGGGACACAGCAGCAAATTAAATCCCAGTTCACTCGTCAGTCCTGCCCCTCCACTATCCTCAAAGCAGGCTTTTTGCAAATTAAGGCAGGCATGGGGAACTTTTAGCCCTCCCGGGGCAGATTTACACTTGTGGTTTATAATGCTAAAAATCCATTGCTAAAATGTGACACCAGAGGGCCCTGTAGAGCAGAGGGCAAAGGGAAACTGTAACAAATGTTATAGACCATTATATTTAATAATGTATCAAAGATCAATGTAGATCCAGCCCAGATATTGTTGAACTTCCATGCTGGCTGGGGCTAATGGGAGCTGTATTTTACTTTATTTACTTAAAAGCAAAAGTATTTATAAACCCTGTAATATATACCGTATTTTTTGTCCTATAGGGCGCACCGGCCCATAGGACGCACCTCGTTTTTTTTGGGGGGGGGAATGAATTTTTAAAAAATTATTTTTCCCCCCAGCCGCAGCTGCCGCCCCAAGCCTTGTGCACACCTGCCCGAAGCACGGGGCGCCCTCCGGAGGGCTCCCCGTGCTTCGGGCTGCAGGCTGCTGCCCCAAGCCTCGCGCGCTGGGCGGGACCTCCCGCCGGGCGTGCAAGGCTTGCGGACCCCCGCCCAAAGCACGGGGCGCCCTCCGGAGGGCTCCCCATGCTTCAGGCTGCAGGCTGCTGCCCACAAGCCTTGTGAGCCCGCGGGAACTCCCTCCGGGCTTGCAAGGCTTGCGGATAGCTTCCTGAAGCCTGGAGAGCGAGAGGGGTCGGTGCACACCGATGCCTCTCGCTCTCCAGGCTTCAGCGAAAGCCTGCATTCGCCCCATAGGACGCACACACATTTCCCCTTCATTTTTGGAGGGGGAAAAGTGCGTCCTATGGGGCGAAAAATACGGTACATTTTTAATCTCTAAGTTGTATACAACATCCAATCAATAAACAGGAGCTTTGGGGTGGGGTGGGGACTCAGAGAAGCTTACCTTTTGATCGATGAGACATTCCTCATTGTTAATGTGGTGACACAAGTGTTTCTTTTTTTCTTGTAGTGCACTTTTCTTTGACTGAAGTTCAGAAATTTTGCCGAGCAGCACCTAGGCAAAGCCATAAAATGGGAATTTAGGGATGCGCTGTTCGTACATTTATTTTACGGCATTTGTAATCTGCCTTTCACCCAAGGATCTCAGGGCAGCATACAGTAAACATTAATGTAATACAGTGGTACCTCTGGATACGAACGGGATCCATTCCGGAGCCCTGTTTGCATCTAGAAGCAAACGTAACTAGCGACGGCACGTCTGGGCACATGCCCGTTGCTTTTCGCTGCTTCTGCGCATGCGTGATGTCATTTTGAGCGTCTGCAGATGCGCAAGCGGCGAAATCCTGAAGTAACGCACTCCATTACTTCTGGGTTGCCGTGGAGCGCAACTCGAACGCGCTCAATCCGAAGCACATTCAACCCAAGGTATGACTGTAATTAACAATAAAAATATTAACCAAGCTTGCAAGAGGAAATAGAGGCTTTGCAAGTGATTTCACCCACCTACACATGCAAATATATGCAGAAACACTTCACAGCCGCATTAGACTATTTGGAATGCATGGCAGCTGAATGAAAGAGAAATTGTATCTGGAGAGGTTTTGACTCTTTTGAGATTTCCTGCTGGAGCATGCCAAGAACCCATTTAGTCCAGCACTCTGAACATGAGCACAATAGCACTCACCCCTTCTGCAGTGTCTCGCAATGGGTATTCAGAGGCAAACTTCCTTCAATAGCGGAAGTAGAACATAGCCATCATAGGTACTAGCCAGGGAAAGTCAGGGTAGGGTATTTCAAGGCTCCCAGGCTTCCCTGAGAAAAAGTGAGCGGCGCTGCCTAGAAAACAGCAACGGTTCCTAGTGGTACAAAAGGGTCTGGTGCTGTAGCAATGGTTTTATTTCCTCCACCACAGCAGCACTTAGGCTTATGGGGAAGAGCCATAGCTCAGTGATGCAGTACATGCTTTGATTGCAGAATGTCCCAGGTTCAGTCCTAGGAGCATCTCCACTTAACAGAACAGGTAGCAGGCCATAGGAAAGATCTTCTACCTGAGATTCTCGAAAGCCACTGCCAGTCAGAGAAGACAATACCTGCCAGTATTGTAACACCATTCGATACCAATAGTATTAATACTAATATTATTAATAGTAATATTATTAATACTAATATTATTAATAGTGCCCAATGAGAAGGGAGATGTACACTAGTAGTACACAATGAGAGGGAAGATGCAAACTAATAGAACACAATGAAACAATAGCAGCAGCAGCAGCAATGCACTAGCAGCACACAATGGGGCAAGAGGGGGAAGCCATAATCATATTTTTCAAAAAGCCTTTCAAAAAGATCATTCACCCACTTCCTGCAGAAAAAGAAAACAACAGCAGCAGCAGCAACAAATCCTCTCTGAGGCTTTGTAGTGTGACCAGTTATAGTACCAATTGGACCCTGTTCCGAAGGAATCTACAAGTTGAGAATCCTAATTAATTACACAGCATGGGTTTCCTATGTGCTGCAAATACTTCTCAAAGCTTTGTTGGTTTCAGAAGACAGAATTGACCTTCTCTAAGGTTTCAGAAAAGAACCAGCACACTCGGTGCTTAGTACAATCGGACCTGTGGAATGAATGGATTGGGCGTCATAAAAACTACATGCTCAGTGAACATTACAAATGTCGTGGTATTGTATTCCTCTCGCAAAATCCCTAATTCTTTTTGCGTTTCCTCAATGTGACACTGCTGGATGGACAAATTCTTCATCAAGCTCTGGTTTTCCTCAAGCAGTGTCTTGTGCCTTTTGATGAGGGCTTCAACCATGGAGTCTTCCGGATATCCAAGAAATCCTGCAATGGAAAACAGGGTGGATTATGCTATACATGGAAAACACATATCAGGGTCATGTTTTTATTGTTTTGGTATTTTTGTGCTACTCTTTATTTTTGATGGCTCTTCAAAAGTGGTTTATGAAAGATGTCTTGTGGATCCTTTTATGAGTCAAAAGGCAAGAAATCTAAATACGTATTTGTCAAGTACAGAGTCCCCCCCAAGTAAAGTGTAACTGTTTAATGATTATACTCACCTGGTGTGAATGTGGCGGTAACTTTCTTCAGGAAATCTTCGAAGCTTTTGTATTTTGCCATCTTCTTCTGTAGTTCCTTTTTTCTGAAGAAATATATATTAGGGGCGCTTGGAATGCCTCAGACGTTAAAAATCATCTTATCAACAAATGACTAGAATTCCTGGAAAGGGATCATAGCTGTAACTCAGTTACGAAATGTGAGGGACAATCCTCCCCCATCTCAACCTTGACTGCCACGGGCAGCCAAACATCTGCAGAGATGGCCCATGTTTAGTTGCACTACCAGTTCCTGCCAGCTGTGCGTTTGAGTGACAGACCAGCTTAGCCCAGTGTTGGCTGGCTGGTGCCCATTGGGACTGGTAGGCAGGAGGGCAGAGAAGTCAATGAGCCAATGATGAGCAGAGCCAACTAACTCTAGTTATGTTCTCATCCTCCTCCCTAAGGAGTTCTGCCGAGGCAACACTGAGACTGAGTGTCTGCCTGTGGAGTAGATGTAACTAAAAAGGCAGGCAGGTAGGGGCTGGCTGGGGGCACAGTGAAGTTGGTGGAATACTGCCCCTTTTGCTCTAATGGAGCAGCCTTCACTGGCTCAAGTTGGTGATGATGATCACTGCATATATATTTATTTATATGCCGCCTTTTCCCCCTGACAGGGACTCAATGTGGCTTACAGATAAAAATGTGGTCAGCACCATCAAGATGTTGTCCTGAGGACCCAAAAGGGTCTTGGCTTTTGTTTCATTCATTTATCAAAATATTTGTGACCAGTTCTATATCAAAATGTACTCAGAGCAAGGTACACGGATATATTTGGAACCACCCTTTTGTTAGGTAAGCAAGCAGATAAAAATGAACGAATGAATCACAACCATCTTAAAACACAGAGTGGCTGATCCCCTTATTATTACAAAGCAGAGTTAACAATTAATAAACCCCCAAGAAAGCAGTTGGGGTCTTCTTAACCTAGGGCAAAAGTTGAAAGTGAGGTAGGCACCAGCAGAACTCAGAGGGAAATATATTCCACAGCTGGGGCGCCATTGTGTTTTTAAAGGAGGGAAAAGGAAAGCTGGCTGTGCACTGTAAAGGTAAAGGTAAAGGGACCCCGGACCATTAGGTCCAGTCGTGGCCGACTCTGGGGTTGCGGCACTCAACTCGCTTTACTGGCCAAGGGAGCCGGCGTATAGCTTCCGGGTCATGTGGCCAGCATGACTAAGCCACTTCTGGCGAACCAGAGCAGCGCATGGAAACACTGTTTACCTTCCCGCCGGAGTGGTACTTATTTATCTCTTTGCACTTTGATGTGCTTTCGAACTGCTAGGTTGGCAGGAAGAAGAAGAAGAGTTTGGATTTGATATCCCGCCTTTCACTCCCCTTCAGAAGTCTCAAAGCGGCTAACATTTCTCCTTTCCCTTCCTCCCCCACAACAAACACTCTGTGAGGTGAGTGGGGCTGAAAGACTTCAGAGAAGTGTGACTGGCCCAAGGTCACCCAGCAGCTGCATGTGGAGGAGCGGAGACGCGAACCCGGTTCCCCAGATTACGAGACTACCACTCTTAACCACTACACCACACTGGCACTGGAGCAGGGACCAAACAACAGGAGCTCACCCCATCGCAGGGATTCAAACTGCCGACCTTCTGATCAGCAAGCCCTAGGCTCTGTGGTTTAACCCACAGCGCCACCCACGTCCCTCTGGCTGAGTACTGTACTCTTAGATAATTAAACATTTGCTCTATGTAAATATGTAAAGGATTAAATTTAGGAACACAGAAAGCTGCCTTATATTGAGTCGACCATTGGCCCAGGTAGCTCAATAATATCTACACTGACTGGCAGCCCTACCTAGAGATGCCAGGGATTGAACCAGCGACCTTCTGCATGCAAGGCAGATGCTCTCCCACTGAAATACAGCCTTCCCCATTTAAGCTATGGCCCTCTTAGCAAGCCCCCATTCTTAAGAAATATAATTTTGATGATGATTCTATTCTGCCAGGGCACAGGACCTTCAGATCAGGAAAGCCAGTCATGCTGGCTGGCTGGAGAATAATGTGCAGTGGTGTTATCAGGAGAAGACTTTGGGACTGAAGTCCAGGGCCCCACTCAGAGGAATGCCCCAGCAGGAGAGTCCCCAAATATAGCAAAGCTGGCTTACGACATTTTGAAGTAAGTGGAGTAATACACACTGGCATCTAACGATGGGGCCTCCAGAAGTCCAGTGTCTAAGATTGCCTCACTGCACCCCTGCCCAGATACCCGTGGCTCAGACTCAAATCTGTCTTAAAAGCATCAGTCACATACCTAACTTGGAGTTTCTTAAGCTCTTTTTTCAGTTTGAATACCTCACGCTTCTTGAGGGCTTTCAGCGCGTGTTCCTGGTGGTACAGCTGAATGACACGCTCCTTCTTCTGATGACACTCTTTAATATATGCGTCAAATTCAAGAATTCGGTTCTTCCTCTGAACCAAGAAGGAGAAAGAAGGCTTAATCAGTTTTGCATAGTTTTGCTCAGTATTCAAAGGTGGGAGCCCATGAAGGGGAAGTCATTTGTTTCAGAGAAAATGCGAATGAATTCATCCTGGACACTAACAAAAAATGGAGGGAAGACTGATTAAGCTGCAGTCATTTACACACTTACCTGGGACTAAGTTCACAGCAACTTAGGGTTCCTTCACACTTCCACTTTTCCCATGCCTAGGAAGCATGGGCCCAAGTGGTTTTCCTCTTGTTCCACACTTTTTAGGTATGGGTCCAAGCACTTTTGTCTTATACCTCACCAGGCTGCTGGTTTATCTTGCCCAGTATTGCATATTGCAACTAGATGGAGACTCTTCAGGGTCTCAGGCAGGTCTTGCTCATCATCTGACATTTGAAGCTTTTAAACAGAGATACCAGCAGCTGAATTGGGGACCTACCAAACTAAATGCTAGTGTTCCATCTCAAATCCCATCTACAGCCTCTGCTATGCTGCCCTCTTGTGATCAGGCTGCCTGCCTGCACAGTGCTCTGGAGCTACGATTGAGTATGAGTGAATGTCATTTCCAGTTTCTTTCACTTTCTCATTTTTCCAATTGTCTGGAGGGGGCTGAGCACTGAGCCATGCTTAGATCCGCACTCGACCTCCTCTGCCCCCTCAACATTGAGGGGGCCTGGTCCCCTTCCAACAAATACAGAGGGAGTTGAAGACATCTCGGCCCCCTATACAGTGGTACCTCGGGTTAAGTACTTAATTTGTTCTGGAGGTCTGTTCTTAACCTGAAACTGTTCTTAACCTGAAGCACCACTTTAGCTAATGGGGCCTCCTGCTACTGCCGTGCCGCTGGAGCACGGTTTCTGTTCTCATTCTGAAGCAAAGTTCTTAACCTGAAGCACTATTTCTGGGTTAGCGGAGTCTGTAACTTGAAGCGTATGTAACCTGAAGCGTATGTAACCTGAGGTACCACTGTCGCTAGCACACCTGACTGGCCCCCATTTCCGGCTTTGCATCATTACAACTGTGTGAGAATGGCAGTGCCTGATATGTGGTGGAGTTGCACCCCGATTAAGTACTTCTGGGGAGAAATACATGAGCAGTTGAAAAAAATGCTTAAAATCCCATTAACAAAAAAACCAGAGGCTTACCTACTGGGCCTTTTAGAAAAAGAAATACCGAAATAGGGAAAAAGAATTTTCTTATATGCGACCACCACAGCTAGGATAGTAATAGCATCTAAATGGAAAGCTAAAGAACTACCTACCAAGGAGGAATGGATTCTCAAATTAAATGAATATTTAAAATTAGCTAAATTAACAGCATCCATACGACAGCAGTCAAATCAAAAACTAAAAAATGAATGGCAATGCTTTGATTATATGACAAAATATTGCTCTAAAAAAGACATGCTAATATCCTTAGGTTAAGAATGTAAATGCATCAACAATAAATTATCAATGACGTATGTATGTATATAGAGAAAATAAAAACAATCGGAATGCAATGATAAGGGTAAAATTGATTCTAGAGAAGACGAGTAGTGGTGGAGGGAAGTTAAACAGGGTAGTGGGTTTATTTCATTTTGTTTATGCTTTTTCTTTTTTCCGCTTTTGGATATTGGATAATTATTTAATGTATATTGATTTAATGTTTCTTTTCTGTTAATAACGTTTAACAGATCAATGCAGATCCAGCCTAGACCCCAACTCGAAGTGCTCTCCTTATAGATGCAGAGTGATGCTTACATCCTGATCTTTTTGTTCAAGTGCCTCTCTTCGTTGGGCCAGCACTTCCATCCTCTCTTTGAACTCTTGTTTCTTTGCAGTCAGTTCTGCAGAAGCTTGCTCATTTTCAATTTCTTTCTTCCGAAGCCGGAATGTTTGCAGTGCTTTTCTGCGATGCTGCAAAATGTCACTGGTGCTCTAGAAAACAAAACTGGTTTTTACAAATATACAGAGAGAGAGAGATGGAAGGAGAGAGAACCGTAGGGTTGGAAGGGTCCCCAAAGGTTATCTAGTCCACGTGTGTGTGTGTGTGTGTGTGTGTGTGTGTGTGTACACAAACACACACACACCCCACACACTACTTTTTTTCTTTAAAAATGTTTAGGGGTACTCTTGCAATGAGGGAACTACCAGAATGCCCTCAGAGCTGTACCTCAGTGTCCAGGCTGAACAATGGGGGTGTAGACGCTCCTTCAGGTCTACAGGGTCAGGGAATGATGGGAGTTGTAGTTCAGTGCCATCTGGAGGGCCAAGGCTCCCCATATGCAGGGAGCCTCAGCCTGCATGAGTCAAGCAAGCTCTCCGCTGCACATGCTGACAAGAGGACAGAGCTTACATGTTCATTCCTGCTCTCCCCTTTTGCGTGTTGAATTGGCACAGAAGGCAAACTCCCAAGTAGGGCTTTAACAGTTAGAAGAATATTATCTTCCCTGGATACCAGTTCAATCCCCCTGGCACGGTTATTATCGGAGAATTGCTCGACTTCTGCCAAAGCTCTGCTTTTGGCACAACCTAACAAAGAAACAGAAGCCCTGTCCTATATTTAACCCGGCCCTCTTGTCTGAGAAAGAGAATGACAAAGGCAGCTGACCTCTCGCATGACAGGAATCTGAGGCACATCTTCATCCTCTTCTTCCCTATATATATATAAAAAGGTAAATTGTTGTCATAGACCCTTATTACCTAGAAATTATTCTCCATGTATGAAAGGCAGCTCCCAATGTTCTGTCACACTTTCGGTGAGCTTATGTAGATGAAGATGAAAACAGGCACCATCTTGATTCTCAAGGTCTGGGTGATCAATGACATATTACAGGCAGTGGCATAGCATGGGTGGTTGGGGTGGCATGGCACATTTTTTTGGAGGGGCCCCCACCACAGGTCCCCTAATTGGAGCTGTGAAAGAGCTGTGCAGACAGCATTTTTGCATGGGGGACCAACACTGCCAACTGCAGCTCCACTCCTGGGGCAGAGAGAGGAGAGTTGGCAGCAACATTGCCGCCCCTCTCCTTGGCTGCATTGTGGCACCCAATGTTGCTGCTGAGGCAGCTTTCTTGTGCCTGGGCCCAGTCGCAGCTCCACTCCTGGGTCAAGCCTGATCCTGGACGCAGCAGGCTCCCTCCATGCCCTGTGCCCCTATGATATGAAGGTCTACTTAGAAGTAACCCCCACTAGGTTTTGTGGGGTTGCTCTGAAATAAGTATACAATGGTACCTCGGGTTACATACGCTTCAGGTTACATACGCTTCAGATTACAGACTCCGCTAACCCAGAAAAATGTTAAGAACTTTGCTTCAGGATGAGAACAGAAATCGTGCGGCGGCAGCAGCAGGAGGCCCTATTAGCTAAAGTGGTGCTTCAGGTTAAGAACAGTTTCAGGTTAAGAACAGACCTCCGGAATGAATTAAGTACTTAACCCGAGGTACCACTGTACAGAGGATTTCTTTTCTTTTCTTTTTATGTAAAGCAGACCAAACAACTACCATTTTAGAAAGCAAGTAAATGTAATTCCTCTCTAAGGAGGAATTGTGTGCTGCACATTCAGACATGCGTACACATACTTCCATGATGGAAGCATAACAATTTTATTATTATCTGTTGTATATACACACCATGAGATATAACCCAGTAGGGAGGGCAAGGACTATGTACAAATTCTCCTCAGTCTATACAAAATCAAAATGGAGAGACATAATGATATATAAAACATTCACAAATCCTTCAGAAAGCCATATTTCACGCATAGGCAAAGCCATACAGTCCCAGAGGCTATTTGCAGCACTGTAAGAAATGAAATCCCACCACATGGCCTGGCAACCTTCTGGAGCTTCCAACATTTAAATTATGCCCTATCCCCCCCCCCCCAATCACAATGTTCCACACATGGGGAAATTTGCAATTCTTGCAATGTCTTCCATTTTTGTACAACAGATGTCCTAGCTTCTGCCAACAACCATGTAATGAGTTCTTTTGTATGCCCTTCTTGAGCCTGATCGCCCCATAGATTTCAACGTAGAAGCTGTGGAATCCTTTGAACAGGAGTCTTACAAACAGCAGGATTTTTTTCTCAAATGGGGGGTAGATTTTTTTTAAAAAAATGAAATCCCGCCTTCTCCAATTATTGAGAAACTATATAGAAAGATGGAGGGAGGCAAAGCCAGCGACAATAGTGATAAAATAAATGGAATGTAGGATCCCTGCAGAAAGAAATGGATGGTGGCAGGTTTTGGGGGTTGCATAAAATGGCAATGGGGCCACATGAAGCCCCCAGGCTACAAGTCACTCACCTGTCCATTCTCCTTAAAACTCCAGGATATAAATCTATGCTGAACTTTTGGAGCCTGAGAGCAGTGACAACAGCAGTATCTAGGAGTTAGGGGAGATAGCCGGAAGCATCACAATGGCACCTCTATGGCATCTTGCTTCATCCTTGAGCACCTACCCTTTACACCTACCCTACACAGGGTAAATCCCATAACATACTAAGTTTACAGGAGATGTCTCCCCTTTCAACACAAGGAAGCAACACTTAACGGGAGTAGTTTGGCAGCGGCTCCTTCCTAAATAGTACCGCTAGCGATATAAGGTTGAAAGGTCACAACTCAAGAGATCCAGGTGGGACCTTTACATTACCCCATTCAGGAGGAGACGAAACAGCCGTAGTGCCACCTGCTGGGTTCGTTCCATGGTCCTATCACTCAACTGCTATCATTAGAGCAGTCTTTGCCAACCTGGTGCCATCCAGATGTATTGAACTGCAGTTCCCGTCCACTGATGGGAATTGTAGTCCATGAAATCTGGGTTGGCACATACTGCAGTGAGAGGTGTTCAACACAGCTGAAGGGGAACCAGGACTGATGACAGGACAAAGGGAGGAAATTAGGGTTTGATCACATATTACTAGGTTTGTCATCCAATGAAAACTCAGGCTGTGTTCACACATGTGGTTTTCTAAGAGTCAGCCTCATTGGGCTTATTTATGAGTAGCCATTGGGATTGGGCTGTTAGCTGATTTAATATATGTTTTAATTGACCAATTAATGAATTTATCAATATACATTAATTTACATAGTTCTAAAGGGGGGAAACCTGCTTTGGGTTGTATCCAAATAAGGACCACATCTTCACTATAGTTTTAAAGTAGGTGCCGCTGTGGGTTAAACCACAGAGCCTAGGACTTGCTGATCAGAAGGTCAGCGGTTCGAATCCCCACGATGGGGTGAGCTCCCGTTGTTCAGTCCCTGCTCCTGCCAACCTAGCAGTTTGAAAGCACACCAAAGTGCAAGTAGATAAATAGGTAGTGCTCTGGTGGGAAGGTAAACGGCGTTTCCGTACGCTGCTCTGGTTTGCCAGAAGCAGCTTAGTCATGCTGGCCACATGACCCAGAAGCTGTCTGAGGACAAACGCCGGCTCCCTTGGCCTATAGAGCGAGATGAGCGAGTCAGTCACAACTAGACCTAATGGTCAGGGGTCCCTTTACCTTTACCTTTAATACTACGGCCATGGTCTCCCAAAGTAACCTGAGAACTGCAGTTTGTTAAGAGTGCTGAGGTTTGTTAGGAGACACCTTTTCCTTTAAGAGAGCTACAATTCCCAGAGGGATTGAGAAGAGGGATTAACTGTTAAACCACACAGTGGTGTGATGTTGCTTTAAATGTATATTGTGGAGTTGGGGCCTAAGACCACATCCACATCATAAATTTAAAGCAATATTATAAAACTCATGGCTTCCCCCAAAGAATCCTGAGAACTGTAGTTTGTTAAGTGTGCATGCGGTTGTTAGGAGATCCCTATTCCCTCATTCTTGATCACTGGCCATGCTGGCTGGGGCTGATGGGCGTTGGAGTTGGGAAAGTCTTTTCTGCATAGAGTTCTCCTGACCATCTTTGCAGGCAATTGCTGCAAGCATACCTGAATGAATTGGATCAAATGGCTAGAAAAGAAGCCCATGGCAAATCAAAGTCCTAGTGTGAGCAACCAAATGTGGAATGCAAATCCAAGTTGCAATTACACATACTCTAATCCTGCAGCTGTGCTTTGCAAAGGATCATTTTCTAGACCAACAAGTCGGATTGCCACCTGATCAGGAAAAACCAGATGCTTGCCTGCTCTTGTGCTAGAGCAGAAAGTGCAAAAAATCAGCCAGGGCAGCTCTTCAGCACAAGTTGTTAATTCTCAGTCTGCATCAGACGATGCGATACCTTCAATAATTCTCCTACATATTGTGGGAAGTAAGAAGAACCCTGTTCCCTGCTCAACCACCCAGCAGTAATATGAGGCAGTAACTTTTTCCAATGCTTTATTTTCCCACCGGAAATTTTCCAGTTCAGAATGGCACCAGGAGTCTACTGATACTCAGGGCTCATCCTTGTTTCTGCTTGACCCACGCTTATTCTAGGCATGTATCTGAGTGGTTTCCCCATTGTTTTCCAAGAGAAAACCCATTCTTTAGCGATAGATCGGAACAAATGGCAATCTGGGTGAAACCTGAATCACTCTTTGCTCCAACTGAGCACTAAAGAGTGGTGGAAAGCAGCAGGGAGTATGAATAAGCCCTCAGTCAAAAAACCCTCATGACCTTCCCCATATTGTGTTGGGGACTGAGTGGGGAGCGGGCATGATGACACTGGGGGCGAGGCTAGCCTGAATGCCCTGCCCCACCCCACACTCTTACCATTCACATGTTCAGGTAACACTTACAGCTGAAGTCCTGGAGAAAGAATCTCCAGGGCTGTCAAGTCTACTGTAAAGCATTATCTGGCAGACCAATGACATATTGCAGACAGCTAAAGAGACGCCCACATGTAGAAGCTGCAGATAATTCTCCAAATCCACCCAGGCCTTTTCAAAGCTGTCTCTGCCAGCTGAGCATCTAAGTTTATGAGGATGCATGGGGGTTAGTCAGACCTCCCTACGATCGCCACAAATTCAGGGCCCACGTGTTTTGCTGCTCTCTGCAAAGTTCTCGCTTTGTTTTCTCACGAGTAAATGTGGGGAGATCTTAAATGATGTCAACAGCTTAAACAAATTCCATGGTGTGTTTCTACAGCATGAAATCTTCTTTGCCCCATGCAGCGCAAACACCAAATGCAGGGTTGACTGTGGGAACTGTTTTATATGCCATGTTACTGTTGGTCTGGCATTTTAACGCTGCGGAAAGAGGCAGCAGTGACATCATCCCTGGCGCCAGCCGTGCAGTTTGATGAGATCCACTTGAGCCGTACCACCAAGTGATTTGATCGGAATAAGAATGGGTTTGTTAGGTTTTTCTGTATCCTGTTGGAAGCCTTTGGTGTGTAACCTGGAAACGATAATTTCCTTGAGCAAGCAGTCCCAATGATGGCAGACAGTGAGTGTGGAGTAGTGGCTAGGGTCTTGGGAGACCAGGGTTCAAATCCTCACTCAGCCTTGAGGCCTACTGCGTGGCTTTGAGCCAGTCTTTGTCTCTCAAGCCTGACCTACCTCACAGGGTTGTTGTGAGGAATAAATCGAGAGGGAGATAGGTGTTTGCTTCACCTTGAGCTCCTTGGAGGAAAGGGATGGGCATAAATGTGCTAATTAAATAATAAGAATGAAAATGCGACCAGCCTGCCAGAAAATAGGTATGTCCATCTAACATGTATACAAATCAGTAGCATGCAGTAGCATACAAATCTGTAGGTACATCTATCTTTTCCATGGCTAGAATGTAACCCACTCTACAAGGGGGTTAGAGCAGCATCCCCTGACCCCACTCAGCTTGGCATGTGGCCCCCAGATGGTTTCCCAGCTGACAGTGCGGCCCTCAAACTGAATAAAAGTCCCCCCACAGCCGTTTTAAGGAATGCATCACACACATCAAGGGCCACCTTACCTGTGTTCTCCTAGCTGGGTCACGAAAACATTTCCTGGCCCGTTTTCCACCTGCAGAAAGTATTTGGGATCATGGTCCCTTGTCATCATCAGAAAAGTCATGTTTCTTTAGGAAGGAAGGGAGGGGGGTTGTGGAAATGCTTCCCCCTCCACTTTTCTGCAGGAATCCTGTGTACTGTCATGCACAGCAGTTTCATCCCCTGGGAAATTGGTCAAGAGGAGAAAGAAGTGTCCAGTTTGACTCTGTTTGTCTAAAGCTTATCTCGGCACGACCAAATGAGCCCGACGGTGCTGCTTTCGCTGCATCGACAGAGACAGACGTGTATGAGCAGCAAACCCAGATCTAATTGCAAAGCTGGAAGCGCAGGGCTCAGCGTGGCAGGTGAGCTTTCTGGGTTGCTACTTCAGTTACCTTTCCGCCTGCTGCTGCTTCCAGTGTCCCCCTGGCAACCCCAGCACACAGTGCGGATCAAGGCCTCGAGTGCCCAGGGAGAACTGTCCTTGTGTTTCCCTGGGGAGTGATCTCTCTCTCTCTCTCTCTCTCTCTCTCTCTCCCCCTCTCTCCCCAGCACAGCTGTAAACAGAACAGCGCAAACACTGCATGAAATATACTCGGAGTCGAGAGTGGATTTCATGCTCTTTATTCAGCTCATAGTGGTGAGGAGGAAAAATGTTCCCCCAGAATATCTGCTTTATATACATTACAGTGGTACGCTTCAGGTTACATACGCTTCAGGTTACAGACTCCGCTAACCCAGAAATATTACCTCGGGTTAAGAACTTTGCTTCAGGATGAGAACAGAAATCGTGCTCCGGTGGTGCAGCAGCAGCGGGAGGCCCCATTGGCTAAAGTGGTGCTTCAGGTTAAGAACAGTTTCAGGTTAAGAACAGACCTCCGGAACGAATTAAGTACTTAACCTGAGGTACCACTGCATTTGCACAATGGGCTGCACGTGATTGGCTAATTCCAGGATTCTCCTGTAGGCCAATCAGGTTGTGGATTCATTTCCACCTGGAGCTGGATTGGGTGGCTCCTGTGGACCAATCATACTGCTGCATTGTTCTAGTACCAATCAGACTGCTGCATTCTGAATCCTATTGTTCTAGGACCAATCAGACTGCTGCATTTTGGAGCCTATTGTTCTAGGACCAATCAGACTGCTGCATTTTGGATCATAACACTGCAGCAGCCTCTTTGCTAAATCGCTTTGGTTGAAGATAGTTTTTGTCTGCCTGCTCACAAGTATAGCATGAAACAAGGCATAGTATTTGTTTGTTCATTTAGAACAGTGTTTTCCAATATTTGTGTCGCCATTTGTTTTTGGACTACAGTTCCCATCATCCCTGACCATTCGTCTTGCTAGTTAGGGATGATGATAGTCCTCTGGGTATAGGGCAGTATATAAATTCAATTAGATAGATGACAGATAGATAGATAGATAGATAGATAGATAGATAGATGATAGCAGCACATGTGAAAAGGATCTAGGGGTCTTGGTGGACCAGAAGCTTAACATGAGTCCACAGTGTGATGCAGCAACGAAAAAAGCTAATGCTCTTCTAGGCTGCATCAACAAAAGTATAGTGTCCAAGGACTCAGCTACATTAGTAAAAAAGAAAAAGAAGCATAAATGCATAAATAACATTGTGACACAAGATTGCACTGTAGAGTTCGATCTTTGGCAATGTGATTTTGCATTACTGTACAGTGAAACCTCAGTTGTCGAACATAATCTGTTCCTGTTGTAAACAAAAGCCCATTCGGCTTCCGAAATGTTCGACAACTGAGGTACAGCTTCCTATTGGTTGCAGGAATTTCCTGCACGCAAGCGGAAGCCGTGTTGGACATCCAGCTTCCGAAAAACATTCAGAAACCGGAGCATTTACTTCCGGGTTTTCGGCATTTGGGAGCTGAAACATTCCAAAACAGAGGCGTTCGGGAACTGAGTCTTGACTGTATGAGATTTACAAAGCGTTTTCCTAAAACATTTTTTTGATGTGTCTAGATCCAGCCCAGATCAAGGGAAGTAATAGTACCACTCTATACTGCCTCAGTCAGACCACACCTTGAGTACCGTGTCCGCTTCTGGGCACCACAATTTAAGAAGGATGTTGACAAACTGGAACATGTGCAGAGGAGGGCAACCAAGATGACCAAGGGACTGGAAACCAAGCTTTATGAGTAACAGTTGAAGGAACTGGGTCTGTTTAGCTTGGGAAAGAGGAGTCTAAGAGGAGCTATGATAACTATCTTCAAATATCTGAAGGGCTGTCACATGGAAGATGGAGCAAGCTTGTTTTCTGCTGCTCTGGAGGGTAGGACTCGAACCAATGGATTCAAGTTACAAGAAAGGAGAGTTTGGCTAAACATCAGGAGGATCTTTCTGACATAACTGGCCAAACAATCTGAATAGTTGTGCAATGGGTCACCTACACCTGGAGAAATTGTGCAGTTGTTCTATTGTGTTAAGGGGGGGAAAACAACATTTTCTGAGTTCAGATGGGGATGGGAGTGGAATCTGAACAGAGAAAATATGGGAGCAGGATGTTATGTTCATGATATCACGCAGATGCCCTGTAAAAAAGTGAGTGAGCAAACTGTGGTTATTCTACAGTAAATGTGCAGTGTGGAAGCAGCTCCTGTTTCAGAGTACTGTTTTCAGGATAGGGTTACCAACTGGTCTGGAGCAAATTTAGAACAGATCCCGTGTCATTCTCCATTGAATCACAGGCTTAAAATAGAAAGCTCAGGCAAGGGTCCCAGGGAGGGTATTCTGAAGTTAGGGTGCCACCATGGAAAAGGCCTTGCCCCAAGGTTAGGAGGAAGCAAAGAAACTTATTTTGAGTATTGGTTGGCTTTCATTTCATGATCTGAAATAGATAATAGATACTTTTGCATATATATTTTTTCAATCACTGATTTTAGGACTTCTGCAGTTCAAAAATTTGGCTGTTGTCTGCTGCTTGGAAAAATACTGAAATGTTTATGTGTGTGTACATATATAATGGCCATATAATAGTTTATTTATCAGTCATCATCATCATTTTATTTGTATGTCACCTTTCCATAATCAAAAGCATGCTCAAGGTGGCTTACAACATGTAAAAAATTACATAATACCCCCACCTCCTTCAAAATTTTGTGTAGGCTTTATTTTATTTGTTAACGGCAGGTGCTTTTTTGTCCTTTAGTTAAAATTGCTTAAAATGATCTGTACTAGTTGCTAGAAATAGAGAGAGATCATCCAAAACAGATCAAGCATAAGATAACTTGTTCTACTCGTTTGTTGGATTGTCTCTGTTCAGTCTTCCCCGCATACCTTTGACCTCTATTATTGCAGTAAAGTTTGTTTATCACACTATTTGATATAATACAGGAGCCTGCCACATTTGTCAAATATATGACTATTTTTAACCGAGTTAAATGCTACACGCTCTTATGGTATGTTGTGCAACAGATATCCTCTCGTGTCATCTGACATTTTGCCCAGACACTTGTGCTAAATTTAGCTTCTCAGGAGGGATGCAAGACAAATGAATAAATGTCAGTTTTTCGAAACAAGATTGTGGCATGGGAGGGTTTGATTTCTTGAAGAGAAATGTCAAAGAACTAATAGCTGTTTCAATCATTGCATGCTGCATTTTTAATACTGCATTGGATTGGATTTTGCTTTTGTGCTCTGTAAAGGCAACCAGAGAATATTTGTTGATGTATGTTTAATAAATAATAAATTAATAATATGGATGTTTCATGGGGAACCTAACCTTTTGAATGGGGTCCTCATTCACCTTTGAGGTTGAAGTGGGAAAGCGTTTGTAGCCCTGCTCACAAACATCCATAAAAGCAAATAAATTATACAAGAATATATACCAAAGATCGCTGGCAACACATTGAGAATCTTTATACCACTGCCTAGCATTCCAAGCAACAGCAGCCGCTGTCAGTTGCACAAAGAATCTCCAGATGAGTAAACTGCTTGATACGGTCAGTTGACTTCCATGTGCTTTTGCAATGGGGAAACTGGCCCTAAATGACATGTGTTCCAGGAAAGTCAACAAGGTAAGCCATGTTTTGGTAATTTACAGGAGCATCACAAAATTATTTGGAGCACTGCCTACACATCCTTATGAACCTCCCAAAGAATCATCGTGTCAGGCTTCAGGGAATCGCCTTCCTCCCCCTGTGGCAGTAGATAAGCAGAACAAAGGAAAAGGAATCATCTTACCCGTTAGAAACTTTAATAATCACAGCGAGAGAACAAAGAACCCATCTCCTAGGAATGGTGGTGCTCCCAGTTAAGAATCCCACCCCCTGACATCCCCATTAATCCACGTCACTCCTATGTCTTGTAATCTTGAGCTGGTACCCTCTGTGCTTTGTGTGCTTTCTGTACCGCCACTTTCTCAGCTCTTCTTGACCTTCGGGAGAGCGGGTGAATGTTTTCCAGAGACAGTGAATCTGTTAACCCTCTCTCTCTCCGTGTTTCTTCTCCTAGCTGCTCCCCATCCAGTATTTCCCAGCTTCTGCCTTCTGAACAATGTCCCTCCTCAAACCACTGTTCCAAATCTATACTGTCCTCCTGCTTCTGGGAAGATTCAGGATTCGGATCAGGAGCAAGGGGAGGGGAAGGGGGAGGCTCCCACTATTCCTCCTCAGTGCAGCCCTCCTCACGGGGCTGTGAGTTGTTAGGAGACTGCTATTCCCCTCACTGAGCTAAAATGCCCAGTATGGTGCCAATTCATAGTGGCCCAGCTGTTTTGGCTCCCTCACAATTTTTTTGCCCCCATGCCCCCATGTTGAAAAAAATAGGGGCGGAGGAGGCCGAGTGTGGAATGGCTTCAGTGGTCGGCTCCTTCTTCTCCTCCTCCTGCCATGGAGGGGAAGGAGGGGAAAGTACCCCCCCACCCACCCAGTGGCGGTGGCAAGAGGAGGCCGAATGTGGAACTGGGCATAGCACAGCATGGCTCCATTGACCAGCAGCTCCTCTTCCAGCTGTGTGAGGGAAAGATGGGGGAAACAACCCACAGCCAGCAGCAGGTGGAGAAGGCGGCCGAGTGACAGAGAGGAAGAGCTGCCAGCCACTGAAGCAGCGCTACTGCCGCATTTATCTCTGCCCCCGGGTCATCCCGACGTCCTAATGTCACACCTCCCCAGTCTCACTCGCAAGCTGGCACCTTTGTTTTACAACCAGTCCCTCTTCCCAGGGAACTACAGCTCTATGTGGGGAATAGGGGTCTTAAACCACAGAGCCTAGGGCTTGCTGATCAGAAGGTCGGTGGTTCGAATCCCCGTGACGGGGTGAGCTCCCATTGCTCGGTCCCTGCTCCTGCCAACCTAGCAGTTCGAAAGCACGTCAAAGTGCAAGTAGATAAATAGGTACTGCTCCGTCAGGAAGGTAAACGGCATTTCCGTGCGCTGCTCTGGTTCGCCAGAAGTGGCTTAGTCATGCTGGCCACATGACCCGGAAGCTGTACGCCGACTCCCTCGGCCAATAAAGCGAGATGAGCGCCACAAGCCCAGAGTCGGCCACGACTGAACCTAATGGTCAGGGGTCCCTTTACCTTTACCTTTACTGTCCCCTTAACCAACTATAATATAGTTCCTGGGATTCTCCGGAGGAAGCCATGACTCTTAAAGTGGTACCACAGTGCTTTGCATGTATACTGGAGATGTGGCCAAGGTTGTGTGGGGTAGGTTTGTGGCTATTCAGTGTCACTTTGCACATGCTTAAAAGATTCTGGGCTGAATCCTAGGGCTGAAAACTAGAGTCCTTTTGAACCCTAATTCAAGTTAGTTCTTTTCTACACAGTAGGAAAGTGCTTGCCATTCTATTGTCATGTTTATCTCCCCCCGCCCACACACACTTTTCCTTTGTTTTTGCTAATTAGAGGACCGGACCTTTCCCCACATTTCCTAAAATTCAGGAACGCTTTAATTAAAAATTCCCGTTAATCCTCATGGTGAAATATCAGTGATATTTGCCAAGCAAACAACGGCTAAACAGTGGTGTTTACTCACCAAGGCAGTGTGTGCTTGTTTAGATTCACCTTCGTTTTGCTTAAGTTCCTGTTGCATTTGCAGTTTTACGCACTACCCCTCCATTGGTTGATCCCCCTCCATTTCAAATCTGTGTACATGACCTTCTGGTGATATTTACACAGAGAGAGCCTGAGACTCATAACAGTGAGTTCCCCTAAGGTTTAACTTGTCAGCCTGAGTCAGCAATCAGCTAAAATGGTGTTGAGGAGCTCGGATAACAATATTGCTTCCCTCGGGGTATGGTTCCCTGTCAATCGTAAAGAAAGGGCTCTTCACACAAGAGTCTGTTTTCCTACAAAGATCTCCACCCTGTGTTTGGGCTTTGGGGGAAGTACAAAAAGGTGGGCACTGTCACTTACGAAGAAGGTGCATCCCTCCTTTTCTTCACATGTACATCCCCAGGAAGCAGGAAACCGTGGAGCAGCAGCAAAGGAATGGAAAAATACTCAAGTGAAGAACCAGCGTTTGCCTCTGCACAGCTGGACTGAGCAAAGTCAACCGGAGTTCAGCCACTGAGCTAAATTTGCATGACCCATTTACATGACCTGATTTCCCCAGCTGTAAAGGAGTAACAGTATTTTGTGTTTTTTCCATATTGGCCATATAATAAGTAGCCATCTCTCTGTCTGTCTGTCTGTCTGTCTGTCTGTCTGTCTCTCTTTCTCTCTCTTCCTTCAGTGCACATTGACTAAATTTGCATTAATATAATGCAAACATTAATGTCTGAGTGTATACATGAAAGGTACAAAGAAAACATTTTATCCTTGTAGAGAAATGGCAAGTACTTCTTTTCACTGGAGGGGCAAATAATAGCCTGGGGAAGGATTTTAACAGAAAATTTGTGGGAGGGGGATCACACCCACACACCCCATAATCATCATCCAAACTGAGGACCTAGGTGGCTGTTCCCAACTCTTAAAAAGCGAACAAACCAATAGGTCTTATGCACGGATCTCTCACGTGATGTCTAATCTGGCCTCCAGATTAAATAATGCAAAACAAGCATATTGGCAAGCATGTGGTCAATGCGTAATTTTTCTGTTTCAGCTAGGCATGGTGGGAAGGGTCAAGGAAGACCTGAGTTATGGGTTCTCCGAATTACAAACCAGTCTTTCCCATTTCCCATTAGAAATTATTACAGCACACCAGCCACCATTACAGAGATACTCTCTGCCAGGAATGGATGAATCTGTTGATTTGGTTTCACTCAGAATCTAATTTCACAATCTTCAGTTCAGTTCACCCACCTTGCCATGTCAGTTTGCGAACTGTGTTTCCCCAAAAAAGTGTTTATGAAGCCTCATCAGCATTTTTGTGTAAATTTCTCTTAAAATAGACACGTTTATATGCCATTTTTGCATAGCCATTTCCCATAATATAATGCGTATTGCTATTTCTCTCCCCACCCCATGGCTAGAGAGCAGCACTGGAGTAGTCAGAGAAGTGCAAATTTCAAAGGCAGGTGCATTGGAAAAGTGCAAATTGGGTAAATTTGCCTTTAAAAGTGAACTAAATCAATTTTTTCACCTGCGCTACTCTCTAATAAGAAATCACATTTGTTGTATCCAAACCAAGGCACAACTGAGCCATCAAAGGAGTTCATAAACCAACCTGTTATGAGTTAGTCTAGAGTTGAAGGAGAGGTTAGCAAGACTTGTTTTAGCAGTCACTGCTGGCTCTTTTGGGCCAGAAAGCAGAAACAAGTTTTCAGAACTTGCACTTCTCATTTCACACCGCTACTTTCACATCCTCTGTTGTCTTCTGCTTTTGCCAGTCTTGCAGTGACAAGAGCTCATGGATTTAATTTTGCAGGCGTCAAGTTATAATCTTTTACAAATGCTTTGAGACTGACTGCTAAATTAAGAATTCCTAGAGGAACGTATTATTGCAGCCTTTACACTAATAAAGCCTAATTACTGTTTTGAGACATTCCCAATTTGTTCAGTTGAAACTTTGAGCTTCTTTTCCATTGTCTGTTAAATTCAAACATGCAAAAAACAGGGTGACTTGAGGGCTTTGCCCTCAAAATAAACACAAGAGAATGAAAGTACTAGCACTGTATCCCCTGAAAAATTCAGCAAAATCATCCAGTCCAAAATAATCCACCTTCACTATAAAGCAAGGGTGTCAAATGTTTGGAGAATTTTTAGCTGATTAATCATCTGTCTTGCAACTGATTGATCAATTATTTAACACTCCATATTACCAAAATCTCATTGTAAGTGGCTTTTAGGGATACGGTGAGGGGAATTGTACAAAAATGGAGAGCCAAAACAAAATAATGCTACCAGTATTGCTATAAAGACTTCTTTACATTTTTCTTTCTCACAATCTGGGTTTCTTTGCATTAGTGCATGGGTGGGCAAACCCACCCAATTGCCTTCTAGATCCGGCCTGTGGACGGTCAGGGAATCACTGCGTGGATCACCAGCACGTGGATCTCCAGCACACACGTTCTTTCCCTCTCCCTCCTTCCTCCTCACATGGCGGCGCTTTTCTCTTCAGGGATGGAGCAATCTTGTCCCATGCCAGGCGCTGTCGACGGCAGGAGTCGGCTCACCCACCTGCCCGCCTCAGCAGGGCGGTGCTGTGAAGGGGGCATGTGACGCCGGCTGCTGTTGTGTTTTCCTCCTGCTCCTACTCCCTCTCCCTCAGTTTGTTCTTCCTTCTCTGTGCCCCTTTTCTGTGCCGCTTCCTCGCATGCTTTCTTCGTCGCTGCCTGCCTGACTGCCTCCCTCCTTCATTCCTCCCATGGCGTTCAGGCGGATCATTGCGGTGGCTGCGGCCGCCACTTGCAGGTTGGTGGGCAGCTCTGTCTTCTTCTTTTTTTTGGCGGCTCTGTCTTCTTCTCTGTCGTGCAGGTGGTGGGTAAAATCTCCGGCGATGCCTCAGTTCCCCTACCTCCATCCGCGGCTCCTCTGCCAGGGCTGCTGTTTCTGTCTTCGCCAGCCAACACAGCCTCCTACCCCACAATAGCGCCTGGCTGGCTGGAGAAGCCCAACTGTGGCTATTGGGACGACAACTGGGACACGTAAAGCGAAGCATCTTCAGGCCTCTTTGCGGGCGGGCAAAAATCATTCATTCCACCCCCCAAAAATATAGTCTGGGCCCCCACAAGGTCTCAGGGATAGTGGAGTGGCCCCCTGCTGAAAAAGTTTGCTGATCCTTGCATTAGTGTAATGGAGCTATGAACACAAGATGGAGAGGTTCAAAGCTAATGGTTGGTTGGGCACAGCATTCCAAATTATAGAAAGTTAGCGTAATTTACAGTTAGGCTGGTATAACTTACCCCCATTCCAAACTCCATTCAGGAGTAAGGCTGACTGCTCTCTGAGCCAGCCCAAGCCTGGCTGAGGCAAAAATAAGCCTTTGAAATAGAGTTTGACTTGAACCATCTTTGCCGGTGCATATGCCTCTGGGTTGCTAGGTTTTGTTTTTTTTAAAATGATATTTATTGAAAATTTTTAGAATTACAAAAGAGAACAAAGCAGAAAAAGAGAAAGAAAAAACAACCAAAAACAACAACAACAAATCACATCAAACAATACAAATTCAAAAAAACAAATCCATCATTCTCAAATCCTCAACTGTCATTACCTTCTTTCTTTGACCTCCTCCTCCTCCCTTTTTTTGTATCCTAGTTGTTAATTGTCGCAGCAAATCCTTTCCATATTTCATAATATTCTGTCATTACATTACCTTAATCTATTTTAATCTTATCTTACTATAAAGAACCTTAAAGCTTAAAACTTAAATATTATTTTTACCAACTTCTCATAACCATAATATTCTTACATAATTCTTTAAACATTTTTGCTAAAGCCAAGTAATTTCGTTCCAACATTTTTCTAACATTCATCAATTTTATAAAGCAATCCTAGTAGTAAAAAAAAAGAAATAAAAACAATCCAATCTTCATCCAGCATCCCTTCCTCCTGGTCCCGGGTTTTGTCAGTTCTTATTATCCCATCGATCTAGCGCATTAACCTGGTAACCTTGTATCCGAGGCCCTTAAGTCTCTTCCATGTCCCTTCCGCAGCTCTTCTTCATATTTATAACTGTATTTTCCTTTGTCTCCTGCTCCTTTCACTCGTGGGAACTCCAGCTTAACAATGTTTTTGACCCTTCTCGACAAATCAGCCCCTTTTCCATAGTCCACACTAAACTCCATGTGGTATTTAAGAACATGTTTCAAAATCCCTCCAAAATTAAGAGCCCCCACAACCCCAAACATCTCACGGCCCATTGCCAGACTTGAAAAGTCCAAACATCCCTGCATAGGGGGGTCTATCCAACCCCCCATTTCCAAACCAAACCAAACTTTATCTTTCCAAATCTGGCTTTTTCCAAGTTCATTTGTCAAGTCCAAAAGCTCGTGTTCCTGCTGGGCCACAGCTCCCTTCATCTCTGGCGCCCAAGATTCAGCAACATCCTCTTCCCTCATCTGTTCTGTCAGGGCACACTCCTGATTTAATTCCTGGGTGGGCTCCATATAATTTCCCACTGCCTGTTCAAAATTTCTGATCGCATCAGTCATCAAGTCCAGTAGGGCATTTGTTTTACAGAAAGCACGCAACAGAGCTTCTGAATACATTGTCCTGCAAGGTCAGAAGTCTATTCCCACGATTGTAATCTGTAACAGCTGCAAGCTCCCCGGAGTTGGTTACAGTTTCACAGTCTCCCTCTAGGGGAAAACTTCTATTTGTTCTTTCTTTTAAAGACAAGTCTAACAACAAAGTTTCCTTTTTCAGATATTTTGTCAATATTTGTTCCTTTAAAATGCGAAGGGGAACAATGGAATCAATGTTTCTCTTCTTATAGCTATCTGTCAAAAACGTTTGTCTCTGGTCAATGAGCTTCAAAAAACGTCAGTCCTGACACCCCGCTCCAGGATCAGGACGGTGGAAAGTTACTTTACTTTACACTCACTTCTGCAGGTTTAAACAGTCCGAAAAAATCCCCCCTCTTCTCCTGCTTCCGAAGGGGGGTTCAACAATTTTAAATGATGAAAGTTAATCTTTTACAAGCGATTTTCTGAGCTCTAGTTTGCCATGTCTTTGCTTTAATCTATCTACAAGAAACGGAAGGCTGACTTCCTGTTTAGACCTTCCCATTTCAGTGCCAAATTGAGGTAAACTTTTAAGTCCAATTTTCCTTTCTGCTCGCAAGTCCTTATTTAAAGTCCAATTGTCCGAAATTTAAGTACTCACGGGTGATTATTTTAGAAGCCAAATTGTCCCAGGAAAAGGCAGCGCTCTCCGGCAACGGCTGTGCGGCTTCGCTCCACGGAAGAAGCAGTTGACTCTCAGCACCGCGCCACTTCCCCCTCTTCGCTCCGGAGCCCGTTAGTGGGTTCTTTTGCGGGTTGGGGGGGCGCTAAAGGTGCCCGCCGAGTCCCATGGTCACAGGCTTCATCCGCCTGTGATTTTTGAAAGGGTCCCCGCTTCGCCGTAGCGGAAAAGACCCGTTTCGCTTGGAGCTAGTCCCTCCAGATCAGAGGGAGTCCACCATTGCCAATGGCGCCACCCCGGAAGTCCTGGGTTGCTAGGTTATGTAGCTAAGCTGAAAAGAGTTTGGAATAGAGGTTAGCTGGCCTCTGCCTCACTGCATCCCAGAACACCCTTGTTCCAGGAGTTATCGCAGCCTGGGCTGAGCCAGCTGATACTCAGCAGAGCTGGGATGTAGAACTTTTGCCTGTGTATCTCTGCCTTCGGTGGAGGGGGATTTCAGCTAGCAGTGCCCTGGCTGAGCCAGCTGGGTTTCACCCAAGACCCCCCTCTCCCAAACCTCCCCTCATGTCTGGGAATGGTCTGAAGACGAGAACTGGAGAATGCATTCTATGGCAGACCAGCTTCTCTCGGATGGAGATCTGGAGGGAGAAGAGTCACCTCCCTTGTCCACAGCGTGTTCAGAAGCAGAGAGAGAGACAGGAGCTGAACATCTTAGGGGGGAGTTACCCAGTTACGAGATAATGACAACAGAACCAGAAGGGAGGGGGCAGCTAGCTGAGAGCGTGGGGGACCCCCCTCACCACAGACCTGGAGCTCCAAATGTATCAGAGAGTAAAGGAGTCAGAGGGAGGAACTTCCCATTGGCGCCCAAAAGGCTACAGAAGTCGGAAGGAGGATTAGACTAGCCAGCTGCAGAGAGCTGTGTATTTGTGCTCGCAACATGATGCTGTAATAAAAGGACTATAAATCTATCAACTGCTTGTTAATTCTTATCTGTGAAGTTACCAAAGGGAGGGGAGGACTCTCCATGCCTGACACCTCATCCTAGTGGATCTGGGGTTCAGATTGCTCCGTAAATGTCCCTCTTTTCAGGTTTTCTTTCCTTAATGTCAGCAGATACCAAATGGATGGCAATCAGATAGTTGAAGCCAGAAAACAAAATTGGATAAAAGTCATAGGGACAACCTGAAACATCATTTTAAAGTTCTACTTTAGGCATTTTCTGTCGGTCTCTCTGTCTCTCTATTTATTACAGCGAACCTTCAAAACAAGAGGCCAGATTTTTATAATGTTTGTTGGTGTAGATCAGTCAGAATAATGTTCTTTATCACCGCCTAAAGGTCTTGTCTTAGCAGTGACAAATAATTCCCATAGTATGCAGTCTCACCATGGATGATGGTCAGCTGCATCTGATATTTCTAAGGAAAGCAATGTCCTTGCGTTCCTTGATACAACCAATGATGTCTTCACATCCTGCAGAGTTCAAAGAATAGCACAAACAGATGCTCTCCTTGATAGATGCATGCCTTGAATGCAGAAATGATGACCTATATTTTGTTCTAGGAATGGCAGGAAATGTCATGTCTAAGACACTGCATTGCAGTTAGTCTTCTCAAGGTTTGCAGAAGAGTTAACAACAACAAAATTAACATGGACAGGAGTGTTAACAAATATCCTTTCCTTTGTTTTACGTACTGTTTCTCCGAATTGTGTGGAATTTTTTAAATCAGCAATTTTGATAAACATAGTACATAAAACAACAGAAGTGTTTTTACATGACTACACAAACTCTATTAGGACCAACCAAAATGTCGCAAATTATTGAGTGAGCTTTCAAGTTCTACAAAATGCTTCATTGAACTGAATGTTAAACGAAGTAGAGGTGGACCTAGGACACCTGGGATAGCACCTGAAAGAACCTCATCAATTTACTGTGCATTCCTATACACGTCTATGCAGAAGTACATTCAGCTGAGGTCAGTTGAATGTACTTCCAGGTAAGTTTGTACAATAACACTGCAACCCAGCAGTACAATCTTGTGCACACCCACTCTGAAGTAAGTGTCAATGAATTTGAAGGTTCTTACTCCCCTGTAAGTGCACATAGTAAGTGTGGAGAACCTTTGGCCCACCAGATGTTGATGAAATGGGAAAGTAGGGGAAGAGCTACACTCATGGTTTTTAACATTAAGGAAGGGGTTTGATAACATAGATGGACACATGAAGTCCTACTTTTTACATTCATAAAGCGTTATTACCTTGTTTTTTTATCACTTATTTTTTATCATTTTCTACAGCTGTATCGGTGAAATACTGCCCATATGTCTCTATGTAGCATTTTACCTTTTTCTTTTTATTGTATTCAAACTCTGACCCCTCTCCAAAGGTATTCGAAGGGCAGTGTTCAGTTTCTCCTCCTGCCTTTTGCTTCTTCCATCCTAGCAGTATGTTTTCATTTCATTGTTTTCATTTCCGGTTTCTCTTTTGCAGTCCATGCAACAAAGGACACAAAGGGAGGGAGGGAGAATTAAAATGTGGCGCCAGAGGGCAGAGCAGAGCAACCAGCGACCAGCAGCAGGAAAAGAAACCATTTTGGAAAATGGTGTGGTATTACTTACATTGGACGGGGGAAAACAAGGTAAAAGACATTTTAACTAACAGGTATGCCCTGTGACATTTTAGAACGACATACCATTTTTTATTTTATTTTTTATAATATTTATTCAAATTTTAAGATTACAGACAAAGAAAAAGTAAAGCAAGAAAAACCAATAAACACACAGTACAAGAAAGAATACACAAGACAAAAAAAAATCACAATAAAAAATAACAAAAGAAAAATTCAAATTAAACCATTAGAACCGTTTTCCCATTTACTTATTTCCGTGACTTCCTCTCACTTCTCTGCTTTGTATTCTAATTCAAATTGTATCTCCAGCAAATCCTTCAAACATTCTTTTCATTTGCTTATTTTAACATTTTAACATTCAAAAATATTTAATTCTCCTCTATCTTTTATTTTACACTTCATATTTACTTAATTCCATTATACTCTGTCTGCCAATACAGTCTGATATTTCTTCTCCGACCTTTTCTAACATTCTTTTATGTTACAGTAATTCTGAAGATATGTTTTAAACTTTTTCCAATCTTCTTCCATCGACCCTTCTTCTTGATCTCGAATTCTGCCGGTCATCTCAGCCAGTACCCCTAAATATTTCACTTTGTTAACAATTATTAATCCTGTCTCTTTCTGGAACCTCTCCTTCTCTATCTCTGTAAGATTTTTCTCTAGTACCTTGGTTTTCATCTTGTTTAATTTAAAACCAGCTACTTGACCAAATTCTTGTATTAATTGTAGCACCCTTTTTGTGCTAACTTCTGGCTCCTGTACTGTCAAAACTAAATCATCAGCGAAAGCTTTCAATTTGTACTGTTTAGCTCCGAGTTGTATAGAACGACATACCATATTTTTCGCCCTATAGGACGCACCCGACCATAGGACGCACCTTGTTTTAGAGGGGGAGAACAAGGGGGAAAAAAATCTCCCCCTCTCTGCGCAGCGCCCCTTCAGGAAGCAGCAGGAGAAACGGAGCCCCTTCCATTTCTCCTCCCGCTTAGCTAAAGGGGCGCTGCGCCTTAGCTGAAGGGGCACCTACCCTTCAGCAAAAGGAACCCAAAGCCTCCGGAGAGCAGCAGGAGCTCCCGCTGTGCTCCGGAGGCTTCAGGTGGCTATCTTTGAAGCCTGGAGAGCGAGAGGGGTCGGTGCGCACCAACCTCTCTCGCTCTCCAGGCTTCAGCCGAGCTTCCCTCACTGCCAGCCCCGGGGAGCAGCGGGAAGGCTGCATGCAGAGCTTGTCGGGGCTGGCAAGGGAAGCCCGGGTACAGGGACCACACATTTACTCCTTAAGACGCATAGACATTTTCCCTTAGATTTTAAGAAGAAAAAAGTGCATCTTATGGAGTGAAAAATACGGTATCTAATATTCTAATGGGGGAAATAACGTTAAACAGGTCAGTGTAGATCTAGCCCAGGACTCTGAACTAGATGGGCCATTAGCCTTATCCAGCAGCAGCTTCTTATGTTCTCCCAGCATCCCTGCTCATTGACACAGCTTGCTGGGGCTGATGGGAGTTGTAGTTCAGGAATATTTGCAGGGTCAGAGGTTCCACTCCTCTACTCTGGGTTTAAAAGATTGCAGCTTTAGACTGCAGTTTTTCCAAGTTCCATGCTAAGTTTCCTCTGTTTTAATCAGGACTGGGATTACAGAGGGGGACAAAGGGTTAAAGTCCCCTCCTTGTCCCACCAGAGTCCCCGTCTGACAAGAGATGCAGCTCTAGGGTTTCTTGACAATGTAATAATTAACAAGTCACCAGTACTTTAGAAGAGCCTTGTGGATCAGAGCAAAGGCTCAGCTAGTCCAACTACCTGTTTCCCATTGTTGGCATCCATCTGTCTTGAGAGACAATGGTATGCTCCTTCAGCGGTGAAGTCAAACTGCTGCATTAGCAGCACTGAAATGACCTCCCTGGGATGCAATCCTGGGCAGTGTATATGGAGGCCCTGGGCTGCCCAGATGACAAGACCCCTGTCTCGGCTTCGCTGATGTGGTCCAAAGGTACTTTAGAAAATCACAGACCATAGGTGTGGCAGTTTGGTTTGCTTCCTGCAGCCTGAGGCTGTCACACAGCTCAATTACCTTCTGCTTTTGACTTAGAACAAGTTATCCATCTTCTCTCTCTGTTTGAAGGCAGTATTAGGCATTTCCTTATTCCTATAGTGGCTGATCAAATGCCCATGGGAAGCCCACAAACAGAACATGTGATAGCACTTTCCTGCTCATGTTTCCCAGCAGCTGATCTTCTGAGGGATGCTGCCCCAATCCTGGATCGTAGCTCGCAGCCACCATGACAAATACCCTTTGAAAGCAGCAGTGCTTTTTTCTTGGGGGGATGCAGGGGGACACATACCCTAAACATTTTGTGAATCTAAGTTTGGCCTCACTGAGCGACAGAGTAGGAAAATGAGAGTAAAAGGTAAAGGGACCCCTGACCATTAGGTCCAGTCGTGGCCGACTCTGGGGTTGCGGCGCTCATCTCACTTTATTGGCCAAGGGAGCCAGCGTACAGCTTCCAGGTCATGTGGCCAGCATGACTAAGCCACTTCTGGTGAACCAGAGCAGTGCACGGAAACGCCGTTTATCTTCCCGCCGGAGTGGTACCTATTTATCTACTTGCACTTTGACGTGCTTTCAAACTGCTAGGTTGGCAGGAGCAGGGACCGAGCAACGGGAGCTCACCCTGTCGCAGGGATTCAAACCGCCAACCTTCTGATCGACAAGTCCTAGGCTCTGTGGTTTAACCCACAGCGCCACCCGCATCCCTAAAATGAGAGTACCTACCCCTAAACATTTTTTTAATAGGAAAAAAGCACTGGATAGCAGTATCAATAAGTCACCAGCTTGGCTATTCTTAGGCTGTGTATACCTTCAAAAGCATATTTGAAACGCATTCTGTCCCTCAAAGAATTCTGGGCATCGTAGTTTAACCCTCACATAGTTATAATTCTTGGCAACCCTTGACAAACTGCATCGCCCAGAATTCTTTGATGGAAAGAATGTGCTTCAAATGTGCTTTAAAGGTGTGGTATGTACACAACTGTAAAGAACTCAAATGTGAAATTGCTGATCTTCAAAATACGTAATGCTCTGAGACTCAGGCTTTCTAACTGAAGACAGGAAAGAAGCCAAGGTAACACATCTGTTTGCCCTCAGAACTCTAATTCTCTCCCTGGAAGAAGTCAGTTCAGGCACAAGTATCTACCCTACATCTTTTGATGTCTAAAGAATGAATGTAGCATCTCAGTAGCCTGTCCAGTTTTGCAGCCTAATAGGTTGACCTGTTTGGATTTCCCTTACTTGTGACAAAAGTTAGTTGCTAAACTATGGCATAGTAGACAGACACTCGGACTTAAAGTGGGTAAACTCAGGTTCAAATCCTTGCCTGGACATGAAACACATTGGGTACCTTTTGGCCTTCCACTGGTCTGGTTTGTATGATACTCAAGCCAAACCATAGTTTACTGGGACTATGCAAATGTGTAAACTTTGCTCATTCCCTAAGTTTTTTGCTTGTTTCTTTTTTGCTTCCATGGCTTAGTGAGTGGTCTGAACCCAGGTTTGTGGTAAAGGGGTTTTTTTTGGGGGGGGGTTACTATAGTTCATAGTTAGTGAGTAGGAAGCTCTCCGATAAGCCTGGGTTTGTACATCACACAAAACCAAACCATCACTTGACTCAGCATGCTGGTTGCACAATCCTGGTAAGCCATAGTTTGGTTTACCATGTTGCAAAACCAAGCCAGTGTTTCCCAGAATGGCTTACTTTGCAATGTTGTTTTGGGGGTTTAAAAACTCTCTCTGTGTGTGTGTATGTATGTGATGTGTGTGTAACCGTGTATGTGTAACCCTGAACTCTTCTGAGGAAGTATGGGATAAAAAACTGAGATTACATGTGCTAAAAACAACCCTTGAAAAATATCAGTCCAGCCATAGTCATTTGAAGATTGCATGGCCATTGTAAACTCCTTTCCAACTTTCAGCAACATGGCCATATATGGTTTACTTGTACAGGGCAATAAATAAATAATGATGTAACGAAAAGGTCAGGCTTATGTCATTTCGGAAAAGGATGTTGCAGAAAGCAAAGTTCTACAGATTATAATGCTGCAGGGAGAAAACTTGAGAGGGGAACAAGTCCCTTTGCCACAGACTTCACACAGGAAATCTGAGATTCAGAGCAACTTATATTTTGGCTTGTAATCGTCGATCATGGGGTGATCCAGAAATAAACTCCGCACTTCAAAGAGGGAGAGAGTTCAGAGCTGCTCTGCAGTTTATCAACACACAGAGACGGGAGAGAGATGCACCCGAAAGGGGATTTTCTGAATTAAGAGTTCACCAAGGAAAATCACTCCGGGGTAAACTTTGTTAGCTACAGCAACTATAAGGTAATGCAGTTATGCATGCTTTGAATGCATTGGTTGGGTGCAGAACCTGTAATTTGCTTACAATGTGCATAACCGTTCCTTTCTCCAAATGTAGGAATGCATTAAATTAACTATGGGAAATGACTTACACATACGAAATCTTGGAAGACAAAGGACTTTTTAAACAGAATTTACTTTGCATCCTAAGTGGTTCACTAAAATGTAAATATGTAATTTATCACTCCTCTACCATAGCATATGCATCCATTCAAAAGGAATGTTTTGATGTCTTTACTTCTGAAATATTATATGCAGAGGTGATTGATATTAGAAGAGGAATCTGGATGTCTGTAGTGCCTGATCTTTCAACACACCCTACAGGGAAATGCTAAAGCCATCTTAAGTTACTGTTTCTTTCAACCAGATTGTTTCTGTTATTTCCATGGCTATGGCAAGATACAACAATTGTGATGATGGATGCCAAGTGGTATGAATGTTGAATGTTGGGAGATTCAGGACAGATAAAAAAAAGCACTTCTTTCTGCAGCACATAGTTAAATGACGGAACTTGCTTCCACAGGAGGCAGTGATGGCTATCAATTTTGGATTAGACAAAGTCATGGAGAAAAAGACTATCAATGGCTGTTAGCGATCATGGCTTTGCTCTTCACAGTTGGAGGCATTATGCTCCTGAATACCAGTTGCTGGAAACTGCAGGAGGAATGAGTGCTTCTTTGCTCACATCTTGCTTGTGGGTTCCCATATAAGCATGTGGTTGGCAACTGTTAGAACAGGATGGTGGGCTAGTTGGCTTACTGGCCAGATCCAGGTACTTATGGTAAGGACTAAAGTATAACAGATATGGGGGTGGGTGAGCGGACCGATTGCATGGAAGTGTTGTTGTTGGCATCCAAGATGGGCCAAGGCAACTTCATAAACAGTTTGATGTATCTAGACAGCTGGGGACTGGCGGGATCCATTTACTCAGAAATGTTTCATCATCTGGAAACTTGGTTCCCTGTGCTTTAGCAGACTGCAGTAATCGTTGTGGCAAAAATATATTTGCCTGACCTACATCCTATGTAGCTGATCTAAAAATATTAAGTCTCAAGGTCTGCAAGTTCCATCTTACGTGTTTAGGATTCGGGTGGCTGGAAATATACAGATCTTGCAACAGGCAATTGTGGTCAACAAACCAGAAGATTCCCACTGTACAAAAGCAGCTGGTGAGCTAAACCAAGGAAAACATTTAAACAACAACAACAACAACAACAACAACAACAGGGCAAGGAGGCAGAATTTAAAGGTGGCCAATCTGCACCCCCTGCCTCTGAAAGGAATGTGTGTGCATTTCATTATTGTAAATATATTTGCACATTTAATCCTTTGGATGAAATGAACACATACCCTGCAAGCATACCAGAAGAAAAGGCCATCATATCCCCCCCCCCCATGAGCGCACGGTGGCTATTTTGGGCATGGTGTTCTCGTGAGATTTTGCACCGAGATCTCACCCCGAAAAGCACTTTTTGCAGGGCCACAATCTTGTGTGACATCCCAAGACACATGTTTTTGGATGCCATGAGAACACGCCCCCTCCAAAGTGTGTCTTGGGGGCTCCATTATCACTCATGGGTCAAGTGACTCATGTACAGACAGGAAGACATGCGTCCTGGTTTTGAGACGCTACATATTGGAGGGTATGTGGACACAGAAGACATTCTAGTTGTGGTAGCTCTGTGTGTGTGTGTGTGTGTGTGTGTGTGTGTCCATGCAATGCATTGGAGCACCCATGATCCGAAGATGATTACTGGACTGTTGGTCACCCTTGACCATTCTCCATGCTGCCTGGAGCTGATGTGAGTTGCAGTCCAAGAGAGCACCAGGTTGATGAAGGCTGATGTAGGCTTTGTACTACTAATCAGAACCCAGGTTTCCTGAGCCTTACATGTATACAGCTGCTCATGTGGAGAGACCCTTCTCACATTCCACTTGATGTACAGTGGTACCTCGGGTTACATACGCTTCAGGTTACATATGCTTCAGGTTACAGACTCCACTAACTCAGAAATATTACCTCGGGTTAAGAACTTTGCTTCAAGATGAGAACAGAAATCGTGCTCTGGCAGCGCGGCAGCAGCAGGAGGCCTCATTAGCTAAAGTGGTGCTTCAGGTTAAGAACAGTTTCAGGTTAAGAAGGGACCTCTGGAACGAATTAAGTACTTAACCCGAGGTACCATTGTACATAGGAAGGACCAGCAGCCACATGCTGATAAAGGGCATGGCTAGTAGCTATAATCCAGCCTCTCTTCCCATGTAATTGAGCATGTGGCCTGGAGAATATCAAAAAGGGCTGTAGTCACCAGTAGCCACCGGGAGACCTCTCTGATGTGGGTTAATGCTAAAAAGAGGGATTCTGCCAATAACCTAGTTAAAAGCCGATTTGAAATCTGATTTAATGGGCAGGATACCCTTAGCCCTTCTGCAGATCAAGAAAGGTCCAGAGTCTGACCCTGACTCCTTTGTACTCAGGTTCCTGCGAGTTCAGTTAGGGGGAAAACCATTCACTGAAGGACTTCTCCATTTCAGTTCCCAGGTTCCTTTTTCACAGAATGACACAGCTGTATTTTTGTTTTGTTAATGTTGGGCTCTTGTCATCACATTTAGATCAGACTTCCCCAACCTGGTGCCCTCTAGATGTTTTGGAATACAACCCCCATTAGCCCCAGCAAGCCTGGCCAATGGTCAGGGATGAGGAGCATCCAAAACATCCTGAGGGCACCAGGTTGGGGGAATCTGATATAGATCACCGGATTAGGGTTGCCATATTCTGGCTATCAACCCCCCCCCCCGCTATTGGGGCACCCTGCCATCTCACATCTCCTTCGCTCACCCACTCCCTGCCGCTAACCCCTTCCTCGTCCACCTGCTCCCCACGTCTTCCCTCCCCTCTCTTACTTTTGTTGTCTTACTCCTGCTCATGATGGGAGGCTGAGTAGCCCTGGGAAAGCCCTGCAAGGCCTGGCGACCGCCAGGAGCACCACGAGGCCTAACATGGCCCTGGGAAAGCTATGCAAGGCCTGGTGGCAGCCAGGAACAACACCAGACCTAGCACGACCCCCGGCAGGCTGCTCCAGGCTACCCGATATGTGTTTTCTGTTCTGGGGCACAGTGCCTTCTGAGCACGCGCGTTCCCCACAAAAAATATTTTAAAAACCAAAAACATTAAAATAATAATAATAAAATAAAAACCCATAACCCGGATATTTAATCCAAAATGCAAAAATCCTCCCGGATGGGGGTGCTGTCCCCCCAAACATTTCCGGGAAATCCCGGACACATGGCAACCCTACAGCTAATAGAAGCACCAGTAAGGCTTTGTACTTAGCATGTGGCCATGAGGCAGGTTGTTGTGTTGAGGAAGCGAATCCCAATAATTTGACTGATTCCTCTCTCTGCTGTACCACAGCAAGACATGGGATTGGGGAAGTCTAGATACGTGTTCAAAGATGCAAGTGTGAAAATGCAGCTCTGGCAAACTTCCCTGAAGTTGTTACACCAATGTCTGCCTTGGGGTTGCCTTACACGCTACAGTACATCTTTAGATGAAAATGCCGTGTCTAATGTGGCAGACGCGTGTGCCATACGCATACACTCCACAGGGGAACCATGACGGCGGCAGCTCTCTCTTGGGTATACTCAGGTTTCCCTCGGGGTAATGTGTGAAATGGACATCAGGTGGAAGGTAAGAGCCTCCTGGGATCTGGCAGCTCCATGGTAGAACTGTTCCTAGCAATCGCTTCTTTCTGTCTGTGTGCCAGTTTGTATCAAACTGGTTAGCTGGCTTATATCAGGCTTCCTCAACTTCAGCCCTCCAGATGTTTTGAGACTACAGTTCCCATCATCCCTGACCACTGATCCTGCTAGCTAGGGATCATGGGAGTTGTAGGCCAAAAACATCTGGAGGGCCGAGGTTGAGGAAGCCTGGCTTATATGCTAAGAGCAGAGAGGGTGAAATTTGGACAGCACCTCAGGCAATGGGAGTTGAGTTAAAAATTCAGCGTGAGTTCAGCTTTACCTCATTGTGAACAGTCAGTATATTGACCTCAGAAGCTTAGAAAACAAAATGGCTGCCATTGTGTGTGTGTATGTATGTACAGGTCTTTGAATCCTCTTCCAGCATATTCAGACAATTGTCTTAGTACTGTCACAAACACCCACTGTGATTCACGCAGTGCCCTCCTGAAGGAAATGTTCTTCCCTGCAATGCTCCTCCTCACACAGTGACCTCCTGTGAGCTGTTTATTTTCCTTTATGTGTCATATGAAATACTTGGCAAATGTCAAGTTGCAACCTGATCTCTAATGGAGTATTTTTAAAGGGTGACACAACTCAGGAAAGGAGGACCTGGGAGGTAGGAGGGGAGAGCTGGTACGTGACAACTCTAGCAAGAGTCTCTTTTTGGTTTTGCAAAAAAGAATGTAGTGGCCTGAAACTTAACACCAACTACTGGGAATAATCAGCTTTCTGTGATAAAAAAAAAGTCCTACCTCACCCTCAGTTTTATTTTGCTCCTAGAAGTGAGGGCAGAAAGAAATTTGCACAAAACGGCAAAGCTTTGTGAGTGAAGACGAAGGAGAGTTGCTCCTTGAAAGGCTGCTTTATTAAAGCTCAGTTGGTCAGAGTGTGGTACTCATAACGCCAAGGTTGCAGGTTCGATCCCCACATGGGACAGCTGCATATTTCTGCATTGCAGGGGGTTGAGCTAGATGACCAATAGGGTCCCTTCCAACTCTACAATGTGATTCTATAAGGCGTCACCTCTCCAACCCCAATTTATATATGAACAGACTTCCGTGTGTGTGTGGAAAGTGGGGTTATGTTGAAGGAAAGCAGCCAGCACAACCCTCCATTTCCTCCCTTGTGGACAATTTTTATAACCTTTGCTCTTATGCTCTTGCAAACTTATTGTACCTGCATGGGTGCCCGGAATGGAAAATGAGAGGGAATTATAGGGACAGTACTACCCAAACTATATAGAAATTTATTCATGTATGAGACTACAGTGGCAAGAATGTTACTTGCCCCAAAATGGAAAGAAGTCCCAGCAAAAGAAGAATGGATACAAAAACTTGTGGAATATGCAGAAATGGCAAAACACACCGGAAAAATAACAAAATCAAGATATCAAACTTTTAATAAAAGAATGGAAATGGTTTATTGAATATTTACAAATAAATTGTAAACAGATAAGAACATTGGCAGGTTTATTGTAATAACCTGCAGTTTTATAAGTTTATATTTAAAGTAGATGAATAAATGAGTAAATTAAGTTAATTTGGATATGCAGAAAATACTAAAAATAAATTTAAGGAACTGCAGAAAGAGGGGGAAAGGAAGTCAAGTTTTGAAATGTAAAAATGATTATAAAATTATTGAAATGTACAAAAAGGAAAACCGTAAAATTAATTAATTAATTAATTAATTAGTTTTTTTAAAAGGAAAGAGAGGAGTGGCAGAAGGGTGGGACAAAGCAACAGCATCATGCAGCTCAGAAACATTTTGTGAAGCTCCACCCACTGGTGTGGATGTCAAGTGGTGGAGCTTCAATGGACAACCACGACTGTGGGGGGGGGGAGACAGTGTGCGATCAATCTCCTGTCAGTCATGCGCACAGGAATATCAGGTCCACATGGCCTGTTTGCCGCCCCCATCTGGACACAGCCTAAGTCTCATTTCTGTGCATTCCAGGTGTTTGGAGCCGTCTCTTTCCGACTTAACACGGAAGATGGCGACACAAGTCACGGTGGCCAGGAATTCACAGACGGGAGCTCTAGGACATGAGGACTACAGCCTCTATAGCAGTATGAGTGAAGATGAGCTCATTGAGTTGGCCATCCAGCAAAGCCTGACGGAAGACCCTGCAGAGCAAACAGCTACACAGAAGACAACCACACCGACCCACAACGACCCTTACTGCCAGAATTTCTACCTTTACCCTTGGCAAAGGTAAAGAAGCAAGGAAAGAAAGCAAACACAAAACACCCCACCTCTTCCTACTGTAAATTCACTGCATGTCCTGCACCCCAGTCCTAAACATTTGTGTTAATGCTTCTGTGATTACTCTGTTATAGGTAGGTTAGATGTTAACTCTGGCTCTGTTGCCTGATACGGTTGCCGCTCTGAGGCTACGCAAGCCCTGCCCTGACTAGTAACCGGGCTGGAGATAGTCCAGAAAGACACCTCACAATATCCCCAGATAACACATTCTATAGTTGGGAAAGTTCCAGAAAATGAGAACCAAAATTATCAAGGGATGGAGCAAGCCCCCTATGAGGAAAGGGGAGTAACAGGGGACACCATGGAAGTTTATACAATGATGCATCTGGAGAAAGTTGGCAGGGAAACAGGTTTTCTCTCTCTTGCAAAACACGAGGACTCAGGGACATATCCAGTGAAGCTGCATACTGGAAAATTCAGAACGGCCAAAAGAAAATATTTCACACGGTACCTAGTTAAACTCTGGAATTTGCTCCTGCAAGAAGAAGTGATGGCCACCAACTTAGATGGCCTTGAAAGAGCATTAGATAAATTTATGGAGGATAATGCTATTAATGGCTATGAACTACAATGGTTATATTCTGCCTCCATGGTTGGAAGCAATGATGCTTCTGAATATCAGTTGCCGGAAACCACAGGAGGGGAGAGAGCTCTTCTGCTCATCTCCTACTTGAGGGTTTTCTACAGGCACCTGGTGGGTCATTGAAAATAGGATGCTAGACTAGATGGAGCATTTTCCTGATGCAGCAGGATATGTCTTATATTTGTCTGAAATCCTTGGAGGAAGAGAAGGGCAGAAATGTGTTGGTGGTGTTTTAAATGTCAGATTTTGGAGCTGAGCGGAATATTGATTATCTGCCAAGCCCTCAAATTGCTATTTGAATCTTCTGGTAAAAAAAATATTTGACTGAATACACAGGACTAAACCACATTACATTAAACACATTTTTTAAAAAAGTGTGCCTTTAGAGTGCCACTTTATTTTCAAGGAAAAGCAGTGCATGAACCTGCTGTCTGGCTCACACTTTCAAGCATGATCCAGATTGAAGCTCTCCACAGCTGCTTTTCCTTCAGAATGGAATAGACAAATTGCAGCCTGAGATGGTTCAGTTGGAGCTTAGAAGTACAGTGGTACCTCAGGTTAAGTACTTAATTCGTTCCGGAGGTCCGTATTTAACCTGAAGCTGTTCTTAACCTGAAGCACCACTTTAGCTAATGGGGCCTCCTGCTGCCGCCGCACCGCTGGAGCACAATTTCTGTTCTCATCCTGAAGCAAAGTTCTTAACCTGAAGCACTATTTCTGGGTTAGCGGCGTCTGTAACATGAAGCATATGTAAACTGAAGCGTATGTAACCTGAGGTACCACTGTATGCAATATGACCCTTCAGACAGTAGAACTTATTCATCTTAGCATTACAGAGTAAAACGAAAGTGCAACTAGAACTTACATGTATGCAATGAGCATACAACAGCAGCTATTGCTTAAGATGAAATTAGTGAAACTAACATTTGGACCTAGTCCTGTCCTCTCAATTAAACTTTGGGTGAGATCTAACAGAAAATGTCACATTTGAGAATAGTTTTTTCCATGTGTGTCTGAACATCCTTATGTCAGTGCTGCTTAAAACTGTTACATATGTCTGTTTCCACTGCCAAAAAGTATATTTGACCCAACTCTGGAACTTTTTTTTAAACAAAACATATATCTTGCTGACTTGAGCCATCCTAGTGATCATCAGAATAAATAGGGCACTTTAGTTTTTCTTGTGCAATACTTTATGTTTATGTGTTACTTCACCGTGTTAGTTTACAAACTGGGTCAGATGACTGGCTCATAGTAGCAATTGCATAGATGTATGAAATCACCCTTCGGGGAAATCCCCACTGACCACAGTAAACACGATTATTTTAAAATTAGCTAACTTGGCAGTTGCAAAATTAGGAGCAGCATGACCCAGGAAAGTGTAGCAAAGTCATTTGAGCAGTTGTGGGGGGTACTCTGTTTTCCAGATTTGCAAAGTTCAATGCAAGTCCATTATTGAGTTGCATATGGCTTAGGAAGTGCTTGATATATTCATAATATATTATGCTGATAGAGATCAATGTCATGCTAAGATCTAATAAATTCAAAGCAATATGCATTTACCCCTCCTTCTTAAAGGAAAGACTTCATCAGACCGTATTAAGATCATGTATTACAAGTTTCTGGAGGAGGGCACAAACTCTCTTTCATCTTTTCTCTTGTCTGATGTTTTTATCTAATGACCTAGGAAAAGGCTAACTAGTGCCTCCCACTGTGTTTCATATTTTATCAAGTTATATTTTAATATTCCTGTTCCTCTGTTGATTATGTCCTGCCTTTTATATCATTGGAAAGGAAAACCACTTTTTTAAAAGGCTTTTAAAACAGAGCTCCACCAAGCGCAACCTCTCCCTTCACTGTAGATCTGTGATAGGAAATCTGCCACAGCGTGGTACAATGGTCACAGCTGGTGTGGGGTAGTGGTTAGAGTGGAGTCTAGGGTTCAAATCCCCACTCAGCCATGAAGCTCACTTCACACACTTACGCATCTGGTGAAATTCTGTCTTTAATGTAATTCTGCAATTCTGAAAGATATAGCAGGCCATCTTGTTTGGACCTGGCAACCCCAGCGATCTCTTCTTGGTCTTGATCTGAAAGTTTCTTGCAAAGCTTTCATTCCCACAGCTGTTTCACAACAAAAACTATCCAGCCATCCTTCTCTCTGAAGCGAAGAAGGCCCTCAAACCCTTTCTCTGCCTGTTGTGTGGTGATGGAGGGATTCATCTCCCCTGTTGTCTTATATGGTCATTTGAATCCCCTGACACTTGCTCTGAAGGCCAAAAATAATCCAGAACCGAGAGAGCAGCTGAGCCAGAACAAGCCTGCCTTTGTTTAAAGACCCAGAGGGGGCTGCAGGTCCACTGGATACTGTCTTCTTCTTCTTCAGTGGCTTTCTCAGCCCCCAGACCCACCGCTAAGCAACCCGAGACATGACCTGCTTTTCTTATTCGGAGTATTTTTCATTATTTCATTCGTGCCGTCATCACTCCAGGCGATCAGCACAGAATCAAGCGGCCAGTTCAGGGGTCAGACGGAGGTACGATGGCAGCCTGTTCAAAACACCCCAACCAGAGTAAGTCCTCCTTACCTTCTTTCCTGTACTTTTTTTCATTATTAGGCTACATTTGTTGTCGTGTGCTTGGCTTGACTAGACAGCTAGAAGGGGTTGGGGGGGGGAGGCGTGTGGTGACAATTGTAGCATCATTTTACGTCTTCTAAGGAGTTTGCATAACTGGCCGAGGGAAAAGGGACTGACTTTCCCCATTCCCTCTCCCTGCCTGCCCTTCTCCCTCCCACCTCTTCCACCCACCCCGGAGGCCTGCTGATCTTGAAAGCGTCCCTTTCTAACCCTATCTTTTAGGACTCTCTCTGTTGCACTGGAGTGACTGACTCAGCGGAAACAGGATCCTTGTCTAGCGATTTAGTTAGATCAACCAGTTCCCATGTCAAAATAGTAAACAAAGCTGACTGCGATTATTTTTAGCTGTGTTGCCATGCGTGCCTTCAGTGTGCAAAATGGGAGAGCCAATGCACTAAAGAGCATGAAAATAGAGACACAGGGATCTGTTCTCAGTTGCTTTTGGAATATATAGCCCTCTGTGTTTGCTGGCTTGCAGGTGGGTGGGAGAGTTTGTTTGGGCCTCTGTGTAGTTTATTCAGCCACATAAAATATGAGTGACTTCAAGGGGGTGGGGGAACAGCCCCATAAGTTCAACCACCATAGTGGATGGTTTCACAGCCAGGGCATGGATAGTGCTGCCATGCCATTGCAAATGTCAGAAGCAATCCTGCAAAAAGTGACAAGTTTTCAACTTTGTTTTAAAAGAGTGCTGGATCCTGTGGTGTCAGCAATCCAGAGAGGAGATGAAAACGCACTTCTTAAAATGATGCAGTCGGGGAAAAACCTTGCACAGCCTAACAAAGATGGATGGTTGCCCCTCCACGAGGCTGCTTACTATGGACAAGAGCGCTGCTTGAAGCTGCTGTATAAATGCAAGTATCAGGAAAAAAAGAACTGATCAGATCAAACCACAAAACCATCACAGGGTATAGAGTAACCCACTGAGTCATATCACTCCCTGAAAGATGCAAGCTTGCTTATTCAGCCTATTTTTGTACATTCAGGGAATTTCATGATTATACACCCCCCAAAAAAGGTTAAAGGCTAATGTATTGATCATAAATAGCATTTTCACCATATCTTCTGCCCCTCACCCCCATCCCAGTGGATCATGCATAGCAAGCGAAAGCGCATGTTACCCAAATTAAACATCCTGGTAGTTGTTTTATGGAGAGTTCTCTTGGCAAGTGCTGAAGGTTTCTTTCTGCATGTCCTCTAAACACTTCCTGCCCCGCCCCAGTTTGCATGGCAATAAGCTCTTGTGGTGGCTTTTAATGGGAATACTGTGATCTCACTTAAATGTACCAAAAACGTCACCGATAACAATGGCAGGAGAGGGTGGTGAACTCAGGCGATCAGACTTCCTAAACTTACTCTGAAAATGTCTTCTAGCACAATTGGAGCAAGAATTTTTTTAACCCTGACGAAAGAATGAGACTTGCAAGTTGTATGTGGGTGGTTAGCTATCACATAAAAGTTTGACACTATTGAGCACAGAGTCTGATGTGAGGATTATTCATGTACATTACACGCCTCACTAAATATGGATCAACGCTTTCTCCATAGCTTATCCTGGGTTACTTGATCAGCGTACGCTTCAGGAGGAAACGGCGCTCTACTTAGCAACAAATAGAGGGAATCTTGAGTGTGTGCGTTTATTGCTGCAGGCTGGAGCAGAACCTGATATTGCAAACAAAGCTAGGGAGACCCCACTTTATAAAGGTAAGCTGCTTGATTCTCATAGGTCTTGAGTGCTCACGAGTAGACTACTTTTCTAGTTGGAAACTGTGTGCCAGGGGCACCAACTTGGACCCCCAACTGTGGGTGCCCAGCGCGCCGTGCACAACGTTGTGACGTCATATGACTTCATGCTGTTGCAGTGTCCACAGGCATGTGACAGCTCCATAAAAAACCTGGGCCTGGGCCACTGCCCGCAACTGCTACCCCAGCCCGCGGTAGTTCAGAAATCAGGGCTGGTTCCAGGTTTGAGAAGGCACTGGGCAAAGTGTCCCCTAGGGATTCTTCTCCTCTGCTAGTGGGTGCTGGTGAGCATATCTGGCCGGGGTGGCAATGCTCTTATTTCAAGCTGCTCTTGAAATAAGAAGATAAAAGGAGTCCTGCTGGATCAGGCCCAAAGTCTAAGTTGTTCAGTGGTTCCCAAACGTTTTGGGCATCTTCCCACTTGGTGGCATAAACTCATCCCTAGTGTCCCCAACCTTATAAAAAGCATTAGTTAGTAGTAGTAGTAGTAGTAGTAGTATTATAATAACAATAATAAATTATAATAATATAATAAACTATTATTATTCAGAATAGTTGTTTGCATGACACACTAAGGAAGATAATAACACAACAAAATTCTAAACAGTAACAATTAATTGTACATTTATTCAAAATTCAATTAAAATTATTTAGCTCAATTAAGTCAACAAAACTGATTAACTTGATCCAGTTATATGAGCTATTCTCTTTTTTTCAACATTTTTTATTTTTATTTTTACAAATACAAGAACCATTAAACACTTATCCAGCAGTACATATAATGGTGTTTGTTCTCACCTTTGACTTTAGACATAAACTCACATATTCAGTGTTCAAACATATTGCTTAATGTAGCCTCTCTATTTGTTTGCTCAGACTTTTGCAAGGATTTGTGCCTTGTCTGGGTTTGTTATGGTTGCTATTCTACTGGTTGCTGCTTTGTTAATCTTTTTTATTATTGTAATTTGCTTTATCCTTTCTGTGTTTTAATTGTACCCTTCCCTGAAATTGCCTTGTGATGAGGAAGAGGCTAAATATACCATCCCTGCCATGTGGTTAGTAGGCTGCTGCCATTTTCAGAGCAGGAAAGAAGATAGGGAAACTCTATACAACAGAGATTTGAGATAATGAAATCAATGGGAGAGGGAGTCATTTTATATCCTTGATATATGGATATTCATCAGAGTTGCAAGTTCATCACTTTGGGAGGGGCTGAAAGTGGTGTGTACATATTTTTTTTATAAACAGATAAATAAGGACTTGTTTTTGTGTCAGTATCTGAAACAATGCCACAATCTTGAATGTTTATTTTGCATGTTTGTGGGGGGAAACATTTGGAGAACAATCCTCTTGTACCCCAAAAAGCAAACAGAAATCTATGAATTCATTTTAAAAATGCAGGAGAAAATATACGTGGGATAAAACGAGGCCTTTCTTGGACAATGAGCAACGTCTTGGTGAAATTGTCCGAAATGAAACTTGTTTTTGAGGCTCAGATACGGAAACCTAAACTTTCTTTTCTTTTTTGTCACCACAGCCTGTGAACACAGAAATGCCGAAGCTGTACAGGTGCTATTGGAGTACAATGCTGACGCGAACCATCGCTGCAATCGGGGGTGGACTGCCCTCCACGAAGCTGTGGCTCGGAATGACTTGGAAATAATAGACCTTTTGGTCAAAGGAGGTGCCAAGGTCGAAAGCACAAATTCCTACGGGCTCACTTCCTTTTTCGTGGCAGCTGAGAGTGGCCACTTAGAAGCCTTGCGATACCTTGCCAAGTGCGGTAAGCAGTATTGCAGAAGCAGGAGCATTTCATGTGCAGTGGCTGAGATATGCAAAACCATCTATTGATTTTCTGTGTTGGGTTTTTCAGTGGCCAGTTCATAATTTTGGATTTGCTTTTTATTCATCCTATACGGCAGTCTTGCAAAGGAAGACAGAAATTCTAATTTCTACAAGTTCTTGTCGGAGGTAGCTTATTGTGCATTGGTTTCCCACACTTTCATAAACTATAGTACAAAGAAGGCAGAACCTTTTCCAGATTTCAAGTGGGAGATTCTGAGGTGATTGAAAGACCCATAATTGAATCTACTCAAAGATGATGATTCACATTTATATCCTACCTTTCTCAGGTGTTCAAAGGAGTGCACACAATTCCCCACACGTGTCAAGCTCTTCACCCAGTGAGCTTCCTGGATCAGTAGGGATTTGAACCTTGATCTCCAAATTCTAGTCCAACCCCCGAGGATACAGAAGTACGGGAATTTATTTTAAGCCTTAAAGGGATAAAACAATAAATTGGAATTTATTATACTCATTAACCATGGAATGTTTAGTGTCTGTTGGCAAAGAAAAATGAAAAACTCTCTGTGTGGTGCTTTACTTAAGCTCCTTAGAGCTTATAGTGTAGTGTAGTGTAGTGTAGTACAGTATTTATCCATGGCTTGCTGGCTGGCAGGGACCCTGAACAGGAGGACTCTACGTATATGAAAATGCATGGCCAACTTTTGTTTCAGGTCCTACTTGTCCTCCTCTCAGATGTATCTTACAGAGACTTAGCATTTCTCCAAGAGGCAAAAAAAGGGGGACAGAATAAAAACAGTGCTTTACCAGAGACAGGGACAACAATGAGGGGGTTGTCCCTGGTAAAGAGGGGCAGTTGGAGCATATGGGACTGAACATTGTCATTGACGAATCGCAAGTTCAGTATCTGAAAGGTCAAGGGGAAATTGAAGAGTGTCTGAGCTTGGTTTTCATTTCCCATGGTCAATTATGAACAAAAAATAATAATCGGAACAAGAATATACAATAAAACTGCACTACTATTCCAAGCTTTTAAAGCCCCTCTGAGAACCCCTATAATAACTTTATTGCATCTGTACAATGCACAGTGCTTGTCATAAAATAAAGATTCCGTTTCTCTCCCTCATTTAGTTGTATCCCCATGGTGGGCTTTGCAGTTGTGTTGCTAGTTACAGTTGTAAGTACATTAAAGCTTCAAATGCAATGGAAAGACTTTGCCACAAAGGAGCAAGTTTTTCTTCGGCAGACACTTGTGCAACCAATTTCTACACATGTCTGTTTGGAAGCAAAGCTCACCCTGTTCAGGGGAGCTTACTCCCAAACTAAGTGTGGATATTTTTTGTAATCAAGCAAATAGAATTCTGGCACAATAGAATTTCCTAGGACGGGACTAAGGTTGAAATTCCGCAAACACTTACCTAGGAGTAAGTAGAGTTGCCATATTTCTAAAAAGTGAAAATCCAGACACAACAGTTGTTGAGCTTTTCTCTCTTTTTTTTCGGCCAAAGTTTTGGAGCTATTTTTCTTTTTGAAATTCACCAAAGAATCAACACTTCCCAGATATGTCCAGGAAATTCCTGACTTATGGCAGCCCAAGGAGTAAGCCCTACTGAAGTCAGAGACACATATGTCTGAATAGACATTATAGAATGGCTTATTCGTTTTATGTGTATTCATCTAATACACATAACAGAGAGGGAAATTGTGTAGCAAAGGGAAGCAGTGGGTACATCCAGTCTCATTTTACACTGAGTGTGAAGGTATAGATCCAGTAATTTGTAGAAGGTGTGCAAGTTTTTAAACTTTTAATTACTCCACTGTATTTTGTTCTCAGAAGTTCCATGTGTTCTGCTATTCATTCATTTGCTTTTCATTTGTTTTCATAACTAATTCAGGTTACTCTGAATTATTTCCATTCATGATTCCACAATTGATTTCAAGGCAAAACCTAGTGAGTCCTTTGTTGCCAGAAAGACACTGGTGCTTTTCATCCAAATAACATATCCTCTTCAGGAATTCTACTATTCATTCAAAGCATCACCCTTGCCACATTTCAGACAGGTGGGGGAAGGGGTTGATGCTTAATTTAAAAGGGCACACATCCTTTAAGCTGCCCATTGCTTCGGATAGGAGACGTAGCTAAAAGGATCTGACCTGACAAATTTCAGAGAAATAGTACAAAAACTCATGATTTTATAAAAACCACTGTATATTTTTCACTGCTTTTTCTCCCTGTAATCTTTCTCTGACCTGGACAGGCTGTCCCAGACAGTTTCCATTTTTCATCCCAATAGAAACAGCTGAAGCTAATACGAACCAAATGTCCCCCGCCCCATTCAGATCTCATTTGTTTGAATTCCCATTCATTTTTATAAGTGCGTAAGGGGAAATGAGCAAGACTCTTTTCTCTAATTGCTAGTTTGTTTTAGAATGCACACCAATACAAACCTACTTCTGATGCAGATATGAAGCCCTGATCATAATGGCTGCTAAATTCATTGTGTCAGGGCCCCCTCCTCCAAAGGGCAAGGGCATGTCATTGCAACCTTCATTGCGATAAGCATGATGCCTGAGTACAAGAATCCTGTGTGTGTTGAAAACCCAGCACTTATGTGGTTTGTGCCACTTCATTGGCATATACACGTCTTAAGGCCCTCTTTTGTTACCTAAATTTCAGGCATAGAGACAGGGCCGGATTTAGGTTTGATGGGGCCCTAAGCTACTGAAGGTAAGGGGGGCCCTTTATATGTCCAGCTGTCATTTGTCAACAACAAATTGTCACTGGGTTTTTTTTGTTGAATATAGGCTATATGGTAATTTATTGACCTAATAGGTATCTAGCAAAATATGTATTTTATCAAAGTAATTGTTGAACTGAAATACAATTAAGAAGAAGTATATTAATAGTGAGATACAATTTTTTTATTTTATATTTTGGAAATGTACATCCAGGTGTTTTTTCCTTTAATTTTTTGGGGGGCCCCAAGAGAGTGGGGCCCTAAGCTATAGCTTGTTTAGCTTATACATAAATCCGGCACTGCATAGAGACATATGCTGTTGATTTCCAGATGTTCCGAAAGTGAGCCTTGCTTTATATTTCTTTCATTTGCAGGTGCTGACATCAATACTCAGGCCAGTGACAAAGCGTCTGCCCTTTTTGAAGCTTGTAAAAATGGACATGAGGAGATTGTGGAGTTTCTCTTGTCCCAAGGAGCTGATGCTAACAAAACCAACAAGAATGGCCTCTTGCCTATTCACGTGGCCTCCAAAAGAGGCTATTATGAGTAAGTTACTTTATTCCTGAGGGTTGTTGACAGATTTGAGCATTTCTGCATAAAGGTTAACAGGGGTTCTTTAAAAAAAACAACACACCATATAAGTTTGTGTATATGAATCCACAGTTACTATGGGGATTGGGGTAGCAATGAATGTACTACAGACAAGAACCAAAACAAGTTGTTCTGTTTAGAATAGTCTCAGTTTGCACTGGGGACATGTTGTCTTCTAAGAAGGCATTTTCTCTGCCATCATCTTCTTTCCAGTAATCTCACATCTAATGCAAAGTTTATCCTCTGTTATTGGAGGGGTTATTATTTTATTTGTTTGAAATATTTCTAAGCTGCCATGGAAAGTTTTAACTAGAGGTTGGGTGGCTATCTGTCATGTATGATCCAAAATAAATAGATCCATAGACTTCACTTGCTAAAATCACACAGGTTGATGTGTGGTTGAGATGCTGGTTGAAACGTAATAACCAAACATAATCGTTGCAAGTAAGTTATTGGACTCCGCTCTGCCCAAAATAAAAGTAGATTATTTTACTTTGCAAAGCTCTGTCAATGTAAAACTGCATTGATACATGAGATCAGAATTAGGTTGAAGACCCAATGTTTCTGAATAGTTAAGGATCAAGCACTTGTTAAAAGGTTTCGAGGTGAAAGTATTAAAGAGCTTCCCATCTTTAGCTGCTTGGACAAAATATTTATCCAAGTGGCAAACTTTGCCCCCGCATGGCCAGTCATTTTAATCCCTTTGGTATTCTGAATAACAACACTCTTCACAGTGACCTCTCTTTGTAAGCATGTGGATTTAATACATAATTCTGCAGGAATTCTGCATTCAGACTCACTGCCAGGACACGAAGCCTCCATAATATGAAAAAAGCCAAGGGGATCGTTTCTATTTTTTTTAACTCTTGTTGCTTGACGTTTGTTTATTGTACTTAATGCTCTCACCCTGTTTGGAAGGCTAATGTGAAACTGTATCTTGTCAAATCCATGACCTTAGGCACATATTCTTTAACTCATACAATCATGAATATTTGTAGCTGTGAAGTGGTTGGAATTTATTCCTTTCTAGATATAGTATTAATAGATATAGTATTTATTACGTTCTTTATTAGCAGTATGAGACTCAGAAGAGTGGGACCTGATGAACAGTGTGATAAACCTATCAATGTAGCTGGGAGAGAAGAAGAATATTAAAAAGCAAATCCGACAGCAGGATCACACTAAAAAGGAGCAGACGGGCAGTCATGATAACTAGGAATTCCTAAGGGATTATTCACATGATCACTCTGTGCTGGTGTTGTGCAGTGCTGAATCGATTGCCTGAATAGCACTTCCTCACAAGCACAAATTGCCACTGCTAAATTCATGCGAAGCCATGGTTTGTAAGGATGAGTCAGATAACCCTGATTTAGGAACCATACGCACAGTGCAATCTAGTTTGGGAGAAGAGCTGTATGAATTAGTCCTGAATAAGAGAATGTAAGTTTGCAACTTCTAGTGCCATGCCTGTTTACAGAGAAAGATGTGTTTGCATAGTCTACTTGACAAATGCCTTTTAAACTGTATTTTGTTTTGGCATTATTCAGGGCTATAGATTAGCTTTCTAATTTCATAATTATCCACTGCAAGTCTTGGGGAAGGGGTTGACCTATACCGTAGACCAAGCTTTTGCATAGCGTTGGCTTTTAAGATATGTACTGAACCATCTGTCTCTCCAACATCCAGCAACTGAGAAGCAACTTATGTATATTCTTTACATAGCAGTGACAGTCATGCTGGAATGATTCTCCTTAGACTTTGTTGGTGTAGTACTCTTGTTATTCTTAGAGTTGCATGAATTTCCTTTCAGATCAAGGGATGAAGTCCAGATGTTGCTGGACCTCAGCTCCCATCATCTCTAACCACTGGCCATGCTGGCGAAGGTAAATGGGAGATGGAGTCCAACAACATCTGGAGAGCCACAGGTTCCCCATCCCTGAACTAGATCATTCCTTTAAAAAATTGCACCACAGCAGCACAAGGAGCAACTAATTAAAACAACCTCCCCTTACAAGCACCTTTCTTCACAAACCAGGTGGATACGTATTGGTGGTAATCTGAAGGTTCTTTGAAGTTGACCCTTCCATCCTACCCCACCTAGTTGCCTGCCATAATTTAGTTTAGATTTACATCCAGAAGAACATGGCTTGCTCTGTTTCAGAGATGCATTTGACTAGGTTCTTTAATACCCATAAAGGTTATGCTTCTTTATGTCCAACAAGGTATCGGTCCCTAACTGGGGGAAAAAGCCTGCAGTTCCTCTTTAACTCAGCTCTAAGAAGCTTGCTTGAGCAGCAGAATAATCTCAACCCTTAAATGTTAATAAATCCCAGTAGAATCCAGGATGACTAATGCTAGTGCTTGGCAAACTCTCATTTCGGCACTGTGTGTGACTTTTCAGCTATTATGGCTATTACAAAGCATTTGTTAGTGGTGGATGTTTGCCAGCTAAACAGCACCCAGGCTTCCCGCCTCCAGGGAGCATCACTGCTGGGTGAGGTCAGCCTTTCTGCTTTGAGAAATGATCTGCACATGAATTTCCTCCTGTGGCTTTGATTATTTTCTTCTGATGAGGGCATAATGTCTCGAGAGCATGGATAATGCAAGGCAGGCTGGTAGCTGTTGTTCCGAAGACTTTTCCACTAGTGTTCCTGTTCCAGCTGTTGCCTAGACCTTTCCCCTACTTTAACTGTACATGTTGAACTTCTTCATGCCATAGGCCTGTCTCAAATGGATTTGCTCAATAATGTTTCTGATAGAACCACTCATGCTGCCTGTCTGCCCATCCCACTCTTGAGCACTGGGTGCTTACCTGTTTCAGTCCACATTGTGAAATTACATGCCTCACCCCATAAAAACCAATGACGATGCTCCTGCAATGTAAGGAGAAATATCAGGGGGAAACCATTCACTACGGCAGCCTATATCAATATAGTTTATAGATCTCATTTAGAAAGAGTGCCACTTTAAGAATAGCACAGGATATAAGGACTGAAAACAGAAGAAAGGGGAGTTGTAAGCTGGGATGGAACAGCTTAGTTTTATTCAGTAAAGTTATCCGAGGTTGGTATGGAGTTTGGCTACATAAGAACAGGCCTTTTCGGTGGTAGCCCTGATTTGTGCAGTGATCTCCTCTTGGAAATGCACCTCGTGTAGACCTCCACTGTTGATCTTTAAAGGACCAGGCTGTCATTGCTTATTTACCCAGGCCTTTGGTAGTTAAGTTGGCCTCTGCTGTGGTGCTAATCTTTCAGTGGCACAGAGAAATACTTGTCCTTCCGGTTGTGGTGTTGGATGAGCATGATAAGAATTTTTCATTGTACAGTTGTGGGCTTTTGGTTGCTTTTATCCGTATGTATTTTAGCCTTGTATTCAAGGCTAAGGAAAAACACCACCCGTACCCAGCCTTAGCATTCAAGATCATTCCTCAGGTGCTGTGGCCCCCTCTCTCTCCCCTTGCCTTAATAAATCTTAAGCAATCTGAGGGAAGATGATTTCACTGCTGTTATATATGCCTGCAGCGCCTATCGTAACAGGACAGCCAGATACTGCTATAGAAGCAATAACTTTGCTGGAAAAGCAAGCTTAAGCTCACATCTGGCCCTTGATTCATTTCTGCTAGGATTGTGAAAATGCTGCTCCCGGTCACCAGCCGCACTAGAACCAAACGCAGTGGCATCAGCCCTCTGCATTTGGCAGCTGAATGCAACCGCGACGATGTCTTGGAAGAGCTGGTTGAGGCTGGCTTTGACGTGAACTTCACTCTCTCTCCTGAGCGCTCGCGGCTCTACGAGGACAGGCGCACCACTGTCCTCTACTTCTCCGTTTTTAACAACAACGTTGAAGCTGCTCAGCTGCTGCTTGAGGCTGGGGCCAATCCCAACGTCGACCTCATCAACCCCCTGCTCATCTCCATCCGCCATGGCTGCTTGAAGATGATAAAGCTGCTTATTGACTATGGAGCCAATATTGATGCCTACGTCGCTTCCCATCCAACGACCTTCCCTGCTACCATCATGTTCTCGATGAAGTATCTTTCTCTGCTGAAATTTCTGATGGATCTAGGCTGTGATGCCATCTCTTGCTTTAAATGTCAGTATGGGTGTGGCCCACATCCTCCCATTGAAGCTAAGAGAGACAGGTATCATGATCCCCAGGTGAATAAAGAGCAGAGCATTGTACAGGTGAGTCTACCCTTACTAGCTCGTATTTTCTGCGACATTTGGAGGAGCTGTGGTTATGGCCTTTCCTTAGGAAAGGCTTCAGGTCCAGTCACCAGCTTTTTCATTCTAAAGCAGCCTTCTTCAATCCAGTGCCCTCTGCATGTTTGGGACTATAGTTCCCATTATCGCCAGCCTGCATGGGTAATGGTTAGGGATGATGGGAATTGTAGTCCAAAACATATGGAGGGCAGTAGAATGGGGAAGGCTGGTTTGAAGTATGTAAAGTTGGTCTGGGAAATGCCTCATTCTGAAATTCGAGAGAACCATTACCAGTCTGGGTAACAATACAGCAGAGAGCTAGCTGAGTAATTGGCTGAACAGCATAATCCTATGGAAAAAAGGCAACATAGAAAGGTTAATGATACTCCCAAACTACTGGATGTCAGATGTTTTTGAAACTTCTTATGGGCTCATATTAGACAGCTCATATATATATTTCTCGAGTCAGCCACCAATATTTCCTATTGAATAACAAATTCTGTTTAATGAATGCAACATCTGTCCATCTTGTGCATTTTGTGCTTTTATGTTGTAACCCACCCTGTGATGTCTGGATGAAGGGCGGTACAGTGGTACCTCAGGTTACATACGCTTCAGGTTACAGACTCCGCTAACCCAGAAATAGTGCTTCGGGTTAAGAACTTTGCTTCAGGATGAGAATAGAAATTGTGCAGCAGCAGCGCAGCGGCAGCAGGAGGCCCCATTAGCTAAAGTTGTGCTTCAGGTTAAGAACAGTTTCAGGTTAAGAACAGACCTCCGGAACGAATTATGTACTTAAACCGAGGTACCACTGTATAATGAATTTAATAAATAATAATAATCTTACCAACTTCACAGGATTACGATGGAGATAAGTGAGGTCTCAAGCAGTGTAAAGAAATTTCTAAGACCAAAACATCTTGAAATAATCACATGCCCAGGGAGGTGGAAGCGGAAACTATTCCTGCTTACCTAGGCATTTGGTAGCTGAAGTTCAGGGGAAAATCTGAGATCAATGGCTGAAATAATGTTTTGAATTGGAACTGTTTTAAATTGGAATTTTAACTGTTTTAGATATATTTTTCTTTCTTTAAAAAATGTGGACGGTTTGCTGCCCTCGACTCCTTCAGGAAGAAGGGCAGCATACAAATTCAATGAATGCAAGAGAAATGGGTAATGTTAATAGCATACAGGCAACCCTCGTTTTGTGTGGAGGTCCTGTTCCAGACCCCTGCGCACATTGGTGGAGAGCATGTAAGCCCAGCCCACTCCACCCTGCCCGCCCCATCCCTTTTTGTGACATTTTTGTGACTTTGGGGCTACTTCCAGGTTTGGCACCATCTGCAGGTGTGCAATTGTGCATCATTCGGACACACCCAAATCAGACGTTGCCTGTCTTAGAAGTGGGGCCTGCAGCAGAACGTTGCAGTGTGGAATATTACTGTTCAGAGTTCCAACCAGCTAGCCATGCCCTCTTCCAGGACACTGTTTTCTGAAGTTGTTTGTACCTCTGCAAACACTGGGGCTTACCGAAGCTTGCCGATACTTCCCTCTGGTGCATAAATCCTGCTGTTTTGGGCTAAAATAAAATAGGCATTTGGGGGGTGGGTTTGCTCTCTTAGTACAGTGGTACCTCGGGTTACAGACGCTTCAGGTTACAGACGCTTCAGGTTACAGACTCCGCTAACCCAAAAATAGTACCTCAGGTTAAGAACTTTGCTTCAGGATGAGAACAGAAATCGCACGGCGGCAGCAGGAGGCCCCATTAGCTAAAGTGGTACCTCAGGTTAAGAACAGTTTCAGGTTAAGAACAGACCTCCAGAACGAATTAAGCTCTAAACCTGAGGTACCACTGTAAGTTCTTAACCCGAGGTACCACTGTATATATATAGGATGTAACCTTGAGAAGTAATTTATCTGAACGCCACTAGAGGGCATTTAAACTATTTCACAAAGAGTGAAATAAGAGCTGTTAGCAGCAGCAGCGCGATTTGTTCTTGTTTTCTTCCAGAATCACACTTCATACATCTGCAGAATACTTATTTTACTTTCAGGGCAATCTTATTGGGAGATGCTTCTGTTAATATGGAATTTAATATCTAGAACAATGTTTTCTCATGATGATGCTGGTTTGTTTGGAGTTGGGTGCTGCAATGTGCCAGGCATAGCTGCAATGTTCAGATTTTCTGCAGCCTTGCATTTTCCATTATGAATCCATTATGAATGCATGTGGGCAAATCATAGAGTCAGCACTATGCAGCAGAAACAGGGATGGGGGAACCTGAGGCATTCCAGGTGGGTGGACTACAGCTCCCTTTGGCCTTGCTGGCTCGGGCTGATGTGGGTTGGGATCAAACAACATGTGGAGGGACACAAGTTCCTCATTCCTGAATGGAGTGAAGGACGAGGAACAAAAAGCTATTTAGGCTATGCATTTCAGAGTTTCCTATGACCAGACATACAATACAGGAACTTACAGCCACTGTCAAAGGCCGCCCACAGCACACAAATTGAGGTGGTAGAATTTTAGATTTTGCCACTTCAGGATATATGTGGTCATAGTTTTGAAAGCTCTGATCATGATGTAAACAAACACATCAGAGAGTGGGCCAAGTTAAATATTTCTCCCCGGTATACTTGCTTGCTACATGCAGGAATGGGTAATAATAATAATAATGATAATAATAATAATGATAATTTATTTATTTATGCCCCACTCATCTGCCTGGGTTCCCCTCTGGGTGGCTCCCAACAGAATATATAAAAAAGCGACAAAACATCAAACATTAAAAACTTCCCCGAACAGGGCTGCCTTCAGATGTCTTCTAAAAGTCAGATAGTTGTTTATCTCCTTGACATCTGATGGGAGGGCATTCCACAGGGGGGCGCCACTACCGAGAAGGCCCTCTGCCTGTAGGCCCTGTAGCTTTATGCTAAATGCAAGCATTCAGAATGCATGCTCCCCACCTCTAACTTTAAATGATAGGGTCAAGGATTCTGCGATATCCTTCTGTATGACATGTAGACCTGCTTTCCCGCATCTTGATTGTAAGGCAACCAGGTGAATCTGTTGGAAATCAGAGCTCTCCCTGTAAAGTTCATGACCTTCTACCACCTCTATTGCAGGTTGCCTGCTAGCGGTCTACTTTGGATTTGGGGAAAGGGTGGGCGGGGGTGTCTGTTGCTGTTCTCCTACAATAACAAATTTTGTATATCTCGTTTTTGCCCCCAGTTTTGTGAAATGGTATCAACTCCGGAGATGAGTCGTTGGGCTGGGCCTATTATCGATGTTCTTCTGGATTATGTGGGCAATGTGCAACTTTGTTCCAGGCTCAAGGAGCACATTGACAGTTATGAAGACTGGGCTGACATTAAATACAAAGCAGGTTAGTTAAAAGAATTCTGAGTAATCTAAAATAGAAACTAAAGTTTTCAAACTCCTCCTTCACCAGAAGAGGCAGGGGGAAGTGAGAGCCTGAGACTAAACTATGCAAACCACCCTGGGATTTTTTATTGAAGGGCTTAAGTTTGGAAACTTCAAAAAGTAATTAGTGAAGACATTTGCTTCTGTAAAAAAAATTCATAACGTTCTCTGGTGACTATTTCAGGCCCCCAAAAGCAGCATAAAAATGTATTTTTGCTTGCTCACTCACTTACCCTACCATATATTCTCTTTTCCAGAGCCACCAAGGCCACTTGCTCACCTCTGCCGGATCAAAATTCGAAGTCTGATTGGGAAGAGCCGTATTTCTCTTATTGACACTTTGCCTCTTCCAGGGAGACTGATGCGCTATTTACAATATGATTATACTCGCTGACCTAAGGTGAACTTGGCAGTCAGTCATTTCCTAGAGTGACAGCCACAAGATGGAGACAGACTGAGATAATGGAAGAAAAGGCTGGCTTTGCTATGTAAGAAGGAAAAAGGATATCTGAAAATCAGAATTGCAGAAAAGGCAAATCCAACAGTATTTAGAGTATAGAAAATAAGTGAAGAAGTTGGGACAAAAGACACTGGTAGCACATGGCAAGAAAGTGCTATGCTATTTTGTAGAGAGAAACATTAAAAGTTCTAAACACCTCAGTATCACATGTTAAGGAGAATTTGGAAGAGTTCACAAGACACAAGCAATCTCTAAGTATGCTCTCACACAGACAAATGTAATGTATAAACCAGATGATCCCACACAATTTTAATAAATGTAGTGGCATTTTATTTTGTTTTTGCACCTGTGGCAATCACATGAATTATTGTCAACTATATTCATCATCTGCCAGTTCACACATTGTATTTGTCTGCATAACTGGTTGTACACCAGAAGCAATCAAGATTGCTCACATGGACAGCAAATGTATTTCTGGAATGGTCCTATATTCAAAAGCATCTCACTCTAATGCAAAGATCTAAAATTCCCCAGTAATAGTTACATTTCAATTACCAATTAGTTGAGCTGCAGTTTAGTTTAGTTTGCAGGATTGATCAAACCTTCTGGCTGCTATTTGTGTCTCATTTGATACCACCTTACATTTTTGTCTGGTTTAGTTGGCCTTTCTGGATATATAGTTGACTTTCTTCCTTAGTGATCAAAGTCTTTGACAATATTTTTGTTCCCACGTTAGTCATTTAGTAAATACTGAATCTCGTAAAAAAATTGTTACCCCCAATTAAAATTAAACAAAGACTTAACAAAGTGTGTGAGCTGAAGGATTTAACCCACAATAATTATGTGTATTATATTAAATAGGCAAAGGAACGAGGTGGAATTCTGTTTTAGTTTATTATACTACATCAGCCTTCAATTCTTATGTCACTGAAGCCAATGGTATTTAACCCTTCTGTTAAAGCAGTAATGAAGGAAAGAGCTGATTCAGCACTTGCATTGCTTTGGAAAGAAGAAAATGATCGATGTATTGTTGCTGGAAAACACTGGCAGTTATTTGCAGGGCTTCAGAAAAACAATTGAATCAGCTTCAGTTCAAATACTCTGGCATAACTTGGGTTGTGATTTGGGAACTCAGATGCTTAGCTGGATGATGCCTAAGCAACAATCCAAGCAGAGTATTTTTAACACTGAATGACTTACAGTTTGTATGTATGAAGCAGTAACTAAGTTTGCTGTTAAACCTTAGAACAATTCCTTCAAAGTGGTACCATGACTTGGCTGAGATCCATTTAAATGAGCTAAATAGGCCATTGTGAGGCAAATTGTCCACCCACTTTCACTGATGCCTGTGATTATCTTCCATTGGCATTCTCTTCATGTTGAACCCTTTCATGAAGAAGTGTCATGGTTTTAACCCTTCCTTTACCAGCCATTTCTTTACCAACGCATACCAGTGAAATAGATCTCTCAGGTAAATACAATTTGTACTCCACTTGCTGTAGTTCAAGGTTACAGCCGTTAGTTATTGTTTGAGAAGAGGAACAACCCTAGTGACTCTGAAGCTGAGGCACCACAGCAGAATCAAGCACATCATTACATGTATCTCAAAAGAGCTTGGTGGAGATGCCCAAAATAGAATGCATGACACTTTTTGCAGAGAGAATGGTCTCAGATTTTCACATTTGAAAGCAGGGGTAGGGTGTAATAAGGAACACATAGCCCAGGTTTGACTACTGAGTAAAAAAAAATATACAATTCCCATGTACAGTATAGTAACAAGGCTTCAGTTTTGTTTATAGCTTGAAATGTTCTAACTGGTTGTGAATGGAACAACAGTACTAATTCTTGAACTAACAGTCCAGTGTTTATAACATATAGGAGTGTGGTCAGCTCCTTTTTTTTTTTTTTTTAAAGAAACTCTTTTATCCAAGATATTGAAGAAAAAGAAGCAGAGACAATACTCTGCCAGGTTTTTCTCCCATCATACATGAATGCGTAGCCTGGAGATCAGACTTCCCCATTCACATGCACATATACTAGGAACAACCCTAGTTGAGCCGATTGGATCCATAGTGCAAAAAGTTAGCACAAACCTCAGGAGATAAAGGTGTCGCTAGCTATGCGCATAAATTGGGGTGGGAGGTGGGGAATAGTCTGCTTAAAAGCTCCCCTGACAATTGTACTTTCACTGGATTCTTTTCACCATCTTTTCTACATGGTTGGTTTACATTTATTTGCACATAGTGCATGCATGCTACCTCTCCAACTCTCCCCCCCCCCTCCAATTTAGCAACAGAAAGCCATTTACAGAAAGGTTTTCATGCACAGGTTAGCTGGACTGGATTTGAAAAAGACTACTGGATGAGGACAAGACTGTTTGAACACTGGGTTAATGAATGCAAATCGGCACAAGTTACCCCACTTAAATCCTCATGCAGCAATCTGTGCTGGGGAAATATAGGCCCAGTCTTTCTGCTGCACCAGTGAATTCCTGGATCTGGGGAACTGAATTTTCACAACACACATTTCACTAGTTATACCAAATTTGTACAAACTCAACTGCCTTTTATAAAATTCAATGGAGATGTGTAGAAATGGTTGTAAATTTGAAAGGTAGAATATTTACTACTTTATCTAACAAGTCCTGCAATTCCAGGATATAGAATGGTAGAATGCATTAACAGATGGTCAAAAAATCCTAGTCAGCATATATATTTAACATGCAAGGAATAGCCAAAGCCCCCGCCCCCGAACATTCTAGCATTCTGTGACCTGATTGATGTATTATTTCCATAGGCATGTGTGCAATGATTGTGTCATAATGCACTTTTGAAGCCTTTAGTTTTGTTACTATAGCTTTTATAAACTGTGGGGTTTGGTCGGGAGGAATGGGTGTGTGCAGTATTGATAAAAGTGTTATATTTTTAGGTTTTATTGCCTGCATTAAATATGAGTAAAAGTACCTGCTGGGACTATTTTAAAAACTATTGTTTTTATTATTAATCACCTAAATAAGGAATTTCAGTGTTAGGCGGTGCACATGGAAGGGCCTAAATTAGTTTAGACTGAAGAAATCTGAGCCAGTCTAAACCATAATAATTGCTGCAGAGAAAACTCCATTTTCAAATGTGATGTGCTGCTGTTTTTCCTCACACCATGAACTTATGAGGCATTGTAGGCTGATCTGGAGTTTTATGTGTGTTTGATACAGAGCTCTGACATGAGTAAACATTCCTAATCACTTCACTGGAGTGGGCATAGCTGCACACATGCACAAACCAATGAGCAGGAGGAGTTGCTTCCTTCACTGAAGTGAGTACATGAGGTTACACGTAGTCATTGTGGGCTCTGGGTAGATAAGAAGTGTCATGGTAAGCTTATTGAAACTGGTATCAGAAGCCAGAATCACAATGATATGCATAAGCCTCCTACACTTGTTCCTCAGTCTCTTCCTCCTCAAAACACATGTCCACCCCCCATGCTGGCAAAATATTTTTTTATATGATGCAATGGTAAGTCAAAATACAATGGCATGAAATATAATTCTTCTTGCACACTGGAACAGCCTGGGAACTAAATTCCCCAAAGTTATCAGTCCACAAATGTTTACTAGCCTGCCCACATATATGTACATTAGCCCTTTGTGGCACACTGCCAGACTGAAAGAAAGAGAAATGTTTCTTTCAGTTTACAAAAGCTTCCCTGCCTGGTTACCTATATTCAATTCTGTCTCATCACAGGTGATGAGGTAAGTGGCTGTTTACAAGCCAGCTCTTACACTTGCTTTGTCCTGCTAAGTAACTTCAAAAAGGGTGCAGGAAGAATAATATAAAAGACAGATTTTGACCCTCACTGCTGCTTTTTGAGGGCACACAATTTGACACCTGTGCAGTCATTGAGGCATGCAGCAAGTGATTAAAGTCTACTCTGAATGGATAACAGCTTGCAAACAGTGCTGGCTGGCTTACAGTCACAGTTCGACTGTCCTGTTTCTGTAAATACATGACATTCTAGTAAAGTCTACATTCCTCGTGTCAGTGAAGGCACAACTCTTATTATTTACTTTCGCTATAGTTAGTATCTAGAAGATAACAATTAACTAATTAAAGAGCATATGCTCTCAAAAAGAGTCCCTGGAAAGTTTCAAGCTACCTTCACACACAAGAGCATTAAAGATTTGCAAGACATTTCATGATTCTGGTATTTCAAAAGCAAGATTGATAACGAGGCTTAAATGGAGAGTCTAGGATATGTTAAAGATTAAATTGCAAAAATATGGTGTGCTTCAAGAACACAGGTTGTGGTTATTAACATTTTTAAAATACTGCATAATAAACCAGAAACATGTAAATGATACTGAGGAATAATCACATGTGGTCTGAAATATGAAAAGGGAAGGGACGGCCTATCACCCTTCCTAAATGGCGCCTGTGCTATTTCTCTTGACCCCATTATTTATTCAACATTAAACAGTGTAGCAGTGGAGTATGCAGACTATGTTTCAATTTATATAGTTTCCCTGCTTGGTCACCTATAGCCAATTCTGACTCGCAACAGGTGATTAAGAAAGTTGCTGTTTACAAACCTGCTCTAAGAGAACACCTTAGAAAAAGCCCTCTAGGGACTAGGTCATGTATCTGCAAGAGCCATATAATCTTTCAAATGTAAGAAGAGACCTCCTAGTTCAAACCAAAAATGCATCTAACATCACCCTGTTTTTCACAGTTGCCAACCAGATGGCTCCGGGCAGCTCACAAGCAGCACATGAAGACAGCAGCTCTCTCCAACTGCTGATCTGTGGCAACTAGTATCCAGTTACTTGCTGCCTCTAAACATGGAATTCTATTTAGCCATTATTTCTGGTAGCCATTGACAGATCTATCCACCATGATTTCCCCCCATTTAAATATATTCCTCCTTCATAGGGCACTCACATCTGTCCCATGTTTCCCAATCTGTTTAAGCTAGTCTAGTTTTGATGAGAACTGGTTCATATCACTGAATTAGTGAGCAAAACCAAATCCATAAAATTTAGGGCTCTTTTGCTAGTAAGCTAGTAAAGGGACCCCTGACCATTAGGTCCAGTTGTGGCCAACTCTGGGGTTGCGGCACTAATCTCGCTTTATTGGCCGAGGGAGCCAGCGTACAGCTTCCGGGTCATGTGGCCAGCATGACTAAGCCGCTTCCGGTGAACCAGACCAGCGCAAGGAAACACCGTTTACCTTCCCGCCGGAGCGGTACCTATTAATCTACTTGCACTTTTGATGTGCTTTCTAACTGCTAGGTTGGCAGGAGCAGGGACCGAGCAACAGGAGCTCATCCCGTCGCGGGGATTCTAACCGCCGACCTTCTGATCGGCAAGTCCTAGGCTCTGTGGTTTAACCCACAGCACCACACGTGTCCCAGAGGTCCATGCAACTCTTGCTTTTAAAAGGTAGACAGGGAACATAAAAGCTCCAATGGACCAACTCAAAGTCCAACATTCTCTTCTCACTGTGGTCACCCAGATGCCTAGTGGAAGCCTGCAAGCGGGACCTGGTTGTAACCTCACTCAGAACCAACACTGCCACTGCCATTATATCCAGCAAAATAATTGAGCGGTTGTATACATGGCACTTTCTGCAATAACGTGCAATGCAACATTACATAAATCACTTCTTTCTCCCCCACCTCCCTGCTCCCCCAAACATTTATTTGCAAATATGAAGCAGCTTTATTTGGTCTAGCCAAGTATGTTCTGTGTGGACTGGCAACGGTCTGTAAGCTTTCAAGCATCAGGAGATCTTTTTTTATACCTGCTATATGAGATCCTTCTAATTGTAAGTTGTAGGGACTGATCCTAAGTCTTAGGTTTTGGTATACAAAGCACATTCTCTGCCTCTAGTATGCCCCCTTCCCACCGTGACAAACGTGTGTTTCCAAAGGCATACGTTACTTGTCAGTGATAAAAAGATTTTAACACATATTGTGATGGAAAGTCTCTCATCCCAAAGTGTGTAGTGGATGCCTGGTGAGAGCAGTGCAAGACCACTTGCGTCAAGCTGACAAAAGCACCCAGAGAGAATCATGCAGAGCTGGGAATCACCCCTAGAACAGGAGTGGGGGACCTTTTTCAGCTGGAGGGCCACCTTCTCTTATGAGCAACCTTTTGGGGGCTGCATGCAAGTTGGATATGCCAGTTGGCTGCATTCCAGCAATACAAAAGCCTCATGTTCTTTTACACATGCATGGATCTCCATCCAGGCAAGCGAGAGGCATCATTACATTCAATGACACATTCCAGATTAGCTGAAACCCTGGAGGGAAGCACAGAGTAGGGCTGTGGTGAGCAGAATGGGCTAAGGAGAACCTCCAGGGTCAGACATATTCTGGTAGGCCATATTCAGCACCAAACATATTCAGCCCCAAACTACCTCCTTGTAGGCCATATTCAGCCCCAAACATCCCCATCCCTGGCCAAGAGATCAGACTCAACTACAGGTGGAAAGAGCAATTGCCATACATGCAGGAGAAGCAAAGCAGCTCCCTTTCATCTTTCTTTTGCAGACAGGAAGGCAAATACTTCCCCATCTGAAAGCATTTGAAGGGTGGAAACTCAAAGAAAACAACTCATTGGCTTTTTATTTGCTTTAGTGCCCTTGGTATTTACATGCCAGGAGGAACGCAGTTCTCGTTTGCAGAAGCCCATATTAGTGGCAGTGAAGCTTTGCACTTTCCTTGCACATCCTCTTCTGCAACTGTACGGGGGGGAGGAGGGGGAAAAAAGGTAGCCAACTCCTGAATAAATTCACCATCATGATTTTTGTTCCTGATGCCTCCTTGGCCAACCCAGCCAGGGGGAGAACGCGGGTGGTCCGTCCTTGCGGGGGTCCGGATTCTCGCCCCACACAAGAGAGGGAGAGCAGAATCAGGCCGGCCATTCTTTCAGGCCTTTGTCCCCGCTCCCTCCATCGCCGGCGAGGCGGCGCTGCGGACGGTCCAGCGAGAGAAGAGGCCCTCGCAAGGCGGCGGCGACTACAGGCCCGCCAGGCCTAGATGTACCCAAAGACGCCGAAGATGGGGGGCGGCGCGGCGGGCTTGGTGGGGATGGGCTTCCACACCACCGGCCGGTGCACTTTCGGGCCTGCCCCGCCGCCGTCCGCCTTGCGGAAGGGCTCTCCCTCCGCCGGCGAGGCCGCGTTTTTCCTCCACAGGCTCAGGCCCGGGAAGGGGCCTACCGGCGGAAGGGAGGCGGCGAGCGGCGGCGGGTAGACGCCCGGAGAGGCTTGCGGTCCGTGGTACTGAAATGGACAGCAGCTCCAGGCGCTCAGCACCTGCGCGGCCTCAGCGTCCGGCCTGCTTCCCGGCGGGCTCTCGGCAGCGCTAACCGTCCCGCCATCCGGGCTTTTTTTACTTTTCTTTGCCTCAAGGGCGGGCAAGTCCTTGGAGGAGGAGGACGACGACGACGGTGACGAGGAGTTGGAAGCGGCTCCCGCCGGGAAGGCGACGCCGTTCCCGCCCAGAGGGCCCGGAGCCGGCCGGGGCTCTTCCCAAAATGAGGCGGGCAGCTGCCTTTTCCTCATGGGCACTTGGTCGGGCCTAGCGGTCGCCTCAGAGACGCCCTGCTGCTGCTCGCCGGGCTCTGCGGCCTTGCAGGCCTTGCTGTCTCTGTCGCCCCGGCCGACAGGAGCCTCGAGGCCTCCTCGCGCTCTCTCCTCAGGCGCCTTCCGCTCCCTGGCGGGCTGAGGCGGCGGCTGCTGCTGCAGGTGGTGGTGGTGATGGTGGCAGCGAGGCAGGCGGGAGTATTTCTGGGAGAAGCGCTTGAGCTGCTTCTGTAAGTACTTCCTATGATCGACGGAGCGCCGGCACGGAGCCGACTTGTCCAGGGCCGCCTTGATGTCGCTCGAGGCCAAGTTGACGAAGTTGAGGAGAGTCTTCACTTCGCTGTCGGCCGAGGCCATCTCTCACAGCTCCGAGACCGGGGAGGAAGGCCCGTCCATGAAGAGGAGGGATCCGGCCCCCGCGCTCCCCGGGCAGCGTGGCTCCGCAACCCCCGAGTTACACGGCAGGTGATGATGATGCTCAGGCTAGGCCAGTGGTTCCCAAACTCGGGTCCATGGACCACCCCCAGTGGTCTGCAGAGTGTCTGTGAAAAGGCAATTAAAAATCATGCAGCATCGAGCGAGGATCATTGCAATAGATACAACAAGCTAATAATAAAAATAAATAAATAAAGCGGCCCCTCCAAGACACTGCAATTTTCAAGTGGTCTGTGGGAGGAAAAGTTTGGGAACTACTAGGCTGGGCTAAAGGGGGACGACAAGTCGCCCTTGGCATAAACCCCTGAGGGAAGGGACAAAGGCAGACACGCTAGAGAACTTTTGCAAAGATAAAATACCCGACACGCACCATTTTCACATTTCCCTTTTGCACACACCATGCATTTGGAGCATCTGCAAACGCGTGTGGTGGGATGGGATTCAGGGCATGTGTGTGTCTCCTGTAACGTGTGAAAGTAGAAGGCGGCATCCCTTTTGTTTTTAGCCGCATGCAAAGTGGAGATGCGTTTAGTTTGATGTTAAGAAGTGGCATGGGTTTGTGCTGCAGGTCTGTTGCATGTACATTAAAGACCTTTTTATCCTTTCCCACAAAAGGTTCTGCCTATGTTACGTACAGTGTTAAAAAGAAAAAAAGACTCTCTTCCCGATTTTGCTGTAGTGCTGCTTTACTGACATCTACATGTATACTTAGGGCAAGAGAGACTAAGATGTGCTTTTAGTGTCGCTTATGAAAATGCCCAACATATTGACATTTTCCACGTCTCACACATCTATTATACACAGCTGTTTTGTGTGTGTGTGTGCATGGACACACATTCTTAATGCCATTGATAGCTGCTTCACATAGTTATCCACAAAGCTGTTAAAAGCTTCATTCCAATACCCAAATACAATTGTGTCATGCACACTTTCTCTCATGCACACACATTCAGGTTACTCTATGCAAAATACAAAAGCGGCACTTGAGACAATAACTTTAGATAAACATGCATTTGGTCCCAATAACTAGCCAAATATAAGTATTGTCTCACATGCTTGTTTCTTCCCATATAGACTCAGGACCAAGGTGCTGCTGTACTAAACACACATTTCTTTGCAACCCTTTTACAAACTCGCCACTGATGCATACACTCATACCCTATCTGACATATTCCTTCCCCTCTCTCCCAGTCTTACAGTCATCATTTTCTACTACTATGGCCCCACTCGTCAATCTTGTTAGACAGGTAGCATTTAACCATTGATTAGAAATCTATGCATCATTTTCTTGGCACTCGATAAGTCAAACACACACACCCTCCCAGCTAGATTGTCTCTTAAATATTGAGTGTTACTGTAACTGTGGTAGAGAAGAAGCTCACCAGCTAATCTTGTTACATAGGTTAGACACTACCAACCTTTAGAGAAGCAGCCGGACCCTGTGAGTGTTTTGCGGCACTTGAGTAAACTGAATGAATATCAAGTCCTTCTAGTTAGGAGGCTTTCTCAGGCCAATCAGAAGCCACTTTGCCAAATACAAAGCATCCCAATCAGGCATTAGGCTCCCCGTTCTCACATTCTTTGCCATCACAAATTGTCACCATGGGGACAGCCACAGAAAGACAGCTAATAAATACGATCATTTCCCTGTGATGCCTACCATTCCCCCCTTTCCAGCCCCCCTGCCCCCCTTTTCTTAAACACAGTCAAACATGATATGCTGAGGATGAGTAAAGCAAGTTTGCTGAGGCCCTTTTCTCTAAACTACTCCAAAGCTGTCTGAAGGCTGGCAGTAGCCATGCTTGAGTAACACTGGACAATGCTAGTTTCGAAGACCTGGCTAGCCTACTTTTTAAACTGTTCTTGATCCGGGCCTCTGCTCCCCCCCCCCCAATAAAAAATCCACCAAAGGGAGGGTGATGTCAGAAAAAGGTAGGAATGGAACAAATCTCTAAAGAGATGTGCAGATATCCATGGAAAAGGAGCTTGAGCGCTCAAGAATCTTGTCTTTATGTTTGCCCCCTCAATTGAGCCACACAAAAGCTGAATTACCCATTCAAACCACCGGGACAAAAGGATGGAGTTGGATAGTACTCTTGCATCTGTAGTCAAACAGTTAGAGACTTAAATCGAGTCGTCATGATGGAGAAAGAGTTAGACAAAGCCCATAGAATTGCCATCAGCAAACATTTTCCTGTGTCATATTAGTGGGTCTCCATGACTCCCCCTGGCCCAGGGACAATAGCACAAGTTTGCACACTCGACTACTGTCACCCTGCCAACGCTGGCAAGGAGCAGAAACAGGACAATCCTTTAAGGGGAAAGCATGCCCACTGCAGGGAAGGTAAGAAGAGAGGGAAGAAAAGCATGTGAAATGCTAATTGAGCTGCTTCCTTTATTGATTCAGAGTTATGTGAGTCCTCATCCTCCTTGCAGGATTGTCCTTAGGGGTGGCAATAACTTAATAGCATGCTAAACCTGGGAGTCCCACACTGTGTGCTCTCCCCACAGAGATCTTTAATAGCAGTGGGGGGAGAGTGAAGTTACCCTGAATGAATTTCAGAAATGCTAGACATTCAGGAATAAAGCCAGCTTGCAATGCGGTACGTCCACTCACAACTGAGACTGGAGCAGACAGGAGTCCAAGTGTTTTTCAGTCTTAGCACACTGCAGACTTCATGTTATATAAAATTCTGTATGAACACTCAAATACTAATGCTGATCAGGGCACTAGCTTGTCAACCAATGTTTTAAAAAAACAACAATAGCTCTATATGATTGACTTGAAGTTGAAATATAAGAAGAGCTTTAGAAATAATAAGTTAAACTAACATCCAGATCCTAACCTTATTTTTTCAGAAGCAAATTTCATTGATATAAATGGAGCATACTCCTAATTAGCTTACTCCTATTGAAGTGCATAGGACTGTAGCGTTCTATTTTGTGAACGTTCTAGAAAATATACCTAGATTTTGGATAATTAAAATTTATCATCTCCCTTTGAGTCTAAACTGTTTATTTATTTTGATATTTGTCCCCTTAGAGCACTGCATAGCTGTGAATTGGTTGGCAATTTGTGTAGTTTGGGTTGGAGTTAATTACCACAAATTAAGGGTAAACTCACATAACCTTTTTGGAATGTCAAGAAGTAGGTTGTGCAATTGCATACCAACCCCAAACTGTTGGTGAAGCATTTAATATTTTCTCTCACCATGGAAAAAGAAAAGTTAACTTGATTAATTTCAAATTATGCCAATTGTTATTTTAATGTTCTAATTCTTTTTCCAGCATTTATTTCAACAGCAGTGACCCTTAGCTGGAAGATGCAGTACAGACAAGAGGTTGCTATTTTTGTGAACTTGCTTAGAGCAGTTCTCAACAGTGTCTGGAAGCTAGTCTACACCACCAGATAGGCAATAACCTTCTGCCTCCCAATTTGAACAGCAATAGACACACCAGCTGCTCATTGCTTCTGACTTGGCTTATGCAAGGGGCCGAACGTCTGAGATGCCTAATGACGGAAATGCTGTGCCAAAGCCTCTTGCTGTTCACACTGAAGAAAAAAGTCATTAAGTCCTATCTTTGTGTTCACAATGGCTATACTCTGCCTCCTATAGGGAGCAGGTGGCGCTGCGGTCTAAACCACTGAGCCTCTTGGACTTGCTGATTGGAAGGTTGGCAGTTCGAACCTGCATGATGGGGTGAGCTCCCATTGCTCTGTCCTAGCTCCTGCCAACCTAGCAGTTTGAAAGCACACCAGTGCAAGTAGATAAATAGGTACCGCTGTACCTATTTATCATCACAGTGTACCTATTTATCATCACAGTGTTCCGTTGTGCCAGAAGCAGTTTAGTCATGCTGGCCACATGACCCAGAAAGCTGTCTGTGGAAAAACGCCAGCTCCCTCAGCCTGAAGCGAGATGCCCACCAAACCCCATAGTCGCCTTTGACTGGACTTAACCGTCCAAGGGTCCTTTACCTTTTACTTTTTTTACCTTTGCCTCCACAGTCAGCGGCAATTTGCTTCTGAATAGCAATTGCTGGAAATCAGAGGAGGGACATGCTATGTACATTGGAAGAGAGGTGGTATAAAATCTGTGGTCAGGCTAGAGTTGCAAAGAATGTTACCTCATTTTGACTTTCAGGTCAAACTTTTCAGTAGGCAGAAATACGTCCTGCTAAATTACCTTTTTGAAATCCCGCTCTTTGCTATCGCTTCCCCTGTTTGCTGCTTCTTTAGTGTCATTTTTGCCCTGCTTCTGTGATGTCTTTTTTCCGGATTCATACATTCATTACATATACTTCTCAAGCAATCACTGAAAAATCTGGAGCACCATTCAGTTCTGCTGGGGGGGGGGGGCGACGATGAAAAGCAGTGAATGCTTTTGGCTGAATGAGCTCCCAGAGTCATTGCAAGAAAGTTTAATGAGGTACAAGTTTTACAGATCGCAGCAAACTTATGCCAGATCCTGAGTGATTATTAGTAGCAATGTGTATGGAAAAACACCAGTAGGGATGCAATCCCATACTATATTCTTAACATCACATTCCCTTTTGCATTATTATTTAGGACCTGATGTATTTAATGTTTTAAGACCCCCAGCTAAATACTCCATGCTGCTGCAGAAAGTTGTTCTTGATGTGCCGACATTCCCTCCTTTAGAGACCCCGTTCCCTGCCGCTGGATGACAATAGGGCAATGGAGTGAAGAGCACGGTTTTCTGAATAAAGGAAACCCTTTCAAGGTCAGACTCAGGTTGAGCTGCACAGGGGTTTTCCAAAGAGGCCACCGGAACCCTTTTGTTCCTCTCTCCTTTAGCCATGTACGTCCCAATGTACATCTGAAAGAAACAATTAACAATAGGGCACTCCTCTTGGAGTTTCTAATGCACTTTGAAGTGCCCATTGAGGAAAGGCATAAGAATGATACATCATTTTAACTGTGAGACTGTCAAAGTTATACAGCAGTTGGAAAAAATGCCTCCACATGCCTTCCCAGCATGCAGACAGGGACCAGCTGTAGAGCCACTTCATATCTGACATGTCACTCTGTTGACAGCTGGCTTCCTGAGTGTTCTGGTATGCGGAGGTTTGAAAGGGGTGGGGAATATTTCACAAGAGCAAATGCATTTAAAATGTGGCAAACCTCCCTATCTTTCAAAACCTCTTTCTTTTTCTCAAAAGAGGAAAAGGTTGGGTTTGTGGTTTTTTTGTGTGTTTTTTTTTTAAAAACTACTTAAGATGACGTCTTGAGTTTGGCCATCTCCAAATTAAATACAGAAAACGTATGTATACAGACAGACAGACAGACAGACAGACAGATGTAAGACTTAGTAAGAAGTCATAGTTGTGTACTCTTTGCTAGAGATGAGAAACTATTCACCCCATGTTCTCAGTTGGTGCAAGAGGGTCACCACAGAATGTGGCCAGGTTTATTCACTACCTTCCAGGTACCCCAGTGCACTCAGTGACTGCTATTAACTTCTTTGAGGGAAATAATGCCTGTACTTGTGGACAAAATTTCAGTGGGTATAAAATGGATGACTCCACTAATGGAGAACCACATAGAGTCATAAAATGCCTCTGTTGGTAGAGTCATAGGGGTGTATTCCACCATTTTGGGCATCACATGGCAGGACAGAGTCTCGAACAAAGATGTACTCTCCCAAGCCCACATTCCCACCATGTTCACACTCCTGTCTCAGCAATGTCTACAACTGGCTTGGTCGTGTCCACAGGACATGCTCTATGGGGAGCTGGCTTCAGGCACCAGGCCCATTGGAAGAACAACTCTGCATTACAAAGATGTGTGCAAACATGACATGGAGGCTGGCAACACTAACCCCACCATATGGAAATCCTTGCGGATGATCACAGTGCCTAGAGATGGAGAAGCAAAATCTGTTGGGAGTGTTAACTAAATACATGTAACTAAAACCATGCATCCTTTAATCTCCACTGACCTTCATTCTAATGAAATCAACCCCTGGCTAAGCACAGGAACATCTTGACACTTGGAGAGTGGAGCAGTGCATAATAATAAAGGTAAAGGGACCCCTGACTGTTAGGTCCAGTCGTGGACGACTCTGGGGTTGCGGCGCACATCTCGCTTTATTGGCCAAGAGAGCCGGTGTACGGCTTCTGGGTCATGTGGCCAGCATGACTAAGCCGCTTCTGGCAAACCAGAGCAGCACATGGAAACGCTGTTTACCTTCCCACCGGAGCGGTACCTATTTATCTACTTGCACTTTGACGTGCTTTCGAACTGCATAATAATGAATACTAATAATAAATGAAATAACTAACAATCTGCTGCCTTTTCATGTCACCCAAGATGCCTGGGATGACTGCCTCATTCTGTCTAGTGGTAGGGCTGGCCCAGACACCCATTATTTCCTTCATCTGTACCCCAAATCAATCTGCAGGGGTGAAGTGGGGCAAACGCCTTTCCCAGTTTTCATGGGGATCTGTCCCCTGATCACTGAACTACATCACTTTCTTACTAGCCTCATATTAATCATGTGGCTCACAGTGGTAAATTATATCAAAAAGAAACAGAAACTAAGCATCATAAGTTAAAAGAGGACATCTCAAAGGATGGTCAAGACTCTAAAGCCATGTGGCATGCAGTTTGGCTGCTGAAGCTTAGCAGGGTCAGGACCCTATAAGCTGCCTGGAAGCTATATGTAAGCTTCTTTGATACCCTCTTTTTTCTTCAAGGATGGATAAATAATATTTAATTTTTGGGGCTCGCAGAGACACATTATCATATCCTGCTTGAAATTCAAACCAAGCTGATTGGTACCAGCTAGCTAGCTGAGGTTTGAAGTTAGAGACCCGCACTGCAGAACATTCCACTTTTGAGAGTTAAGAGCCCAGCTTGAGCATCCTGTCTTCCTTTGTCCAGTTCTCATGCACCAATCCAAAAGTGCAGAATCTTCTTCCTGTTCAGGAAAGGGTGCAGTTGACTCACCAGCTAAAGCAGATGATAAGCACCCTTCGCCACGGAGGTCACCTGGGCCTTGATGGACAAAGGTGGTTCCAAGAGCACTCATAAACAGCATGCTTGTACTTTCAGAGGAAGTGCAACCCCATCAAGGACACTCAAGCCCCCAAATTATGAGACCTGGAAACCACAGTATCTCTGTCTAAGGAAGATTAGTATTATTATTACTACTACTACTACTACTACTAATAGTAGTATTATATTTGTTACCTGATCTTCACTGTAAGGTCCTGGAGTGGGTTAAGTGCCCTAACAATAAGAGTTCAAAAGCCCACGGAAAAGAGACATGTCTCCAATGACTGTCTAAAGCTGTAAAGAGAGAAAACAGTAAGAATGCCACAACATGAGAGTAGCATCAGGGCTGTGTGCTTAATATATCCATCTGTCAGCTACTGAAGGGGCAGTTGCTCCAAAGCTTACCTCTTCCTTTCCCAGCTTCAGCCCTGTATACCTGAAGGAGTGTCTCCACCCCTATTGCTCAGCCCAGACACGGAGGTCCAGCACCAAGGGCCTTCTGGCAGTTCCTTCACTGCAGAAGTGAAACTACAGGGAACCAGGCAGAAGGCCTCTCAAGGGCGAAGGGGTGTTCATGAGGTGGGGTGTCAATATTTGCTTTTTCTCAGCTTCTCATTTCTCCAGTCCTAATTTCAGGTGAACCCATCCATTTGCTTCCCCCGCTAAAAAGTTTGCACAAAAATTGAATGTGTCTTCTCACACACTTTTTCTAATAAGTGCATTTTTGTACCCAATTTTGCCTCATGTATGCATTTTCATCAGATGCATTTTTAGTAATATGTAATATGTGCATTTTTGTGCATAGATTTGGGAAGTGTAAAATGCAAACTCGACCAACTTCTCTCCCATCCTTATGAGTGAGTGGGAAGCTAAATTGACACTAGAGCACTCAGTTGATCCAAAGTAAGCTTGTGTCCATAAAACTGGATGGATGGAGAAACTAACAGACAGTTACATAGATGGATGGATGAATAGATAGATTATACATAGACACACATATAGTTACATATATTTAGTGCAATCAACTCCATTGCTTTTCTGGGGCTGGGTGCAGAGCAGAGTTCACAGTCTTGCACGTCTCCTCTTTGCCTCTCTGTCTCTTCTACTCTGGAGATTTACATTATGAGCTAAATTTTGAGGCCCATGAGGACGGCATGCAGGGGGAGGGGAGGAGTTGCTTCTACCCAGAAGCCTGCCATTCAGGCAGATGGTGGAATGATTTGATATGAATAGCCGCTGTCAGTCTCATACAGCGAACTTTTCAATTGTGCTTTGCGTTGGACGGCATGTGACTAACGCCATTCTTTTGCAGGCTGCAGGCAGGACACAGCTGTTTCTTTAAGAAAGAAACTGGTTTCACTAATGGACAGAAAATTTATGGCTAAATCATTGGAGGAAATGCACGGCGGCCAACACTGCGCTTACATAATGAGAGCCAACCAAATCCCATAATCGTGGCTGTAACCAACTCTTTTTCTTCTTGAAAGCATGGAGGGGTGTGTGTGTGTGTGTGTGTGTGTGTGTGTGTGTGTGTGTAGAATGGAGAGAGTCTCTGATCTGAGGTTGAAGCTTGTGCTCATTTTGTAGCTTTGCAATCTTAAGCCACTAAATCTCCCACCTAACATTCTGCATGAGAAACAACGTTTGGGCTGTTAAAACACACAGAGAGTTGGACGCTGTTAAAGTGGGTGAGACAGCAAGCCAGGTCCTGGGGGAGGACCATAACTCAGTGGTAGAACATCTGCCCTGCATGTAGAAGGTCACAAGTTCAATCCCCATCATCTCCAGGTAGGGCTGGGAGAGATCTTTGTCTGAAACTCTGGGGAGATGCTGTGTAGCCACTGCTGATCTAGATGGATCAATGGTCTAACACAATATAAGGCAGATTTCCTATGTTCTCCCCTTACAATTCCGCAATGTCTGCTTTATAAAAAATTTGGGCCATTGCTCTCTGCAACCTTGCTACAGTGGAACCTCGGTTTTCGAACATAATCTGTTCTGGAAGTCTGTTCGACTTCCGAAATATTCGAAAACCGAGGATCAAAGGACTGTCAGCAGGTTCAATGGGGAAAATTGAGAAACGCGCCTCAGAAGCCATTCGACTTCTGACGCACATTCAAAAATGGAAGCATTCACTTCCGGTTTTTTGGCATTCGGCTTTCGAAACATTTGGCAGCCAAGATGTTCAAAAACCAAGGTTTGACTGTACTCTTTTTCTGTCCCTTCTCCTGTTCACTAATCTGGCATCTGTTAGTTGACTTTCAGGTAATGACGCCAATAGGTACTGCCTTCCCATTGCAGATGGCCAGCCGATTGCATCTTGGTTTGAACTAGGACCATGAGGGACAAAGAATTAAAACAACCCACCCAGCTCACAGTCCTAGCTTCCTTTCCCATTACAAGCTTTTTTATCTGTATATTAAATATTGCATACCTGAGCTAAAGACATCAAAAACATTGCATCTAGATGCAATACCTTGGCCAATGGAAGTAAGGCTTGTGGTTGTATGGATAGATATTAATCCGCAACAAGAGAAGTGGATTCTCCTGTTTAAATACTTTTCCTGGGTTAATTCTCTGCTTTTTCCTGGACATTTTCACCAAAACCTTTTGAACCAATGGAAGGTGAACCCAGGTAATGCAAGTAGCAGACGAAGGCCCCTTGACTGGGGCTACAGCAGAGAGCAATGTGTTAAACCCCCTTGTTGCCTGCCAGGCACCTGAAATTGATCTCCCTGTGCCTGGGCTTTACTATTGAAATATCATTCATGCAATGAGTGAGTGGTGTCTATTTTAGTTTGGTCCTAAGATGTAGTTAGTTCAGGAGCAACTCAAGACTGCAAAGAAGTGAGCAAGAACCCTCAAACCCAGTTCTTCAACTCTGCAGCCGCACCCCCAGTCTTAGCTAGAACATACAGTAGAACATGAGACTCTTAATCCCAGGGTTGTGGGTTCAAGCCCTATAGTGGGTGAAATTCCTGCATTTCAGGGGGTTGAGCTAGATAACCCCTGTTGCCTTTTCCAACTCTACCATGCTATGATTCTATACTCCCACCTGAAATGCCTTCTATAAACAGCAGCTATAGGGGTAATCACAGAAGATAGGAGGTGGTTTCCTCGCCCCCATAATTTGATCCCTGCTATTAATGATCCAGTGTCCTATTCAGGGCTCCAGCACATTTGCTTTTTCCCCTGTTGCCTCCAAGGTTCTGCTGTTTTTAACAGCTTTAAGTATATTGTTTTTATTCCTGTAAGCCATGTTATTGATCCTAAAGCTGCAAAGGGAGAATATAAATATTTTTAAACAAGATGCATACACAGGATGGTGCAGTGAGCGATCTGTGTGCCAAGTGCATGCAATGGGCAGGCCTTTCCTTCATCCATCAGAATGATATACATTGCGCTAGTGGGCTTTAAATAGCAACGATCATTGTGCCTCTTTCCCAAGGCCTCTGAATTTCCCTGGGGTTTTTTCCCCTTTCCTACGTAGGAGCAAATGTGAGAACACTGTCAAATCAATGCAACACAGTTTCCGTGAAGTGACACCAGTTACAGTTTTCATCCATACTACATATACCATTGTCCTCCCTTCTGGGCACTGTCCCTCGGGACTTCACCTCCAGCTCTGTGCCCAGAACTTGCCAGTGGTACAGATGTTAAATCTTTGGTTCTGTTCGGCATTGGCCCTAAGCTGAATGCAGACACGTTGAAGTTTATTTTATCCTAGTTACGTGGGAGAGCATTGCTTACATGAAGGTATTGCGATGTCTGCCTTGGCACACATTGTGAGAAAGAGGCCGAAGAAGGTCTGCTATAGAGATTCTGGGAGCTGAACTGGGAGCCTGGTGGGGCAAGGTCTTTCTGTAGAAAGCTGGCATTTGTGGGCTAGGAATTCCTGTACTTTAACAGTAGTATGCAGGAAAATCTTGTCCTGTTCTTGATTCTGATTATACACAACCAGCTGGTCACACTTGTATGGATTTAATGCAACCCCAGCAAAATGAGACTACAATACCAAAACTCAATACTAAATTCAGCAAGCATTTACCTGATCGCAAAAAGAAGTTTAATTGCTTTCCCTTAATATGATATAACCATATGCAGGCATAGAATAGGAATGCAATGCCATGAATGCAATGCATTGTTTAAAAAATAAAGCACCTTTAAAGCAATAATTTGTAAGTCAGAGAATATCAGAAGTGACTATAGAAGTCAACTTGCTCCAATGGACAGCCCTCAACAGTCTCCATCCATCCAGGACCTGATGAACCCAGTTAACATGCAACTTACAGCGGCGGGAATCAGCCTTTGCTTTGTACATTTTGCAAATATTCAGCATCTGGACAAGGTGCTTTTGTACAGTGACAAACTCCCCTTCTCCCTTGTCTCCCAGAACCGGAAGATGCATGAAAAGGGCAGAGCAGAGGTTGGCTTCACGCAGGCATTGCTTAGAAAAAGCCCTGGAGAGGAGGGGACTTAGATAGCTGTGGGAACTTTCGGTCTCAGCAATAGATCCATGGGGGCCTGACTAGTTAGCTAGAACACTGAACAGGAGCATTCCACCAGGCATGTTTCAGGTCCTACCTAATAAAGCTAATAACTGTTGATTAGAATTAGAACTCTTCTCCATTACATCTAAGCTGGTGGCTGTCATCATGTTATTTTTCTCTTGTTCCTGTGTGAAAAAACTTTTTTCCCTCCTAAATTGATAATCCCAAGTTCTGGTATGGGGAGAGATACAGCGGGTTGCAGTAGAGGTTCTCCATATTAGCTTTCTCATGAGCAAACCTCTTATAATATTAATTATTTTTTTTATACCTTATTATCTTCAGGTCTGCATTAAATTACCCCCCCCCCCCAAAAAATGCTTGTTGCATACAAAAACATACAGATGCTGAAAAAGAAGTAAAAATAGCAGAGTTGCAGAATGAAATAATGACAGCAAACCAGTTTACCAAAGCACAATCATACTTCACTGAATATCAGATATATTAAAAGAAGAAAAATGGGGCAACCAAGACATCACACCATATTTCAGATGTGGGTGCACCCCAGAGTTATTACATATAAACCAGAGCAATTGTCTGTAACGGGAGATGGCATATCCATAGTAGCAAAGTTTAGCTGTTGAGGACCAGCTAAATATATATATGACTCCCTCTAGTGACTGGATCGAGTAAGCATACCTTCACTGTTATTTTCAATGAAGACATGAAGAAATTTGTTTGCAGGGCTGTTCTGCAATTTGTCACTGATACAATAATAGTGCATTAGTGGTATATTTATACTGGGCTGTCCACACTTCATTCTATTTTATTAGTTCTGTGATGTTTCCCCAATGTCCCTGTTCCAGACACCTGGAGGGATGCTCTTGCACTGTAACACAACAAAAGCAAGAAAATCCCACCAATCTTGGGAACATTTGTAATCTGAAAAGCTACATGATTTCAGCAGGAAGTTATAGGACACGCACTGATTGGAAATGAAGCAGTGTGTCTGCCTTGGAACTTTTGCACGTGCAAGTAGCATCATTAGCACAATTCATCATGTTTAATGATGCCTCTGTTTAATGATGGTCCAAAGACTTGTCCCAAAGCAAATAAATCACAGATGCACAGGATCACAGCTCAGATTCATTAGTCTAGAACAACTACCGTGGCTGGTTTTATATTCATAATCATTAAAAATGTTACTGTGCTCTGGATGACCTTGAAAACTTTTGTTGATGGGCAGTAGGCAGTAAATGAATGAATGAATGAATGAATAAAATTTAGAGCTGTCAGCACATTATAAAAAGTCATTCAAAGAAAGCTGTACAAAATTAATATCTGCAGTAACTGTAACAGAGGATTAGACAAATTCGTGGAGATTAGGGCTATCAGGTTCTCCCTCCACTGTCAGAGATGGCATGCCTCAGAATATCAGCCACCAGTATAGATAATTCTGAATAAGGTGGGCCATTTGACAGGTCCAAGAGGGGTCTTCTTTTTAAGTTTCTATGTCTTCTCTCCTGCTTACTTGTCAGACGGCTTCCCTGTGGCAGCAGTATGTGCTCTATTTATATTGAAAAAATCTGTAATGAAAGATGCCAGGAATGGTTAATCTATGTTTTTTAGTGTGGGGGGGTCCCCCCCAATCTGTAAGCTGCCTTGAGTCCCACTAGGATAAAGGCAAGGTAAAAAAGGTAAAGGTAACGGTATCCCTGACCGTAAGGTCCAGTCGCGGATGACTCGGGGGTTGCAGCGCTCATCTGGCTCTACAGGCAGAGGGAGCTGGTGTTTGTCCACAGACAGCTTCTGGGTCATATGGCCAGCATGACTAAGCCGCTTCTGGCGAACCAGAGCAGCACACGGAAATGCCGTTTACCTTCCCACCGGAGTGGTACCTATTTATCTACTTGCCCTTTGAGGTGCTTTTGAACTGCTAGGTGGGCAGGAGCAGGGACCAAGCAATGGGAGCTCACCCCATTGCAGGAATTCGAACCGCTGACCTTCCGATCGGCAAGCCCTAGGCTCAGTGGTTTAGACCACAGCGCCACCCACGTCCCTTTAAAGGCAAGGTATAAATTATGATAATAATAATGGAAGAGGTATTTAAGCTCAATGGCCATGAGAACAGTTTCTGGGCTTGTCTTGTGAATATTAAACTTGCAAGGGAGTGCACAAATTGACTAGACTAGAGATCTGGGAACAGGCTTGATTCAGTATGCATTTAAAGTCAAATTTATCTACTTCTCACTTCCTGAAACTTTCTGATATATTTCCATAGGAATCTGGTTGGCCACAGTGAGAAAGAGGATACAAGTCTAGATGGGCCTTTATTCTAATCCAGCGGGGCTCTCCTTATATTTTTATACATGCAGTATTTTTAGATATGTCATGAGAAAGAAGCCATTTCTCCATTCCATTTGCAAATGATCTTATTTAATATGAAAACTGGCAAACTTGCGTGCTTCTGAACCCGATGGAGACAGTTAAATAAAAATTGTTTTTGATGGATTTTATATATTGCTTATTCAGACAACATTCAAGAATCTCTGCACCACTGGCAGGACTTCCGGGACAGCGCCATTGGCAATGGCGGAGTTCCTCTGACAGAGAGGAACCCGCTCCATGAAAATCGGGTCTTGCCGCCGCGGCGAAGGCGGAGACCCTTTAAAAATCCCAGGCAGAGGAAGCCTGGGAACGTGGCATTCGGCTGACACCAGGAGCGACTCCCCTACTCGCAGGGAAACCCTTTTCCGGGGGTCCGAAGCGACATGGGGTGAGTAGCGCGGTGTTTTGAATCAACCACTACTTTTACGGAGTGAAGCCGCAAAGCCGTTGCCGGAGAGCGCTGACTTTCTCCTGTGGACAATTGGACTCTAAACAAGTACCCGTGAGTAGAACGGAAAATTGGATTAAGTACTAAGAAATATTTTAATTTGGCACTGAAACGGCAAGGTTCTAAACAGGAAGTCCGCCTCCCATTTTTTGCAAATAGATTGAAGCAAAAACTTTGTAAGCTAAAGTCTGGAAAGTCGTATATAAAGTTCTAAATTTCCTTCATTCATCACCACCAAAACCCCTCTTGGAAGCAGGAGAAAAGAGGGGGATTTTTGACTGTTTAAGCCTGCAGGAGAGAGAGTAAAGAAAGATAAATTTTCCACCGTCTCAAACCTGGGAACGGGGTGTCAGAGACAGAAATTTATGGGGAAAGTTCATCGACTGTGAACGTCTTTTGACAGATAGTAAAAAAAAAAGAGAGAAATATATTGATTCCAATGTTGCTTCTTGCAATCAAAAGAAACAAAGTATTTGAAAAGTGAAAGTAATTTTTCCTTGTTGGTCCTGCTTTTAAAAGATGGATACAAATAGAAATTGTCTCCTCTAGAGGGAGCTTGTTAATTTGTTGCCGGAGCTGATCTGGGGACCTCACAGCTGTATGATTAGGATCGTGAGACCAGACTCTAACCTTGGGGGAAAAATGTGTTTACAAGAAGTCTTGGTGCTTGCTTTTTGCAAGACAAGTGCCTTGCTGGAGCAGATGCATGAGAAGATGGATTTGATGACTGTTGCAGTTAAAAACTTTGGACAAATGGCGAATATCCATATAGAAACCATTCAGGAACCAGCCCAGGAATTTGTTTTGATAGGGCAAGCACAAAGGCAGAAGAAAATGGAGGAGGTTGTTGTTGAACCTCATATAACACAAATGGAGAGACCCGAGGCCTTGCAGGAGTATAAGCCGCTGTTCTTGAAGTTCGAATCTGGAGTGGACCAGGGGGGGTCTGGAGTTGTGAGGGCTCTTAATTTTGGAAAGACTTTGAAACATGCTTTTAAATACTTTCTGGATTACAGTGTTGACTGTGGGGAATGGGACTGTGGGGAATGGGCTGATCTGCTGAGGAGAGATGGAGATACTTTTGGATTGGAGTCCTCCCGAGACCTACCCCCCAATGAGATAGGAAAGAAAACAAGAAAAAGATCAACAAAAGATAAAGTAAAGGGCAGGTATAAACAAGAAGAAGACCTGCAGAAGGGACATGGAAAAGATTTAAGAGCCTCGGACATAAGAGCACCAGGTTGATGGATTAGATAGACGAGAAAGGACTGACAAAACCCGAGACCAGGAAGAAGAGACGATGGATGAAGATTGGAAGAAAGTTTCAAAATTTATTTAGAAAAGTATTGTAAAATTAATGAGTATTAGAAAAATGTTGGAATGAAATTATTTGGCTTTAGCAGAAATGTCAAAAAGAATTATGAAAGAATATGTTATGGTTAAAAGAATTTGGTATATATAAGTTTTTAGTTTTAAGTTTTAGGGTTTTTTTAGGTAAGATAAGGTTAAAATAGATTAAGGTAATTTAAATGACAGAATATTGTGAAAGATGGAAAGGATTTGCTGAGATAATTAACAACTAGAATACAAAAAAGGGAGGTGTGAGGAGGTCGTTGAAATAAGTTAATGAAAGTTAAGGATTTGGGAATATTAGACTTGTTTTTTAATTGTTTGTTTATTTTTGTTTTTTGATTTAGATGTATTGTGTGTGTGTTTTTTTGACTTTGGTTTTTATTGATCTGTATTGTTTAATTGTTATGTTTATCTACTTCTTTCTCTCTTTTTCTCCCTCTCTTGTCTTTTCTTTCTTCTTTTTTGTAACTTTAAAATTCTCAATAAATATCATTTTTTTTAAAAAAAGAATCTCTGCACCACTGGAGGGCACTGTAAGGACCACATTGAGACTTTCTGTTGCAGTGACAATTGCTAGACTCTTTACCTTACAAACACTAATCTAAGAACTATTGTCAGCTGTAAGAAAAAGTGGAAACGTTTAGTCTTGGAGAGTAGATTTCGATACTGTCTTTCATCATTCACACTTTACCTTTTAGGTGGACACTTAACACATCACTTAACAGTGTAATGTGTGAAAAGGCCCCTATCACTGTGATATTGAAACACCTTATAAATTACAGTGGTACTTTGGTTCTCAAACGGCTTAGCTGCTGAACAAATCGGCTCCCAAACGCCGTTCCAGTTTGTGAACGGTTTTCGGAAGCCAAATGTCCAACGTGGCTTCTGCTGGAGTGCAGGAAGCTCCTGCAGTCAATCGGAAGCCGTGCCTTGGTTTTCGAAGGGTTTTGGGAATCGAACGGACTTCCAGAACAGATTAAATTTGAGAACCAAGGTTCCACTGCAATGAGATGCGTTACTTGGGGCCACTGAAAGTAAGAAAGGAAAAAAACATTTGCAGATTACCAGCAGAGACACAAAACTAAAGTTCAGCATTGTGAAAAACACCCCATTGATTTTGAAAAGAGGTTAACACCAGTGAATGAACTCTCAGGAACATAGGAAGCTGCTTTATATTGAGCCAGATCCATCAACCCATCTAGGTCAGTACTGTCTACACTGACTGGCAGTGGCTCTCCAGGGTTTCATGCTGGGCTCTCCCCTAGCCCTACCTGGAGGTGTTGAGAATTAAACCTGCGACCTTTCGCATTCAAGGCAGATGTTCAAGCACTGGGCTATGATCTTTCCCCTTGTGATGGGAGAGCTGGGAGGATCTGCTTTTCATGCAAAATGTCCTGGATTCAAAGCAATGCACACCAAAGGAATCATACAAGTTGCTGGAGGAACTGGGCATGGAGGAAAGGGTTAATTTCCTTCATGAGCACAAATCACCCTATAGATGAGATAAGTCAACAGGTCAGCCAAGCCAGTTGCCATGGCAACAGTCCAGTGCCATCAATATAAGTGATTAAGGCATGTCATCTCATTAGTCAGGTAGTTGGTCTGTTCGTGTGTTGGGATCAGTCTTGAGGAGTAGGAGTCTGTGTTACGTCTTGAATTGCTGGAGCAATAGAGATACTTTCCACTTGTATATATCTGTATCTGTATCATCTGTATCTGTATCTGTATCTGTATCTGTATCTGTATCTGTATCTGTATCTGCAAAGCCTACAAGCTGTATGTATATATCAATGTCCGGAACTGTATTCATACCCTCCAACATTTCTCCAGTGAAAATAGGGACATATTCTATTATTCTTATTCTTATTCTTATTCTTATTCTACCCTGCCCATCTGATCAGCCACTCTGGTCGGCTTCTGGCATATATAAAAACATAATAAAACATTAAACATTGAAAAAACTTCCCTGTGCAAGGCTGCCTTCAGATGTCTTCTAAAGGTTGTATCTTATCTCTTTGTCTCCTTGACTCAGGCATCACATACTCCATACCCTCTGACATTTCTCCAATGAAAATAGGGGTGTCCTATTTAATAATAATAATGATAATGATAATAATTTTATCATTTATATCCCACCCATCTGACTGGGTTGCCCTAGTTACTCTAGGTGGCTTCCAACATATATAAAAAACATAATAAAACTTCTGAAGGTTGTGTAGTTACTCATCTCCTTGGCTCAGATAACTCCATACAACCTGACATTTCTCCAGTGAAAATAGGGACATCCTAAGGAAAAGCGGGACATTCCCGGATCAAGTTAGAGACCAGGATAGCTCCTGTAAATCCCGGATCATTCCTGGAAAATAAGGACACGTGGAGAGTCTATAGTTTGCACCTGTCTTCCGTTGGTGACTCCCAGGGTTCTGCTTAAAAGAAGAAGGCAGGACCCAAAATCCTAAAATCTGCTTATCCCAATCTACACTACAAATGTGTCTTGGTTTTATACATGTACGTTTAACTGTCAATGTTTCCCCAAGTATCTTGGGACATTCAGTTTGCTGAACGTGCTGAGAATGATCTGTTCAGAGTCCGCAGGCTCCTGCATTCCCTGGGTAAAGGAAATGCCTATCAAAGGAGGTGGAGTCTGTGTTGTGTACATGTCTGTAAATTCAGTGCTGAAGAACCTTGTTTTATTTACAAAGTGAATGGTAGTTATATTAATCACCAGTAGGGGGCGTTTCTGCTTTATATCTTCGGCATCATCCAATAATGATCCAAACTGTTCTTGAAAATGCAAAATTATATTTCTAATACCGAGGCCTACAGATAATACAGTGGGGGCTGCAGCTTTATATACATTCATTCTGGAGTGAATGCTGTTAAGCTCTCTGAGTAGACACATAGAATAATAGAATCACAGAGTTGGAAGGGTACCCCAAAGGTCATCTAGTCAAACCCCCTGCAATACCAGAATCTCAGCTCAAGCATCCATAACAGATGACCATCCAAATTCTGATCAAAAACCTCTGAGGAAGAAGAGTCCACAAACTCCCAAGGGAGACCGTTCCACATCTATAGACCTGCACTGTATACCTTCTATAAAATAAAACATTTCTTGTTGCTGCCTCTCTTTTGGTTTCTGTTGTCATCTTTGAGTACAGATATCTGACTGTTACATCCATGTGCAATGCATGAACATGTCAGGTGCAGATATGTATGTACCACCATGGACCACTTTATAATAGGCATACATGGTGATTCGGCTGAGACTGGGCCTCTGTCCATATTTTAAAGGAGACTCTGCTGGGTAGATAAATAAATACAGTGGTACCTCGGGTTACATACGCTTCAGGTTACATACGCTTCAGGTTACAGACTCCGCTAACCCAGAAATAGTACCTTGGGTTAAGAACTTTGCTTCAGGATGAGAACAGAAATCATGCAGCAGTGGAACGGCAGCAGCAGGAGGCCCCATTAGCTAAAGTGGTGCTTCAGGTTAAGAACAGTTTCAGGTTAAGAACGGACCTCCAGAACGAATTAAGTACTTAACCCGAGGTACCACTGTAAATGCTACACATGTTTAATGCTCTGGCATTCATACCCACTACAACAATGAGAAAAATGCTGCGAAAAGTAGAAATCCAATAGGCCAGTGGCAGAGCAAGCATTTTGCATGCAGAAGGTCCCAAGTGCGCGCTCGCTCTCATTTATTATATATATCATAGAAGCTGGACCAGGGTTTGTGCTGCAGATCTAGAAAAGGGGGCAGACCTGAAATGAAGCAAGCCAACTCCACCAACAGAAAACAGCCTTGCTGAATGATTCTCTCCCTGCTGTTTTCCTACATATCTATCAGCTTAGTAGGGGGTGATTATTGCTCTCTCCCTCATCGCCTTACATTTTAGGAAAAGCTGTATCATTGCATAAACACTCTCCTAATCCCCCCCACCCCCAACCCAAAAAACTCATCCAGATCCAACTGCTGGAGCAGGAACTTTTCCGAATCTTTGAGCCTGTGTTTATTTGGAAGGGTCTTTGACAGCCGGTGAGTTAC